TGCGTATTAGATTTTATAGACTGGCAGTGTCTTGTGTTGAGAGCCAGCTCAGCAATTCCATTTTGGGCCGGGCTCTATATACATTGGCTGCGTGGGGACAAATGGGCAAACAAATGAGTGGTCCCAGTCCTCCTGATCGCGGCATGAAAATTCAATTTACACCAGCCCGCTACAAAATGACGTATCTCTTTATATCTCTAGTAGTATATATTTGATGAAATTTATTCAGACGTTTGGTTGGGTGTAACCAGTTTGTTTTTTTGCAAAACCCAGAAAAAATTTATGAAATCAGCAATGGAAATATTTTACTTTCGGTTGTGGGCGTGGGCACGCTCCGATCCGATCCGATCGCATCTTATAGATGTCTTTCTGTCATGTGTTCGATTTGTTCATTTTTGTAAAATGACACAATTTTAATGAAATCAAGACATGGCGAGATCCAGGTGTCGAAACTTTTTCCTTAACTTTTATCTTACTATTAATAGTTAACCACAAAATGGCTCTAGTCTCTTAGGTCTAATCGCTGTCAGTAGCTCCAGATTGTATGGTTAGTTAGTCGGCAATGTCCACTGTTTTTGCTAAATCTAGCTAAACATCGAACCCACTTTGTCCTCTGAAAGGGGCGCTGGGACGGGGGCTGCACCCACATCGGTAGCTCGGTCCTTTGGTTCACTTAACATACGCCGAGCTAGAGCTCCTGCGGTATCCGTATAATTGCAATTTCCATTCAACTGTTTGTTCGCCCGCTTGTTTGCGTCCGACTTCATTTCATTTGTTTTGGCCAGGTTTTGCGGTTGTTAGTGCCCATCATAAATTGCAGGAATTAAGGGGGGGAGGAGTACCAGTATCAGTACCAGTACCATTACCAGTAGGGCAGTGGCTAGCCGAGGCTAATCGGTGGCGTTTCATCTCAGGCTTGCCGTCCTGCTGTCCTGTGGCGGCTTGTTCGGCTGTCGGCATACGCATAATTAGGCCTGAGGACAATCGTTTTGGTTGTTGCATCAAAAGAAATATATTGCCAACAAAATTAAAGACCAACTAAAGTAGCTGCAACAAATAAAGGATAGTCCGCTCAGTGTAGGCTAGTTGTGGCAGCAAGTTAGCCCTCGCAATTTGGCCAAATAATTGCCAACTGAAAACAATAAGCTCGTTTCTCGTACTCTCGCAGCAATCGTGGCATCTTAATGCGGCCCTGACATTTAAATAGATGCTAATTCCCATCATAACTGACTCGCACAACTAGCTCCCTGAACTAAACTAATGAATTTGAACTTTCCACGCGATTTTTTTTTGGTGAAAAAAAAAAGACTCACGACTCGATTCGAATTGAATTCGAATCCAAATCCGAATCGTAATCGTAATTGTATTGAGACTCTCTACTTCCTGTTGGCCTGGCCGCTTTCTTTGCGCGTGAATCCGTGTAACCACAAAGAAAACAGAAACGAAAATACAAAGTAAAAAAAAAAAAACTGTGATTTGACCAAAAACAGAAAAGCCGGCAAGAAAGCTTTGCGGATATAAACGCTTTAAAACTCCATATTGTGGCCGCCTGGCCCGGATGCTACGACGACAACAGTAGCGACAATTGTGAAGACCAAATGGCCAACCTCCCCGAGCTTAGCTGGCAAATGTCTACGCAGTGTCGTCTTGGCCACCACCGTTCCTGCCTCTTTTCATTCTGTTGCCACTGCCACTGCCACAGCCACTGTTACTGCTACTGCTTCTGGTGATGTGGTTGTTCGCTTGTTGCCATTTCGTGTCAACTGACTTGGGCCTTAGCTTTCGGCTTTTGTTTCCACCAACCGCCCCATTTTGCTAAGCCAGCCATCCCATAACATTTGCCTTAACGTTTCCTGTTGAGAATGCTTGCCGCTGTCCTGTGGTTCTGATTGTGTAATTCCTCCTACAAAATGCTCAGAAACAGTGGCTCAAATTCGAGATGTTTTTCTTCCCAAAGAATCTTCCCAAATAAGATATAAGATATACATAGGTGTATTGATAAATACTATATCTTAGAACCTATAATCCGTATTTCTAAACCTTCTTATGAGAACTACTACCACTTTTTCCCTATTTTTCATACCACTGTTATGCCTGCCCCATTCCCTGGGCAATTGTGCGTTAGATTTAAGTGCTTTCGTTTGCCAGGCTTAATTTGCATTTTTATTTTTATGTTTTCATTGAAAGCGCCAGCATCAATGGAGCCCGCTTGGTCGCTGGCTGGCCTGGAGTTGGGCGCATTTGGCTATTCCTTTGTTTTCGGCTTTAAGTTATCAGTGTCGGTAGATGTACACGGAATCACCGGTAGCAGGAACAGCCAAAGCAGCAGTAGCAGAAAAAGCAACACAAACAGCCAAAAACAACTGAGAACAACATGCAAAATGCAAATGTTTATTGGCCAAATACTGAACGATCACAGCCGGTCTAAACTGAGAATGGTCCAACACGGTTTGCTGTTGCCGCTGCTGTTGATTTTGTTGCAAGCTGAGCTGAGCGGCTGCTGCTGTTCCTTCTTTTTGAAGCGATGGAAGCGGGTGCTGACTGCCACAAAGTTGTCGCCTTTTGTTTTGTGGCAGCAACCATTTTGGTAAAAACAACTAATCAATTGGCAAATGTGCCATCCGTCAATCACTTGGAGTCAGTTGGCGGTGGTGGTGTAGGTCACACGACACCACACGAGTTGCAGCTTGCTGGTTGCAGCTTGCTGGCTACTCTGTGGCAGCCACCGAATTGACTCGCATTCACTTTTGGGGCACATAAAATGCCACCTTGGTTGTGAATGTCAGTTAGCCAATTTGAAAATTCATTCATTCAATGCTTTGACGACTCGCTGACTGACTATTGCCAACATTTATTATTAGCCTTTCCCAAACTGACTATTTTTGGAGCTACCGATGGCCACAGCAGCAGTAGTAGCTGCTGCAACTGCAACTGCAACAGCAGCAACAACAACAACAACATGCCGCACATATCACAGCAAGACAAATTTCTATATAATTGCATTTATCGCAGGCTCTATACTCCAAACCCAGCCTCTGCGACGAAGCCTCCGAGGCCGGACAATGCCAGGCATTATTTTTATATAAATTGCATGCCATTGGCCCGGCCAGTGGCATTCCATCCAGCCAATTGCCAACTGTATCTGCGGGGGAAGGGTCAAGGAGGGTTCTCGCTTTTCGCTCCGATTCGATTCGATTGTTTTTTTTTTTTGCCAGGCTCAACTCTAATTGTCATTTAATGAGACACGCTCGGCATTTGCGCACGACACACGACTATCAATTTGGCAAGTTGCAGCTCCAGTGGAAGCCATCTTCGATGAATCTGTTGGAGCTGCTACTGCTCCTGGTTCTGATTTAATATTGATGAAGAACAAATTGAAAATGGCACTGCAATTCGGCAAAGTCAGTTTATAAAAAATTGAATATAGTACAGGACAAACTTTTGCAATTGTTCTTCAATTATGTTCTGGTTATATATTCTATACTTCCCAGAAATAGAAAAACACATTATTTTGGCAAGAAAATAATAGACATAGACACCTTCTCATTGACACTTTATTTATAACAAAAGCTGCTAGCATATATACTAAGCAGCTTATTAATCTAATCATATCAGGGGAAACTAGAACGAAACAAGCTTTGATGGGCACTTCGCCAGGGTGCTTCCAAGAGCCTCCGTGGCGCAATCGGTTAGCGCGTTCGGCTGTTAACCGAAAGGTTGGTGGTTCGAGTCCACCCGGGGGCGGTTCTTTTTTTTAATTTTCTTTTTATTTATTATTTTTTTATTTTAATGGCTTCCTTACTCTTAAATTTATTAGTTTTGTGTGCCGAATTTTAATGGCAAAAATTAAGTGAAATCGCTGACATTGTGGGAGGTCTGTCAATTAAATTCCCCGCACAGAGTCAGAGGCGATTAGATAAGTCGGAAGAAGACATATTCCACTAATTGGAATTCGATTGTTTGTTTTTGCAGATAAAGATGATATATGGACGGGCCGACAGGGCTCTGACTTGGGCCAGATCATCTTTATGGCCATATTTAATGCTAACTTGGTCGTATAGTAGTAACCTTTACATGAGCAGCTCCACTTTCAGCCAGATGCCTCCTTCTTTTTTTTTTGTGGCAGCTTTTGTGGTGCAACTGAAAACCGCGAGCGTAACAACAGTTGCACATGTTGCAGCGGCCGGTAGTGCGGCAAGTGTATCATGGCAACTTGGAGACAGTTTGTCGTCGCTGGTCTTGCTAATTAAAATGTCTTGGTGCTGTCACTCAAAAGGCGGTCGTCCGGACGCTGCCAGGTCGGTCCACTGGCGAGGCGACTGGTTAGCGGCAGACGACGGCGATGACGACGCCCATTTTGGTCGACGGTCGGCAACAATGCGATTTTGCCTTTTGTGAATTGCTAGTGGTGCTGCTGCTACAATTTCATTGGAAGTCTGTGGCAGGGGCACGCGGCGTATGCGCAATGCAATTTGCGATCTCCCTCGCACAAAATGGCGATCGCATTGTTACAGTTTGCAATTATTTTGATTTATTTTTTTGTCAGAGCCTGTGCCTGTGCCTGTGTCTGTGCTCGTCGTCCCTGCCTGGCACTAATCAAAATTAAAATGACGCGAACGATACCAGACATGGCGATGTGCACGTCGCTCGCCCGAGAGCCAGAAATCAATATTCTAAATTCTTTAACGCGTGTGCACATTTAAGGCAACGCCATCTCATTGAGATGCGTGCCGGCAAACAGCCTGGCCAGCACTTATACGCAATTTCGCGCCATATTTGGTTCAAACATATTGGCTTTTTTGTTTTGTTTTGTTTGTATTTTATTCTACCTTGTCTTTTTGCACCCAGCACTTGGCTGGCATATAGAACAGCCCCCAGTCCCGGCCAGATCTGGCTCCGGGAGGAGATCTTAGAACTCGAGGCTAAGCCTCGAGATCATCGGGACCAGACTGTTTGGCTGCACCACTAATCGACTGTCTGTCTAACTTGATTTGTTCTAGGATGAGCGATCACCGACATCGTCGGGCAACGAATCGGATGACTCCTCCGATGTGGAGATGCCGGGTGGCGAGGTAATCGAGGTGGCTACCAGCAAGGCGGCCACGGTGGCCAGCAAAACAGAGGTAGCTCCTGCCCCACCAACCGCAGCGGGAACGTCCGGGGCAACGGCAGTCACCACAGCCACGGGAGCGGGCACCAAGCCCATGCCAGCATTGAACTATCAGACTGAGAACGGACCATCGACGTCCACAGGAGCCGGAGCAGCAGCAGCGGGAGCGGGAGCCCCAGCGGACAGCAAGTATGTCTACTCAGCTGCATCGTTTGCCAATATACCGCCCAAAATGTTGAGGCAACTGATACGGACCGGACACTTGCAACTGCACGCCGAGGAAGGTGAGTAATCAGGCCAAAAACATGGCTAGACTAAAGCTAAACTAACTCATATCTCTCACAGATGGCAACCAATATGTGACCATACCCCTCAGCTCTACAGCGGCCAACCTAATCAAAAGTAACAAGCTAACAACCTCCAGCGGAACAGCAACAGGAACGGGATCAGGGACCTCGACTGCCACCAAAACGGATCAAAGTGCCGAACAACCCTTGACCATCAAACAGGAATATGATTAGCAACCGAAGCCACCCACTGCTTATCCAGAATCGGAAACTGAGAACTGCGTTTATCCACAGGCCCAAGCCCCCATCCTCATGGAACCAATCCTCAGCAGGAGATGCCCATCACACACACTCTCTATTAAAGTCTATCCAAAGTTTATTTCATGTCATCATCCAATGGTGACCTCGATCGCCTGCTAAGTCTAAGTCATACTATATCTATTATATCGTATACATATACTATTTTTATACCTAAAGTGAAGGAAAATGAAAAAAAAAACGCCCCCTAGTTGGGTCCCCAAGATGCCCAGCGGCATATATACATATATATCTACGTAAGTTTTAAAGAGTTTGCAGGTTAAAGGCATTAAACATGTATGATGAAATGAATTATGAATTATGATCGGAAAGTGAGGATGATATGGATGTTCCTAAACCGCAGAGATCATGTTGCTTTGTTACTAGTTTATATTGTTTTATTATACAATACAATGGATACATATAAACCACTTTTTTTGCATAAAAATCAATAATTGGTCTTTAATTTAATGTCCAGCCAAGTGGAACAATAAGGAGCAACCACTCCTGGTAAGAGATGTACATATATATAGTTTGTATCTAGTATCTGCTAGTGCTTGGATTAAGCACACTCACAAAAAAAGAGCGCCGGGCAAATGCCTTTTGGTATTTATCCACTTGATGGATGTCCATGGTGGAGGTATTGTGCGATTGATTGATTGACGACATAATCTTATTGACACTTAACCTAATTAAACGTCGCTCATTACTTACTGGCGCAGGTAGTGGTAGTGCCCGTCTAGCACCTGTTACCGCTTATGGCCCTCGATTGGGGCTAAGGAGGCCCTCGTACATTTTCATTGATCTTTTTCTTTATTTGCCCAAGGAAGGGGCATCGGCTAGGGCCGATGGAAGTGGAAGTGGGAGGTGTGCTTCCGCTTCGGGGTAGGCACTTTGCATGCAGCCGAAGGCCCACAAAAGGCGCAACGTGTGGCACATACTAATGGTGCTGCCACTGGCCGTTCGCCGTTCGGTTAAATGTGGACGACCTGGGCGGTGGTTTGGCACGCGCCGCGGCTTCCGCGGGCAGGTTGTCTTAGCCTTTGGGTCACTTCTTAGCCACCTCGGCCGGAAGCCGTTAGTGTTTTGGGCCCGCAAGCTTTTATGGCCATGTGTTGACAATGCTGCCAGAAAATCAAAGGCTGAGACTACGTATGTATAGTATCACCCACCTGCCGCTGTCCCGTGGTCGTGGTCAAAGTTGAGTGGGTCACTAAACTTGGGAAATATTTCTGTGTTTGCGAATGAAACCGCAATTAGCGTTGATTATGGCCAACAGAGTTGATTGACATTTCGTGGGCTAGTCTAGTCTACTGTGTCTGTGGGTGTGTGCGAGTCCGGCTAGCCGCTTCATTATTAACCGCACCCACGCGAAGCTCATGTGAATATTGATCCTTTGCCCGGTTGTCCTGCGATTATTAATAATGGTCACGCGCGCGGAAAACTTTGCATTGCAATTTCCAAAGTCAGTTGCCAGCGTGTTGGCCCCACAAACGGACGCTTTTCACTCTGAGTGCCTCCTGCCAACAACTGTCTCCTGCTGTTGTCTCAGGCGAAATCCTGAAAATCACTTTCGGAAAATCCCTAGAAAATCAATACTAATGACCCATTAAACGTGGCCTCAGCTGCACTCGTCCGTACTCTAATGAGCTGAGTGCCAGCGACACCGGAAATTGAATGTTGAGTCTAACCAAGCGGCTGCAGCAGGAAATCACATCAGCATCGGTTTTTATCGTTCCGCTGGAAAAGTAACGGCACAGGTAACCCTAAAACGGAAGTCTTAGGCGTAATGCCTTGCGCCTGAGTGGTTGCGTAGCATGGGCTGTTCGGGTTCCAAGTCCACCGCCACAGCAGACGATATCAAAGCCCCCGTGTCAGCCAAGTCAACTAAAATGGAAGCCAAGAAGGAGTACCGTAAGTATTCTGTCTATGATTTTATTCACATTTTTTAATAAAGAGGTAAGAGGAAATCAGACAAGGTTGGTACGTCCTTAAAGTTTATTTCTTGAACTGCCATGTGTATGTTTCTTCCAATTTTTATTCGATTTGTGAATGGAGTGCCTTCATCGATTTGTAGTTTAATTCTCAACCAATCTGCATCAAAACCTGGAAACAAAATTTTCCATTTATATTCTTTTATTTTTTCTTGATGGTACCCTTTAAAAAATCCAGGATTGCCAGTTTTGGCCCCTTGCAATGCCCATATCTTGGACAATTTTTATCCGATACTTGAAAGGAATACCTTAAACGATTTGTAAATCGATTCTCCGCAAAATTGCATCAAAAGCCTGAAACAAAATTTTGGATCAATATTCATATTCAAATTTTTCCTGATGGTACCCTTTCAAAAATCCACGATTTCCTAGATTGACGGTTTTGACCCTTTGGATCCCATATCTTGGACAATTTTTATCCGATCCTTGAAAGGAATACCTTAAACGAGTTGTAGATCGATTCTCCGCAAAACTGCATCAAAAGCCTGACACAAAATTTTGGATCTATATTTTTCAAATTTTTCCTTAGAAATTTTTCCCTTAGAAAAATCCACGATTTCTAGGATTACCAGTTTTGCGATGCCCATATCTTAGACAATTTTTACCCGATCCTTGAAAGGAATACCTTAAAAGATTTGTAGATCGATTCTCCGCAAAACTTCATCAAAATCCAGAAACAAAATTTTGGGTCGATATTTTTCAAATTTTTCCTGATGGTAGGTACCCTTTGAAAAATTCGCGATTTCCAAGAATGCCAGTTTTGGCCCCTTGCGATGCCAATATCTTGGAAAATTTTTATTCGATCCTTGAAAGTAATACCTTAAATGATTTGTGGATCGATTCTCCGCAAAGCTGCATCAAAAGCCTGAAACAAAATTTTGGAACGATATTTTTTTTATTTTTCCTGACAGGACCCCTTGAAAAATCCTCGATTTCTAGGATTGCCACTTTTGCGATGCCCATATCTTGGACAATGTTTATCCGATCCTTGAAAGGAATACCTCAAACGATTTGTAGATCTTTGAACTCATATACCATGGTACTTTACCTTGTGTATACTATTAATTATTATCAAATGATCTTCGACAGGAAGAGCTTAATGGATTTTTTATTCACCTTTCAATTTTTTACCAAATTTCACTTCAAATGTTTTCAAACTCCAATACTTGCTTATAAATTTATGCCAGCTGCCTCGGAGGCCTTTACTATTCCCCTGGAGGTTGATGAAAATCCGGAAATGCCGCTCAACGAGACTCTGCGACAGCCTCCAAAGCGGATCCAGCAAATGTTGCAGGAGGCGGCTAAGGCAGAGCCACCGACTCTGGAGGAGCTGGAGGACAAGCAGCAGAAGGCCGAGCAGCGGCGCCAGGAGTTGATGCACCAAAAGCTGGAGATTATACAGAAAAATGCACAAATGCTGATGCGAGGACATGGGGATGGGGACGAGGAGGGAGCCGGAAATGGGGGAAATGAAAATCCGGACGGAGAGGAGGAAAAGCCAGATAATTAGAAAGCACACTGAGAACTCTTTTTCATTCACATTCTTTATTGTTAGCTTTAAATTATATATGTATTACTTTATATCGTAGTATATTTCCAAACAATTAGATTGTATGCAATTAAATCTGCTCTCATCATCAAAATGCTGTGAATCGGTTTTTGCTCAGAACTTTCATTATTTTTTTATAGCCTATGTATATGTGTGTGTTTTCAAACCCTTTTTTTTGTGGTGATCTATTTGGTATTTGTAATCAAGTGGTCCGGCCCTGGCCGGGATTATATAAGTCTAAAGGCTATAAGTAGGTATTTCGGATTGGTTTTTGCTCGACTTGACTCGGATATACAGTATGGTATGTACAGATGGGTCTTGCCCATATACCATATGCTCATTAGGATGTGTGTGCGTGGTTGTTGTAAATCATGTCTTTTGGATTTGCTGGTTGTTGCTCTTTTGTTGCTTGGTTGTTGGTTTTTAATTCCCATATTAAACACCGTATTCATATATGTGTATTTACTTTTGTATATATCGTATCGTTTAGGTATAAATATGCGTATTTTGTGTCACAGACACTACAAAACTTCGCTTTGATTTCGGCTTGATTTGCGTCTAGGAGCCCCATGGCCGATTCTCGATCCGCGGGATGGGGCCCAACAATTTGTTAAATCTTTCAATTAGTTACCTACATACACACTCATTTAAAAATGCTTCGCCATCGCCATCGTTTCGTCCTGTTCGCATCGAATATATCGTAGTACCTGGATGTCGTTTTGCTTAAACTGTATGTATTTTTAATTTACTCTCTCATATGCTTTAAATATGCTTGCGGTTTACTATTAATTACGCTAGTTAGTTAGTTATTTAGTTAGTTACTTGAATTGGTGCACTTCGAAGAAGCATTTTGGTTTAATAACTATGAGTTGGTGTACGATTCGAGGGGGTCGTGTCCGCCGTGAGAGATAGTCCGCCAGTCGATGGATTGGCAACGTTCAACACAACCTAGGGGGTATCTTTGTCTATAAATACTATACCATCTTCTCTGGATCGATGGGCCCATCTCTGCGGGACACAACGCCTCGATCTATTGCTTTACGATATTGGTTTTTAGAATTATATGTATTATCCGCTGATGTCGGCTTTAATTAGTTAATCGTCGTCAGTTACAAAAGGTTTGTTCTTAGTTGTTGAACCATGGTGGGTTACGTTCTTAATACATACAAATAATCGTAATTTTATACATACACATATCCGATATATTAGCAGGTATGTTACTACAAATTTCTAGCCCGATGCTGGCCCTCATCCTTTTTGTTTGGCCTTTTACAATTGTTACTGGTTTTTGGTTTCTACGCACATGTACAAAAAACTGATTCAAACTATCAAAAACGAGCAGTACAATCACAATTTCCCCCCGCTACAAATTAATATATATATGGGATATACAATATTTCATATATATCGACCCCCACCCATAACCGACACAACGAAAATCGGAACGAGAACAGAGCGATTCCCATTGGTTGGCCCAGGATGCAACCTCAAAAATTGTTAGCGATCCGCGTTGCGATTCGTTGCCTGCGGAACTTAATCCTTCCTACTTTGAACTTGTATTAAAGCTTTTTTGGTTTTAGCCCGACTCTCTATAGCCCCTGCCTTCCTGCCTGCCTGCCATGCCAACAACTTAAGCTAAACTCATTTGCCGTGTGTATAATAATATAGTAAATATATATATTTATATATATGCATGTATATATGAATTCCAAATCGTAATCCACTATATTTGTATTAAATTCTTCTTGCATGGAGCATGTGCCTACCTAACAGTACATAAACGCCTAACAAAAATGGAATCTTTCGTTATTTTTCTTGGGAGAAGGATCCTGATCCTGATCAACATAGTTCAAGTGATGGAGGAGGGGCTGCCGAAAGAACACAAGTCTAAGGTTATATAAATGAGATCATCAAGTTGGAATTTCTTTTCAGGAAACAAATACTAGAGACATTCGGGGATGTCCTGGAAGAAATCACTGGCAGCCCGGAACTCGGAATGTTAATGCATTTTCTATTCTCTGTGTATAAATAGTCGGGGGCTAGACATCAAAAAATCAGTACTGCTTTCCAAATGGTTAATCCCTAAACCTAACTTTCGGTGCTCCCCCATCTCCGTTTAGCACACAACACAATTTTGCAACTATTATTAGTTAACTGGGCGAGGAAAGGGGGTGGACTTCAAGGACTATAAATATGTTTATGTTGCCGGGATACTCTATCTAAATCTAATTGTAAACGCCGCGCACCATGCCCTCGCGGTTCCTGGTGTGCCACTTGCAGGTGAGGATGCGGATGTAGGTCCTCCGGAAGGAGGCGTTGCACAGGGCATAGCACATCGGGTTGATCGTCGAGTTGATGTAGCACAGCGCGTAGAAGAAGTCCCACAGCTCCGTGGGTATGCAGTCTGAGCAGGTGGTCAGCGGCTTGATCAGCACCAGGATGTTGTACGGCGTCCAGGTGATGATGAAGCTCAGCAGGATGGCCGACAGCGTCTTGGCCGCCTTCGACTCCTGTCGCTTCTCCTGCGACTTTTTCTTCTTCTTGGCCGCATTGCGGGCATTCAGCAGGGCATGAGCTCCCACTGCCCCGCCTCCCGGGCCGCCGCCAGCCTTGCCCAGCTGCTTGGGTATGACCTTGGCGTTGAGCAGCCTTGCGTCGTGCTGGGCATGGGACATCCTCCGGCCAAGTGGCAGGCTGAACTCAGAGTCGCGCGACGGCAGAGGTCGCCGGGTGGGCGGCGGGGCGGTGCTGCCGCTATTGGGGTTTGTGCTAGTATTGGTGGTGCTCGAGCACGGCGGCGCATCCTCGTGTATCATCTTGATGGAGGGTGCACAGTCGCCTTGCAGGCTCAGGGTTGTGCCGGCTGCCGAGGAGCTGCCCCCCACATTCGAGCCGCCTCCTGCATTCGTGCCGTTGGCCGCCGCGGCACTGGAGCCGCCGTCGGAGGGCAGGCGGATGAGTATCGTGTACACTGAGTCCTGGCTCACCGACCGCGAATTAATCCGATTGATAACGGGCAGGGTGCGTGAGTCACGATGCGCCGCATTCCCGTGGCCGTGTCCGTGTCCATGTCCGATTCCGCCTCCATTTCCGTTTCCGGCCGCGCCACTTCCGTTCGCCGTCGCTCCATTGGCATTGGTGCTGTTGTTGTTGTTGTTGATGTTGATGCTGATGCCGTTGCTGGCGTTGTGGTTGCTGTTGGCGGTCACACTGGGAATCGCATTCACGCTCACACTCGCATTCGCCGTGGCCGCATTCATTTCCTGCAGCTGCGAAATGGAGGCGAGCGTGGGGCGTGGCATCGGGGTGGGGGAGACATCCGACAGCAGAATGCTGGGCGGCCGCACACCGCTGACACTGCCGCCCATCGAGTAGTTGTCCCGCATTACGTTCATCGAGGTGCATCTGCGTCGGAAAGGGGCGAAAAGAGGGAGAAGAAAAAGGATGTGGCATTGGTATCGCATGTTAACACACACAGGCGCACTCGTGATGGCCCAAACACACACACAGATACAGACACAGAAACAGACACACAAGTGGACCACACTGACACTGACAGGCAATGAAACAATAGCAACAACGCAGGGCCTGACAGGCCAGCTTGGGCCATCTCAGGATGCAACTGCTCCTCTAACTGGCATGCCGCACACTCACAGACACTAGGACACTGCCAGCACACAGATACTCTCACACAGACACACATAGGAACTAAGTGGCACATGCATTTGTGGAGTGCGTTTTGGGATGGAAACAAGTGGCCGGAAATCGCAACTTAAATCGATTACTCAGTCGAACGCTCGCATATAAATTGAAAAATGGAATGTCCTGCGGTCGGGCTCTACAATCATCCTTTTTTTTATCCTTGGATCTGCGTTTTGGTCAGTTCCCCCGAGACCACAATGCTATTTAATTGCTATTTTTAGCTAATTATGGTATTCGCCCCAAAACCCGGCTATTTGATAATTTGCCATTTGATTGCAGTTCTATTCGAAACTGAGATTTCCTTAATTTATTCCATTTGGCATTTGCAAATGCACTCTATAGTCCCATGAGCCTCAATTACGAATGCAAATTTAGATGCAATTTTATTAAATGTTTGAAAATTCTATTGGTTATATAACAAGTGGGTTTAGAAAATTAAATAAGGCGGCTTTGAAAGCTACAAAATCCGAAATTTATAACAAATTATATGTTGCATTAAAACCCCTTACATATTTTTGTTTTAATAGAAAGTAAATTAATGATATAACCTCAAGAGTATCTTAAAAAGTCAATCTACCATTAGCTTCTATGATAAACTATCTAAAACATTATTTCCTCTTTCTCATTTTATGAAAGACACTCCTTAATGAGCTTTTACACATCAAAAAATAAACTCTAATTGCTTTTCAAATGCATCTTTAAGATAGCATATCCCCGTCAAAGCTATCAATTCTTCAAATCCCATTTCACGCGAATTAATTACTGCCATCGGAATCAAGAAACCCTCTAGCTGAATGCCACTGTTGCCAGTTACCAGTTGCCAGGACTTCAAAGCTTCAATTAGTTTCCATTCCAGGACACACCCAGCCCGCGTGTGTGCTGGTGGAAGTGTGAGTGTCAGTGGTGGTGCAGTGTGGTGCAAAGCTTCTCTCCATCTACGTGGCTTAGTGGGGTGCTGTGACGTTGATCGATTCGTATGTGAGTTTTGTGAGAGAGGGGAGTATATATGGGTATTAAGGATATTGGAAGTGCATCGTGAAAGGCTTGCGGTGCTATATAGCTACTAAAGTATGGCGAATTCACTTTATTTTTCTCTCAATATTTTTTTTTTTTTTGGGTGGCAGAAATCGTCTACAAATATTTTTCGGTGCGCAAGCATTGGACGAGAAATCGAAGTTTATATTGTATATATATAGTTGGTGCTTGGTTTTCATTTTTAATCTGTTTGTTTGCTTTTTTGGAAAGTGCTCTGAGTGCAACTGATGCAATTCATGCACACACGCACACGGGCACACGGATATGTGTGCGTGCATGGGTGATAGAGAGGTGGGGTGCGGTGCGGTGTCGGCTTACGCAAATAGACGATTAAAGTTCAGAATTTTGATTGTTTTTACTACCTGGAGACGGAGCTTTGTAAAGGAGTTTCAATTGTTACTGGTGTTGCATACCCTAAATCAGACGGCTCCTCCTGTTCGTAGGCAAAGTCGTCGGAGTCCTCGCGTCCGGAGTGCCACCACGCGATGCACCACTCCTTGATGCTGCCAAAGCATGTGTACGATTTTTTGATTGTATTTGTGCTTTTGATCTAAAAGAAATATATAAATACAAATGAAAATACTAATTTTTGAAGAGACTGGAAAAAAAACCTACGCTTGACTTTCGCGAATGCATCCCGTGGTAGCCCGAATCCATGACCATATTCGTCATGTAGACACTCTCCGCATCCGCCGAGCTCTCGGAGCGCGGCCGCCGCCAGGTGTCGTGATCGTTGCCGCCCATTTGGGCAAAGGCCAGTAACCCACCACCCGTGTGGTTGACTACTGTGTTTTCGTCACTAAAAAGTCAGTAAAAAGGAAACAATATGTTATTTAAGGCCGAGACATAACTTGAGGCAGACTTGAGAGTCCCAACTCACCTGCTATTAGATCGCTTGCTAGAGTCCTTCTTGCCCGCCTGCAGATTGGGCAGATCCTTCTGACGCTTCTTCGTCTCCCGCCAGATGCGCCAGTATAGGAAGCACATAATGGTCACCGGAAAGTAGAAGGCGGCCAGCGCCGTGCCAAAGGTAATGTACTGATTGGTCTCGATGAACTGAATGTAGCACTCGTCCTTGGGCACAGTCCGCTTGCCCTCGATGTACGGCCAGCTGTAGATCCAGGGCGGCCACAACAGCAGGCTGATGCCCCAGGCGGCCCCGATCATCACCGCCGCCCGGTTGGTGGTGCGTTTTGCGCGATATGTCAGGGGACGCGTGACGCTGAAGTAGCGATCGAAGCTGATGATCAGCAGGTTCAGCACGGAGGCGTTCGAGGCCAGGTAGTCGAGGGCCAGCCACGTGTCGCAGACAATCGGACCCAGGGGCCAGTAGCCCAGGATAGTGGTCACCGCGAACAGGGGCATCGATATGGCTCCAATGGCAAAGTCCGCAATGGCCAGCGAAAACAGGAAGTAATTACTAATCGTCTGCAGCTGCTTGTCGATTTTGAAAGAGATCATCACCATGACATTGCCCGCCACCGTCACCGTGCTCAGAATCGCCGCCACGAAGCCCATGACCACCATAGAAGCCAGCGAGTAGCGAGGTCCCTTCGTCTCGAAGCCCATGGTGCCGTTCGTCTGGTTGCCGTACATCCCGGAGTAAGGATCGTACATCCCGCTGGCCGCTGTTGTCGTCAGATTCTCCAGCAGGGCCGTCAGCAGGGTGGTGCCGGTGGGCGTGAGTCCCGCCGGACTGCTGGTGGTGGTGGTGGTGCTGGTAGTCGTCGTGGTGGTGGTCGTTGTGCTCGTGGTTGCGGTTTTAAACAGCGGCTCCAGTATGCTAGGCGGACCGTGGGCGGCCAGTGCCAGACTCATAACTGGCTCCATGGCGTATGCGTGATTTTATCTGTTTTGCAGCTGTGGGGGATTACGATTATCTCTCTTTATCTCTCTCGTTCTGTCTCTCTCTCTGAGTGCCTCCCTTTCTGGCTAATTTAATTTGTGTCTAGCTATCTCCCTCTCGGGTTCTGTGTGTGTCGCTCTGGTCGTTTAGTTTGCTTTCATCCGCTGCTTATCCTTTTGGCTGCACCCACGCAAGGCGTTGGCCATTTTTCCTTTGGCCCTGCAAGCAATAAAAAATGGGATATTAAATGGGATTACGGGATAATGCGACCGGGAGATGCCCTTAGTTTTTGGCAGGATAAGTGTTTAAGGAGAGTAATCAAAACCGCAGCTCCAATCAAATGATTTAATTATAACACTCGTAACCAAAACTCAAACAAAGAAAACTTGAAGGACGAACCCGGCGTATAATCGGCTTATCCTGGCAAGGATCCAGCTGGGAATGTGTGGCGAGAAAATGCAGTCTACACGAATCAAGTTGCATGACACAATTCCCCAGTCCCCAGCACAGCCCAACAAACATCAGCCCAGGCATTAAAAAACAAAAACAAAATGAGAACGAGAATGGCGAGATTTATGAGAAACTGTCCGATGCACAGGCCTTTGATATATCTCGTCCTTCTTGGACAGCCAGTGAGTGGGGGCCGGGCGGGAGTCGTGGAAAAGGAAGCGAAATAATATATTTACAATGCCAGGGGCCTGACTTGCTTTGTCCTTTCTGCAAAATGACATTTTCTGTGTGATTTGTTTTAATGGAAATGAAAATGAAAATGTTAACGTAAATGTAAATGAAAACGGCTTGAATGCGTTTCCTTGGCAGGCCTCAGCTCCGTTTCAGGCCATCCCGCCTCCATTATAACCATTTTCAGCCACACCCACAACATTTGTTGTTCGTTTATTACTGTTGCCAACAATGGCAGTTGCAAAAAAACACCAACAGCACCAGACCCAGTAGCAACAGCAACAACAACAATATAAATGGTACGAACAACAGCAACATGCAACAGTCGAATAAGGAACTTGGCTCCTTGTTCGAGGCTCCGACACTTTGGCACGGAAATGTTCCGGGCGGCTTCCTCTGACACTTTTCAAAACTATTGATGTTGTCATTGGCCATATGCCTATACATAAGTTGATCCTGCAACGGCAAAAAGGGGAGGACACTGCCTGCTGCCTGTTCATTTGGCGGCCATTGTGTGCGCGACTTTGATTTGGAAAGTTTTTAAATGAAAAACTAAGTTACGCATACGCCGTGGTCGTGGCTGCCACCTGATTGATAGGTTGAGATACGAGTGGACACAATGAAATGCCCATGATTGATTCGCATTCAATATAAATGTGACGGCATTGTTGGCTCTTGGCCATTGTAATGGCGGTGGTTGGGCTTCAAAAGGGTCAAAATAGAATGAATCGGAATGGACTAAAACTACTCATTTAATGCTACACTGTTTTCTGGTCTGCTTTGTTTAATTAATCATCACTAATTACAAGAGACTGCCATTATGGTCCACACATGCTAGTGTAATGCCCACTCGTACAATTATTCGTTGCATACTTTCAGGTTACACGTTCTGGCATTGTCCTGGCATTTGCCATTTTTGTGTGTAAATACCATGATGGGTAAATCAGTTTGAAATTATTGCACATACTTGAAATTAGCAGAACCAAATTGTATAAAATTGATTGTTCAATTGACCCCCTGTCGAGCCCAATCAGTGTACATATTCATTGACTTTGGTTTGGTCTTGTTTTCGGCTATTTATGGATACTCAAATGGATGCCCAATTAAATGCAGCGTTAACCAATAAATCAATCAAAATCCGTCTGTTTATCTCATTGAAAACACGCACACACATATAAATCAATTGCAAAACAGGCCAAACAGGCCGAGGAGGGCCGAGGGGGGGGGCAAACCAATGGGGCGCCATAAATTGAGCCGACATATCGTATTGACAACAGCAACAACATCTCCAAGAGGGCAAAACATTTCCAATAAATGAAAAACAAATCGCAGGAGTCGAGGGTATGTGTTCGAGTGGTATTTCTTTGGTTGGCTGCTTATCCTTAATAGAAGGATGTTTTCTCTTTCGGTTTTTGTTCCTGCCACTATTTTAGTTGTTGCATGGTTATTTATGCACAGAGAGAAACGGTTATCATTGATGTTAAGCCACTCAGTCAGATAGGAATCCCCTGGGGCACAACATTTTTTTTTTTGCGAGCTACGTGGTTTGGACTTTGCCACGTCAGCTTATGTTCCCCGGTTGAAACATTCGACTTCTGGCCTGTCAATTGGGCGTAACTAGTGACTAGAAACTGATAACCACTCTCGTCTGCCACTCGTATAGCCTGTCTGCCTCCGCGATACATTCAAATTTGTCAGGCCACCGCTCCCTGGAAAGTAATCGAATTGAGCTTCTTGTTGCCGTGCCTCGCTTTTTGGCTCCATAAAAAAAGGATTTATGGATTTATTATCAAATGCGTCGGGCGAAAAAAAGAGAAACACACTGACACAAAGACAAACTCAAAAACAGGAACCCAACACACACGAACACATGGGCGACTTGCGAACCACGACCCGCGACCCGCAATCCGCCATCCGCGACCTGCGAGGATTTGTTTTGCCATTTATTAGGCTATTTTTATGACACAGCCACGAGTCGTGAAACGATGATGAAGTAAACACAGTAAGTAACCGCTAATCAAATCAGAGGGCCAACCTGGTCATACGATTTCCATGGGAAAGTACGGGCCTATTATGAAGTGGCCTCCCACCTGCTGGCCCACTTGTGTAGTGCTGGTACTTGATTGTGCTTCTGTTATCACACAATTCTCCCTAACTGGCTAGTAATCCCAGTTAATTAGTTGTACAAATGGTAATTGTAAATTTCCTCTTTATCAAAGGATCAGCAGGGACAATTGGGTTAATGTTTTCGATACAGTTCTTAGGGGACTCTTGGCAACGCGTTGATTAAACAGAATTATCAGAGAGGTCCCTCCACATAAACACTTTTCATTTATGTATGTCACCCATGTCCTTTTGAGAAGCCCTTAGGCACTTTCCACTGTGTCACTGGTGCGAATATTGTATGTGTATTTTTGATCAGCTCATCAACAGTCGGCTTTATTTTGCATTGGTTATTCTGGTACTGGTACTGGTACTGGTTCTGGGTCTTTTTTCGCCTCGTTTTATGCGGGCTCTGTCAACGCTTCAGACACACACCCAAGCCCGCACACGCGCCTATTTACACACACCCACAGACCATCACACACACACACTGACACACACCGAGACACTGAAAAAGGAGAAGAAAGCCCAACTAGCTGCATACTTTTGTGCTTGGGACCCCGTCTTGGGCTTTTTCTGGGCTCTTTGCCGTTGCCTTTACCGTTTCTGCTGGCTTATGTTAATTTTTGCGCGAGTTTAATTGCTTGCCACATGGCTGCTGATGCCGAGCGGATGCTGCTTGATGCTGGATGCTGGATGCTTTCTGCTTTTCTCGGACAGGGTGCTGGGTGCTGCTGCTGCTTTTGCTGCCTGGCTTGTTTGCGGAAATTAAATTGCTGGACTGGCTTTCACCTTATGCTCGCTCGGGCAGCCCGCTAAGCATATTGCCAAGCGAAAATGTGTCCACACAGAGAGAAAAACTTTATAGAAACTAATAAGCTCAAAGTTTATCCTTTTTTTAACAAGAGCTTCTTTATGCTTTTCCGCAATTATTAAACTCAACTGACCTACATTCGATAAACATAAATTATAGCTAATAATAGCCTTAAATATTATAATAATTATATCCTTAAAAAGGACTTAAAGCTTCTAATAGTTTCTCCACAAATTAAAGCCAATAGTAACCTCCATTTTTGGTTAAAAAACTTCCTTGTTGATACATTTGGTTTAAAGTTTCTCTCTCTGCAGGCTTGGGTGAGGTTGCGCGAGCTGGTGGGCGGTGGTCGAGGTGGGTGGTGCGGCGGCAGAGCTCCGAGTGGCTAAAGGCAGAGGGACGAAGTAGGGCTGGCCGCGCCCCACCGACCTACTCGCACAAAGTTTAATCAAAACGAGAGCACTGGAAACGGAGAAAGCAGCGCTGCCGGCGTCAACGCACACACACACACACACAAATACTTACTTGGGGATGCTCTCTCGGTTTTAGTGTCCCCTTCTCCGCTCCACTCCTTTTCTGTTGAGTGTGAGCTGCCCTCTCGCTCTGACCTATTGCTTATTTGTGCCCGCTCAGCATCGGCTTCAGTTGTAACGGTGACATTGCTGTTGTTGCTTTGGCTTTGTTTTTGGTTTTGTTTTTGTTGATGCTGCCTCTGCCGCAGTCGCTGCTGTTGGGCTCTGCTGCTGCGCTGTCGCTGTCGCTGTTGATTTCGGCCATTTGCCGCTCCCAAAAGTATGCTTTGTAATTTTTTGTATTGTGCGCGCACATCTTTGGCTCTGCTTTCTAGTCCTGCCCCTGCTCCTGCTCCTGCTCCTTCTCCAGCTACAGCTACAGCTACAGCTTCCTCCTCTCCTACCCCCTTCTCCACCGCCGCTGCTCCTGCTGCTGCTGCTCCGGCTCCTTTGCGTTGGCCTGCTCAATTCATTTCGCCTTTCGCCAATTTTATTATACACAATGCGAACAGCGACGCCGGCGCCGCTGCCACAGCCTCTGCCACGGTCGGCGTCTACGCTCCTCGGCTTTGCGTGCCCAAAGTTTCCACATTTAACATTAACATTGTAATCAAGTTTATTATTTTCGCTATAGATACACGTTAGTTTCCAGTTCCCAGTTCCCAGGTCACTCTTAACTATTGGCTTTCGGTTATATTTAATTATTGCTTCTATTTGCCTCGATATTCACTAAGCTAGATGATAAAAACTGTTAAGCGTTTTGCACGCGTCCGCTGGGCGATTAGTTGTATTTGGGATTTTCAAATAACTGACTTTGTTTTTCGGGCCAAGAGAGGCTGAAGCGCACGTTGCTAAATCTCATCCGGGACTGAAACTGAAAATTCCATGCATATACCTTAACGGTCCGACATCCGAGCGGTGAGAGACCCGAGAGAGCGACCCGATGCCGATGCCGAAGCCAAGATGGAGGAGCGAGAGCGTGCTCTTGTCCTGGCTTTGTGCTGGAATTTGTGTTTGTTGGGCAACATTGCGAGCATCCTTTTGGCGAACACCCTCGCACAAAGGACGTGTGTGTGAGTGTAGCGGAAAAGCGGAAAACTGCGCGCCTGCAGGAATGTTAGTGTTTCTGTGTATTCTGTGAGTTTGTTTCGTGGTGTATGTTTGATGCTGCACAGCCGAAAATGTTCTGGCAGCGGAACTTAATGGATGAATATGAATGAAACCGCCGCAACAGTCCAACTGCAGGAGGCCAGGGGGCGGGGGCGTTTGGGTGGCAGGCGTTGCTTAGTGGGTGGTTCTGGGTGGTTGGGTTTGCCAGGTGGCGAAGACAAGTCCGCACGAGGCCCACGGGCATTGCTGAAGCATGCTTGCCATGCCATCTTTTGTAGCTTACGACTGCTGTGTGCGCTCTTCATCAGCAGCAGCAGTAACAGCAACAGCAGGAGCAGCAACATCTACAAAAACAGCAACAAATATAACATTCTACAACGGCAACTTGTGTCCGCTGGCTTTTCAATGGGACTCTGGGCGAACAAGTGTAACACGTTAGTGTGAGTGCGGCTGCGAGGGCGTTCGTGTGAAGTGGGCACGCTGGAAAAGCGCATTCTCACATTTCAATTAAATAATACCAGCGGCGTTGTTCTGAATTGGCAGGTCAATGGGCGTGCTAGGCCGGGAATCAATTGGGAATAGAAAGTGGTGGAAGGCCAAGAATTTTTAAGGCAGGCCACTTGGGTAAAATTTAAGACTGCGTATACGCTGCGTATACGTAATGTCAACAAGTAGAGCTAGTTTTCAAAGAAAATTGATAATGTGGGGGATTTAAAGATAACTTTAACTGAAACTTGCAACTTCTAACTATAATTTTATTTAATAATAAAAAATATTTAGTAGTTTTCTTGATTTTAATTTGAAGACGTAAAGTACTGGACTTTAAGTTCAAAAGGGCTTCCATAATTTTATTAAATCATAAACATTTCTGCAGTTTATGAAGCAGCAAAGGACATATTAATAATCTGTTGAAAATGTAATTACTTTACAGTATTTTAAATTCGAATCCTTTGGCTCAATTACAAGCGGGTCCCTCAAGTGCCTTGCCTTTATTAATAGCAACTCATGTTGCGTTTAAACTGGACAACAATGGATCTAACGCGCCTGACATGGCACTGGCACTGGCAATGGCACTGGCCCCAGTGACCCACACCCCTCACCGCACACTGTAGGACCCGCCTCGCTGCCTCCACTTAGGATTGCCCATCCAAATCCTGCCAACCGACAAGCCCGCACATATCCCCCTGGGCATGGCATGTGTTAAGGTCTGCGGATACTTTCTATATGCTCGTCATACCATACTTTCATATATGATATAAAAATACATAAATGGACAATGCAAAAGGAAAGATGAGTAAGAGCTCTGTGCCACTGAGCGGGTGAGCGGGCGGGCAGGGGACGACACGGATTAGGGGGAGAATTGATTGCGAGTGGGCCAGGACAGGCCGGGTCCTAAGCGATGGGTGTGGTTGAGAGCTCTGTTCCAAGAACTGCTGCAATAAATGGCCTGAAATCGAGTGATGCAGGAAGGTCGAGTTTATCGGTAGCCAGTGCAACCATATGCTGGAATTCGGAATCGAGCACTCTCGAGCAAAACCGGACAAATTCTTCCGAGTCCCATCGCATAACACCCATACGCACCGTTGGCCCTGTAATCGAAAGGCAACTGTGCCGCACCAGCGTTCCAGCGTAATGCGAGCGATGTCAAGCCCAGTGAGCAGATACTTGTGAGATGCCTGTGAAAGTTTTGAGATATTCTCGTTTAGAATTTCAGCTTCACTCGATTAGAAGCACAATTTCACATGAACTATTTAGATAGTTGGAGTCAAGTTGGGTAACTGCAGATTAGTTGGCAGAGTTTCCAAGCTAAAATACAATCAAGTATGAGGCCCAGAAGACAGCATAGAAAGCTGAAGACAGAAATAAAACAAAGCTCCGAGTAATTAGCATAAAGACAATAAAATTCCATTCAAACACATTTAGAACTCAGATGTTCAGAGCTCTCCGAAAAATAAAAAGATGGGTGTTTTAAATTTTTCTATTGTTTTTTCATATTTTTTTTTGTTGAATATTGTTTTTGTTTAAATTTAAATATGTATATATTTATATATAAAATATATAAGCATAAACGTTTACAAATATAAATATCTTTTATCGCTACCCGACGGCCTCTCATTATCATCCATCTCCATATCTACGTCCGTCTCCATCTTCATCTCTATCTCCATCTCGAGCTCTCACACAATTTGTTTTATGGAATCCCAACATCTCACATATTTCTCTTGTTGCCACATTAACTTTTGCTAAACTTTCCTTAGATGTTCTTCTGTTCAAGTCTCACGAAGTGGGTGTGTGTTTGTGTAAAGTTGCATAGTTAAGATACATATATGTTTGTTAATAGATATATTTACAATAGCGATAAGGTCAACAAAAAAATATTTGTTTGGTGTACGTATGTATGTTTGTCCATTGTGTTGTGTGTTAAACATAGATAAATATTAAGTAGATTTAGTTTCTCCTCTCAACGGTTCGTGCACATTTAACATATTTGATGCCCAAGCGGATACAGGCATATATTGTATCTGCGACATAGGCACGATAATTTAACGAATTGGATTGTTCGACTGATCGATAGACATGTACATAGTAATAATATTATTAGAATAATAAGCTAACATACAATGCAAAATCATAAAATTTAACTTATACCATACGGGTTTACGACACGATTAACTTAAGCTTGACCCGACGCACAGCTAAAATATATGCTTGTGTATATATCTGTATACACCCTCTATCTATATATATGTGAGCAAAGAGAGAAGCGTTCTCCTTTCTCCGGCGGAAGCCTTAATGGATGGCTGACAATTTTGTTTTGTTGCATTCTGCACAGCTGTCTGTCGTTGGCTGAAACTGATGTTCTGCCGCATTCTATTGTTCCACCGTATACACCGACAGAGCTGTCAGGACCTTCAGCCCTCGGAATAGGAACTGAGGCTGCTGCGCGTCGAGCCGGTGAAATGATCTCGCTGCAGGGTATCCGAGGGCATGGAGACAATGAGGGCACCACCGTACAGGGACTCCATTTCATCCATCTGCTGGGCAAAGGTCTCCTCCAGTCGCTGGGGATTCAATAACATAATTAGTATGGAATATAATAGTATCTTCTAATAAGGCAACAACATTCAAACTAAACAACATCTAGGTTGGAGAGATAGACTAAGTAGCGCATGCATTAGTAGGACATTTAGAGCTACAGGAATTTACAGTACAGTACAGTATAAGACAGTGCGTTTCGCGGCCATAGGACATAGGACCCAGGGCTGCGAAACGTCCTGAAGGATAGATTAAAGGACTAAAGGACTAACCTCTTGTTGCAGCCGCTGCTGTAGTTGCTTTACACATAACGAGGCGAGGAGAGCCGGCAAGAAAAGTTTTCGGATATAGATTTTGGTTTTGGTTTCAAAATTTTTTTTGCGTTTTTTTGGTTTTTGTTTCGATAGCAGCGCGTTTTTTTTTTGTTGGTTTGCATGTGTACATGTTTTTATTCAAGAGTGGGTGTGGGTGTGTACAGTGAAGCATCATGAAAATTTCAGTACGATATTATAATGCGTTATGTAAATATTTATAAAAATGTTTAGAGTACGATATGGCTATACAAATGCTTGGCATCTTGCTAAATATGGAATGTCGATTGATTTCTTTGTTTTTTTTCATTACTGTTTTTACTAAGTACGTTATAATACTGCTAAAATGGAATGTATTTGGAGGCGGAAGGCTGTTCCAAGTCAAAACAATACTTTCAACATAAACTCGAATGTTTTTTGTTCAATAAAATTGCAAAATGCAAACATAGTAAACATTGGCAAGACAGAATGTATGGCATTTTCCGATGCGGATTCAGATGCGGATGCAGAGCAGAAGGGTTATTATAGTAGTCTCTACCGATTGGTGGTTAGCCAGATGATATGTTAGTGGAGGGACTAAGTGGGGATGTGCAGTTAGCCAGCACCAAAAAGGAGGAGTAAAAAGCGGTTTCAGTTTCAGTGTTAGTGGGTGTGAGTAGAAATGGTTTCAATTGGTTTGTTAGTGGCCGAGGTGCATGAGCAGGAGCCGGGCGCTGGAACAAGGCAAGTGTCCCTCCTCGGCGCTCCTAGATCGCCGATGAATCCTCCTCGCAGCTGTGCTGCCGCTGGTTGATCCTCGGCAATCGGTACTTGGCGGCATACAAATCGTAGTAGAAATCATCTGAGGAGGCTGCCGAGTCCGCTGAGGCAACGCTCCCATTCTGGCGACTGTGTCCCGGCTTCACCGATGACCTCAGTTGCGGCTGCACCTCGTCCAGCAGGGCGGCCGCCTTGCGTCCCGAGTCAAAGATCACGTCCGCATCGCTGGCGAACCGGGTGGTGAGCTCGCTAATATTATACATGGACTGGGCGCTGCTCAGCGAGGATCGACCGCTGCTCCGGCTGGCTAGCGAGGGTCGCTTTATAGCGAACGAGGTGGAGTGCAGCAGGCGCTGGGTGTGGGCCGTCAGGACGGGTCCCTCGTGGATACGCAGCTCTACGCTGGCGTCCGCTGCCGCTTTGGGATCAACGCGGCTGAACCGGTTGCTCACCAGGCCCAGGTCGTCGGGTGTTTTCGGAGGCGTGCTACCTCTAAACGTGCTCATGGCTGGCTTGGAGCTAGCATCTTCGGCACTGTTCAACACCGGTGGGGTGGTCACCACCTTGACCAGCTCGTTGGCCGGCGACTGGGTAATCAGGCGCAGATGGTTCTGGGCGGGCAGAGTCGTAACGCTGGCCCGCTTCATCTGCTCGGCCAGTAGTTGTTCCTCGTCCTCTTCCAGCACTAGGTCACTGATCATCTGGGAGCGCTGCTGCTTGTGGAAGATGGGCGTACTGGGCACACTGCGACTCAGATCTGGAGCCGAGCCGCGGAAGTTGGCCAGCCGACTGCCACCGCCGCCCATCATCAGGAGCGACGACCGCGAGCGAGGCATCTGAGTGGTGTCGATGAAGGTGTTGCGTGGAATAAGACGCGAGGAGCGCTCGTTGAATATGCCGCGCAGGCGCACCGGCAGCTCCACCTCCTGGTCCTCGAATTCCTCCCGGTTGACCACCAGACCGTGGCGCTGCTCGTGCAGATCGATGGCCGCCTTGATGGATTCATTCAGTTTCTACGCTCACGGTTTCGATTTCGATTTCGAGTTGGTTGTTAAACACATGCATGACCAAGTCCATTGATTGGTTGGTTTATTTTGTATATTTTGGTTAGTAGTTGGGAAGCACAGCGGTAAGCATTTTATTTATTTAAATTTTTATCAGTTATCAGTTATCGGTTTCAGTTTTTTTGTTTTGGTTTAGTTTTGTAGGTAGTAGTAGGTACAGTAGGCCACCAAAGTGAATGCATTTGCGTGGGTGTAAAGAGAGAGAAAAAGTTGAAAAAATAATTGGATTTAGTTGAGCCTTGGTTCGACCAAGTCGCTGCAGCTTCGAGATGAGCAAACGGTTAGTCTTTGTCCCAGATAACAATACTACATCATATAATGCCCCATTGACGTTTTGAGGTTGCAATTAAAAGTAATCTTCGTTATTTGGAAGATGATTCATGGGTGGTTCGACACTTGTTAGGGGCATGAGTCAGAGACCACTAGGCTATTAATGAATCAGACGATTTTTATTAGCATAGATAGTCAGTCAAACCCTGGGTATTGCTCATCTGCAAGCCGCAAAGAATTGGCGGGAATTTGTCGGGAGAGGTTTTTTGGAGGAGAGGGGAGCACAAGACACCACAGTTCACCGAAAACCAATTAATATACAACAGTTATCAGTACCAACTTATATCAATCGAGTCGATCTACTTTGTACATTAAAAAAGAACACAAAACACCAACGAAATAAGGTGGAGAGCACTTGGTCGAAAGAGCTCGTTGGGAGCGTTTCTTATGCGGATCGCAAGTGGAGAGGGGATGGGCATACACACCTGTTTGCGGGGCGCCAGCTGTTCGCGCCACTCGCGCAGCTCCGCCTTCAGGCGGTCGTCGATCTCCGACAGCTTGGTCTGCTCGTGCTCCACCAAGGCTTTGCGCTTCTCGTTCTGCAGCTGCTCCAGTTCTCTGTGGGATGTGGATAAGGTGAAGACACGACCATGTTTTTTGAACCAAAAGAACCTACCTTATGGCGGATTCACGTGTGGCACGTAGCTCTTCTAATTGCTTTTGATGTTTGACCTCGAAGCGGCGCTCCTCTTGCATGTAACGCTTCTTCTCCTGCTCCTGGAACTGTAGATGAAAGATGTTAGAAATTATATGACCCAGACTATGCCACTCAGTCATTGCTCACCTTCTTCAGGCGTTCGCGTTCGATCTCGGGATCCAGATTCGTAGAAATACGCAACGATTCCCGGAACATTAGGTCGCGTGCCTTGCGCTCAGCTCGGATTCGCTTGGGCAGGGCTCGCTTCTCCAGCGTCTGCTTCTTGACCAGATCCTCCTCCTTGCGCAGCAACATGCGCTTCACCTGCTCCAGCTCCTTGTCGTGCCGGATAATCATCTGGTGGCGCTGCATGAAGCAAATCTCCTTGACATGTCGCTTGGACAACTGGTGGCGTTCGTGCAGCTGCTTCTCCTCCAGCTCCCAGAGCAGAGCCTCACGCGTCCTCATCGCATTCTGCTTCTGTTGCAGGAAGTTGCGATTGATGCTGGCCAGGTGTTCCCGGTGCTTCTCACTGAGCCGCCTCAACAGCAGCTCATGCCGCTCCTTGAGCGAGTCGAGGAAGGCGCGCTCCTTTTCGTCATGATCCAGTTCCATGGCCGATCGCCGCTGCTTGAACTCATCCTTGCGCTTGTCCTTGGGGAACAGGTCAACCTCTTGCTTGAGCAAGCGGATCTCCTGCTTAAGGTTCTCCCGGAAGATCTTCAGCTCCTGCTCCTGCTCGGAGCGGATGCGCTTCGACGAGGAACGCAGCTCGTTCTCCTGCGTCTGCTCGGTTTTCTCCACCAGCTGCTTGTGCTGTCGCGCCAGCATATCCATGTCCGCCTCGTAGGTCTTCTCCAGCGAGGAGTGTTCCTGCTCGAAGCGGCGGTCCTGCTGCTCCTTGGCTTGTTGCTCCTTTATGTGCAGTTCAGTCTGCTGCTTCTTCTCCTGCTTCTGGAGCATCTTCAGCTCTCGCAGCTCCAGCTTACGGAAGTCGTGATCATCATAGATGCGACCGTTCTCCTCGTCGCCGTAGATCACCCGGCTGGTAGTTGTGGTCATTTGCACGCCATCGATCTCGAACTTGCGGGTGCGCTTGCGCGTCTTCTTGCGCAGGTTTCGCAGTTCGATCTCCTCCTTGGTGAGCGCAGACTTGACCACAGGCGGAGGCCTGGTCCTGGGTCGGATGACAACCTCCTCTTCCTCGTCGATGGTCATGTGATTGTGATTATTCGTCACAGAGGGAGGTGGAGGCGGCATCAGTACGGCCGCCGGTAACTGTTGCGACTGCGGCTTGTTGTTAAGATCCACCTCGTGGCGACTGTCATGACTAGTGTTGGTGCCAACGCTGTCCACGTCGGAGCCTCCGCTGCCGCTCACTTGCACTTCGATGCCCCGCCGCCCCCGGACAGAGCCATTCTCGCTCAGCGAGCTATCCGGCGATCGCTTCTCCGGCTTGAATCGGTTTACGATGATGTTCACATCCTCCGGCATAATTCCGTTCGGCTGGCGCTTGACGCCGTCCATCTCGTTGCTGCTGTCCTTCACCTTGACCCCTTCGTCGCCCACTGTGACGACCGACACATGGCTGGTGTCCATCAGCTGGTCACTGTGATCGTGGCTGCCCGACGCCGTATGGTAAGCAGAATCGTCGTCCGCATACGATGGACTCACGATCAGTACCTCGCTCTCGTCCAGCTTGCGGGCATGGACAGTGGTGGTGGCATTGTGGGGCTGCGGCGGAGGCGCAGGTACCACTCCCGCCGGATCGTTGACCGCCAATATCATGGAGGACTGTTTGTAGGGTGGCGTGCCGGAATCGCCCAAGCTGTCGTCCAGCGATGGGAAGTCGTCGTCCGTCGAGGATTCGTTCAGGTGAGTGCTCTTGTTCAGGTCATTAGACACGATAATCACCTCCGATGGAGCCACCGAGTTGTCGATAATCACCGGCGGATGGGTGCTTGTTACCACGGTGATTTGGCTCACCGACTCCAAGCTATTTGGCAATACCACGTGCTGCGGCTGCGGCGGCGACTGTCGCGGGGCTGGGGCATCGCTGTTGATGGTTATCAGGGATGTACTGGAGCTGAGCGTTCTCGCATTGGAAACGCTTCCCGAGGAGCTCGACGAGGCCACTGACTGCACGGACACAATGGACGAGGCTGTGGGCGAGGGTGGCTGCGGTTTCTGTTCAATGGTCTCCTGTCCAATGGCTACCTCAATAGCTGTGGTGACTGGCGAAGCGGGTTCGGGAGTGGATACCTTCTTGGGCGACATCTGAGCATCTCCAGCTGGCTGCTTCGCTGCATTAGCGGCGACTGCAACAGCCATGGGTGGTGGCGGCGCTTTACCCTTCTCCTTCTTGACAAAGTGCTGAAGAAAAACCATACATCAGTTGGCACTGGGATAAGGAAACAGTGTAGAATTATACCTTTTTGTCGGACTCGGTTTTTTCAGCTGCCTCGGCAACAGCTGCCACCGCCGCTGCTGCTGCTGCTGCGACTGCTGGGGCAGGAAGTTGTGGGGGTGGCGGTGTTTTTTGGGGCGACGGCGGCGCTGGAGCAGGCACTTTGGTATGCGGCGGCGGCTGCTGGGCTGCCGGCTCAACATTGTCATCCTTGCTGTGGTTTGGTCTGTCCGGAGTGGTGGCTTTAGTTGTTGTGGGTGCAGTTGTTGCTGCCGCTGCTGTTGCTGCTGCGGCGGTTGGTAAACTGCTACTTGGTTGGGGCTGCTCTTTGGCATCCCGCAAAATGGATGTAGGTGTACCTGGAACTGTTTTATTCGGTTTTTTGGGTAACTAAAGATCAACTAAAGGAAATAATAAGAAAACCTACGTTTGTCAATGTCTTGGCTCTGCAGCGAAGCAGAGTCATCGTCCAGGTCGAGCTGGAGCGCCGAGTTGCGGGGTTCCTAAAGGTTGGAAAAAAAGGAAAGTCCTCATTAGCTTTTGATTCTCTGGATTGTTTCCTAAGTGAGGTTTTTAACTAGCATTGACTACTTGACTTTATTTAATTTAGAAACTCAATAATTAGACTAGTCTTCTCTTTCGGCGAGCCGAATCACTGTCAGAAATTCGAGCTGTTTCCTAATTTCCCGAAGAATTAAAGCAAACAATCCCCACCGATTCGGATTTGTTTACATCAGGATTTTTGTTATTGCCCCACAAACGATATCTGAATCTTGAGGCAAGATAGTGTCAGGTTTGTTATTCTGATCTAGTCAGTCCCTTAGGCATTGGAGACCCCGTCTAATAGTAAGTGTGGGCTACTTGCACAAGAAACCGATAACATGGCAAGGGCTTACGGTGGAGTCTCCGTAGGAGGAGGGATGTGATAAGCATTTGGCAATGCTGATAAAAATAAGTAAACTAATTGTGCGCGCCCGCTATCAAAGACCAGTGCCAGGATGCAGTGCCGGATAAGTTGCTGGGGTTGGGAGCGGGAGGTGCCGGTGCCGGTGCCAGTGGGTGGGCAAGGTCGGACCGAGAGCGGACGAGAACGGAGAACGGACGGGTTGCTGTAGAACGACTTACCAACCCTCTGATAGAGTGAGCGCCGCTTCACTTGGCGTTTAAGCTTCTATATCAATTATTTCGAAGTAACCACACAAAATGATAAGCACACAAATTGCGACATTTTTTTTTTTGGCAGAATGGAGCAAACACAAGGCAACAAATAAAACAACAAACCAAGATAAAAAAAACAAGTTATTATGAAAAAATAATATATCGCATGGTGCGGAGAACGTTTTTGGTTTTGATTTTGATTTTGGTTGGGTTGAGGCGGCAGCGTGTAAGAAAGAAGAGAGAGCATTTGGAGAGGTGAGAGAGAACGTTTAGATTATCATCACGTCTAGCATTGGACTGACTACAAGGGTGCAGTGCGGGGCCCATGGATCCAAACTCATGGAGATTCAAACTCACCTCGGTCTCGTCGTCCACCACCTCCTCAACGACCTCAGCCTTGTACTCGAGCAGCAGGTCCTTAATGGGCTTGGCGTCCATGTCCCTGCTGATGAAGCTATGCTGCAGCAGCACATCCGTCGTCGGCCTCTGCTGGGGATCCTGTTCGGCGAAATTGGGTTAGAACTAATAGAAGTATTAGCCACGGAGTGGTGTTACCTTGACTAAAGACTTCTTGAGGAAGTCGTTGAACTCTTTGCTCCACCTGGCCGGCTGCTCTAGCTTGGGCGGCTCGCTTTTTTGGATCTTGAGGAGCACACGCATCGGCGACATCTCGCTGTTGGGCGGCTCCATTTGGGCCAGCTCGATTAGCGTTATGCCCAGTGACCAGACGTCCACTTTGTGATCGTACGGGTTGTCCCGGAACGTTTCGCACAACACCAGCTCCGGCGCCATCCAATAAGGGGTGCCGATGAACGTGTCGTGCTTCTGCATCGTGTGTTTGTTCTTGGCCGAGACGCCAAAGTCCGCTGCAATGAAGGAACTCTAATAGATATACTCTTAAACAGCCTAACAGTCAGACATACCCAGCTTGACGCCACCCTCCATGGTGAGGAGAACGTTTCCTGCCTTCAAGTCGCGGTGGATGACCTTATTGCGGTGCAGAAAGGTTAGACCCTCGGTCATGTGCTTGCACACGTAGGCAATTTGCGGCTCAGTTAGTGGCTTCTCAAGCTCCACCATGATGCTGTCCAGGGCTCCGCCATCGCAGTACTCGATCAGCATCTGGCGGGAGTGGGAGATTAGCTCATGAATGTCCAAAAAAGGAGCTTCGTAAGTCAATACTCACCCACAGCTTATCATCAAGGGAGAAGGCCTCGTACAGCTCCACCACATTGGGGTGTTTGATCTCCGAGAGAATGTCGATTTCGACCATGTGGTCGCTGAGGTTCTCCTCGTCCTCCAGCGTACACATCTTGGCGGCGGCGAAGCGCTTCTGTTCTCGGTGCTGGGCCTTGTACACCTTTCCAAAGGCACCGTCGCCCAGCTCACCGACCATCTCCCAGAAATCCTCCGGGTTTGTGTCCATCTTGATGTTGTTGTAAAGCCGCTTCTTCTTGGCCTCACCCCCACCGAGGTGGAAGACCTTCTTCAGGCTGGTCAGTATAGACATGGCGTGGCTTTTGTTTTCCTCTGATTGTGGTACTTCTGCTACGGCTGCTGGCTAGTTGGTTTCCCCTTGGCTCGGAGTCGGACTTCTACATAGTGCGCTTAGCTCCTGGGCGAGAGTACAACAAGGAAAACTAGATTTGGTGAAAGCTGCGGAGTGTGCAAGTCGTACATAGTATGTTCATTCGTATGAGCTCGCGCACCAGCGTTTATTGATTGGTTTTGCACCAGTCTCGGGCTCGGACAGTATGGAATGGAACTGGGACCGATGCCAAAATGGACTCAGATCGAGTCCGGGGAAACGGGTGACCGGTGGGTAACCCGGACAGCAGCCCACTTTTAACTAGACTTACCTATTAGCCAGCCGTGTCGTTTTACACACACACACACTCTCTCTCTGTTTCCCTATATCTTTCGTTTAGTCCAGCGAAATAGGCCAACGAGCGGGGATTGTGGGCTTGGTTTGCGACGTCTTCAACGCTTCTGTATGTTTTATAATTTAATTAGCAGCTCGCAGCGAGCTCTAATATTTGTAGAAAAAACACGTACGAATGGGAGGAAAATGATTACAAACGAGAAAAAGTCAAAGACGTAGACAAAAGAGCGTAGTGTGTGCGTGAGTGTGAGTGCGAGTGTGTCTCGTCTTTTTCAAAGTGTTTGTGAGCTGGTCTCTGGGCTTTTTCTCCGCCCCTCTTCACAGCTAAAGCCACTGCCCCGTTTAACGTTTAATTTGGCAAAATCTTAGCGAAACCCGATAGCCAAGCTAAATAGCTGCATTGCCGCCTTGAATCCGAACAATGTGGCTGGGAATTTGTAAACAACACGCGCACAAACCGAGTTTTAAAGGCTCATTGATGATTACGATTCATTGGATCGCCGAATGGGCGTGAAACTGTAGACGCAGTCAGAGATACGAAATTACCTCATCCACCCGCCCGATCGCTCACTTTTTTTTATTTATCAGGTGCGTCGCGCTACGTTTGCCGTCGGTGCTATTGCCGTCCAATTTTCTCCGTCCACCCGCGCCCTTTCTCCAACTATAAAACGTATTCGTATTTTTCCCTGGCAAATCTCCTCGCTTCGGTGTTATGTTTTAGTGGTGGAACTAGCTTCGATACACCGATAAATCACCAGGCATCGATTCTTCTTGCTGGTTTATTTGCCTCATCTATTTACTAATCCTAGTTGCTCTCGAATTAAGCAAATGCCTTTAAATTAATAGTGTGGTTTCATTAACACTATCATATCTTATCCAGCAAATGGTATATAGACTTGGGACAGTCCATCGCTATTGCATTTGCATCGAAATTTCTCTCTCGAAAATGGCGTTTAGGTCATCTTTGAGAGTGAAGAGAGCGGCACTATATTTGCCTTCGCCAAGGGCACAAAACACAACACACACACAAACTCACTTCGACACCACATAAGAAAAATAAATCATGTTCCTGATGGGCACTTTACTTTTAGGTATTTTAGAAAGAAATTAGTTTACGTTTTAGGCCTATTTTATTCTGTCAAATGGATTTGCACTTTCTATCTTCCGATCGGCGATTATTTGTTCAATATTTTTCACTTTTTTGCTGGAAAGTGTGACCAGCTGTTGATAATAGTTGATAACTAAACCCTAAAAAATATTTCTAAAATAACTAAAAACTTTGAATATAATATATAGATTATTGTTTGTAGATTCATGTTATTTATTTTTAATATGTAGGCACAACATTTTCCAATCACGCCTGCCAACGGTACGCGAATCATTTATTGTTAGTATTTTTTTTTTGGTATTACAAAAAAATCGATTAAAATGCGAGGGAAATTTAAAATGAAACTTTGCTCTAATTAGTAGTGCATCAATGGTTTTATTTTAATTATATTTAAAGAGTATTACGTATTGTCAGATACATATATTAAAAATCAGTTTTTAAGCTTGAAAAGTTGTGAAAAGAGTCTATATATGAGTCAATAAAAAAGTAAAGTATACATTAAATTCTGATCATTTACACTGAAGTTGATTTTACGTGAATGAGGCGGATCGGGTAACAGACGTTGGAGGCCTATAAAAGGGCTGCGAGTTTACAGGTGGGCAGTTTATTATTGCACTTGCAATGAAGTCCATATTGGCTCTACTTTTTTTTGTGTCCTGTGCAAAGGCTCTTGTCCACTATGTGAAGCTTAAAAAAGGCAGTAAGATATTGAAAAAGAGGCGCCAACTTTCAGTTATATTGAAACGTACTAATTTCAGAGGAAGGTTGTCTATCGCCAACTGGAGCGGAAATGACGGTTTGGGGTATGGTACAGGACGATAAAACATGTGGCCTTTATCATTGCCAAAATAAGCAAGGGGACGCCTTGATTCACTAGTAAGAAAAGTAGACGTAAGAAGTAATTTAACAAAAACCAAAATTATGTTTTTTTAATTCGTTGTATGAAGTTGCCAAATACCTGCGACATTTATGAAATGTTTTTCCGATGGAGTCCTTACCACAGAGGATTTTCCACAATGTTGTTGGATGTGTTGTACTTTCGTGGCGTGTGACGGTGGCAAGGCTCGTGTAATGCCAGGTTTAGAAGAATTTCCCCCAGCTGGCGGAGAAAATCCACAAAGTGGAGGAGAAAATCCACAAAAAGGGGGAGACAATCTACCTCCAAGATCACCTGCAGATGACGACCAATTTGTTCCTCCAGAACCTATGGGTTTTATAACAGAAAATCCTATTATTGTGGACTCTGTGCAATTGGATCGAGAAGGACATCCGATAGGCAGTAGTCGAGGACGAGCATCAAAACCAGAGCCTGCAAACTCGAAGCAACTATTTAAATATATCTAAATAAATAATTCGAACTTAAATCAACAACTTTTCGAAGAGAATTCTTTAAAGTTGGGCACTCTGAAATCGTTGTTGTAAAATATCTAATGAGACATTTAATCAGTTCAGTTCAAAGAGTCGCTAGAGAATATGCATTTTCTTTCTGGGGTGTTGCTTTTTTTGGGGATTAGCATACCCAGTATTCTGTCAGAGTTGTGCGATAATCTAACTGGAGAGTGCAAGGAGCTATCTGCCACAGGGTGTCCAGAAGTCTTTTCCAATCTGGCTTGGATCGGACAATCGGTAAAGTTTTGTGATGAGGACAGGGGCATAGTTTGCTGCCCATTGCCTCTGAATAGACAGCCTTTATTCGTTTCCACCAACGAGAGACAATTCGAAAGCGGTAAAAATTTGACTAAGAAATGTATTTCTTTTGGAAATAAATGTTACTATACAATTTTCTTAAAACCCACAGAATGTAGACGCTTTAATGAGATTAGAACTTCCTGCCGCTCCACGCCGTTGATTGTGGGTGGCACGAAAGCTTCCAGTCGGGAATTCCCCTTCATGGCCCTGCTGGGTCAACGTAAAAGCAACGCTTCCCGCATCGACTGGGTCTGTGGCGGAACATTAATTCATCCCAAGTTCGTGCTTACCGCTGCCCATTGCCTGGAGACAACCGAGTAAGTGGTAGGGTCTCAAATACCCAGAATTATACCCAGAAACATATTTTCACATCTGCCCACGAAGTTGGTTGGTTTTATTGAAAAATTTGATATCTGATACGGGGCGTATGAGTAACATTAGCAGAAAGTAAACTACTTTTAAACAATAATTAACAAATGTGTTTTAGGACCAAGGGCGAACGTCTGGACCCTAGCTTTGACTGTCCCAAGTTTGTGGTTAGACTTGGAGACCTGGACTACAACAGCGAATCAGATGATGCCCAGCCCCAGGACTTTAGGTTAGTCAACTATGTTGTTCATCCCGGATACGACGAGGACGATGATACTGGAAGCCGAAAAAACGACATTGGCTTGCTGGAGCTGGACAGGAACGCAGTTTTGAACGAGTTCGTAGCCCCGGCATGCCTGCCTCCTAGCAGGGGCAATGAAAACCTCCTTGTGACGGCGGCTGGTTGGGGAGCCACAGCCGAGGGCGGGCCAACATCCTCGCATCTGAATAAAGTCACCCTGGAACGGTTTGACGAAACGCTGTGCAGCCAGAGGATAGAGCACAAGATCGACACCCGGACACAGCTCTGTGCCGGATCACGATCTGGAAACGCCGACACGTGCTACGGGGACTCTGGTGGACCCGTCTTTGTGCAGCATCCTAGATTCGCCTGCCTCAAGCAGGTCATTGGCATCACTTCGTACGGCATCGTGTGCGGTGTCCAGCAATTGCCCAGTGTATATACGAGGGTGCATCTATACACTGACTGGATCGAGAACATTGTTTGGGGGGTATAAATGCCATAGGTCCCCTTTCAGTTAATTGCCGACAGTTTATTGTTCAACTTTCGCATCATTAATGTGAAAATAAATATAATTAAAAATTAAAATTAAATGTAACCCACGGGCTGCGGAGAGGCTTGCATACCCTTATACCCCAAATAAAACTGTTTGCAGATCTTGATGCAGATTTAATGCAAACATTTTTTTTCAGGCTTTTGATGCAGTTTTGCGGAGAATCGATCTACAAATCGTTTAAGGTAATATTTTCAAGGATCCGATAAAAATTGTCCAATCCTGATTTTTAAAAGGAGTACATAAAGAAAAATATGAAAAATATCAATCCAAAATTTTGTTTTAGGATTTTGATGCAGTTTTGCGGAGAATCGATCTAAAAATCGTTTAAGGTAATCCTTTCAAAGATCGGATGAAAATTGTCCAAGATATGGGCATCGCAAGGGGCCAAAACTGGCAATCTTGGAAATCCTGATTTTTCAAGGGGCACCATCAGGAAAAATATGAAAAATATCAATCCAAAATTTTGTTTTAGGATTTTGATGCAGTTTTGCGGAGAATCGATCTACAAATCGTTTAAGGTAATCCTTTCAAAGATCGGATAAAAATTGTCCAAGATATGGGCATCTAAAGGCCAAAAGTGCCAATCTTGGAAATCCTGGTTTTTACAAGGGTACCATCAGGAAAAATATGAAAAATACCGATCCAAAATTTTGATTCAGGCTTTTGATGCAGTTTTGTGGAGAATTGATCTACAAATCGTTTAAGGTATTCCTTTCAAGGATCCGATAAAAATTGTCCAAGATATGGACATCCAAAGGGCCAAAACTGAGAATCTTGGAAATTCTGATTTTTCAAAGGGTACCACGTCAAAGAGTGATGCTGTTTTGCGGAGAATCGAATGATTAAAAGGCACGTGATCATTTAAAAATCATTTTGTCAGCTTTAATCAAATGTGGAGATAACAATTGAATAACAAACGTCTGGGGACTTAGGCTAGGAGGATGTGGGCGGTGGTTGGATGGTGCGAATGACGTATACATAATAATATAGCGATGAGTGCTCTCTCTTTAGTCGTGCTGCAGTGCATTACTTAAGGCTAAGGACACAGTGGAAGGCTAAGTGCTAGAGGACCCTGTAGAAGGCCAAGGAGGATGCCGGATGACGTCCCGGTTGGCTGGATAAGGAAAACAGTGCTGCTGCTGCAGAACTACAGGCGGTAGAGCTGCTGCAGGTCGTGGCGCCTCTGGGCGTCCTTCCTGTCCCGGATCTCCTGCTTTCGGACCTCCGACTGCTTGTAGACGAACAGCGGACGGAAAACGATGGCCCGGCGCTGGCGCTCTAGCTTCTGGGGCTGGACATCGCGGCGCTGACGTCCAGAGTACGGCCGGAAGAGGTTCGACTTGGCCGTGTCGTGGGCGTACAGGGTGCTGAGGAAGTCAAAGTACGGTCTCGACTTCAGGCTGTCCGGCTGGGTGAGCGGGGAGGGGCTATAGCTGAACTGGTTCGGGGTCTCGATGTCCAGAAGGGAGTGCGGGACCTCTTGGAGCTGGGGTCGTGCCGTGGCCATGGCCACCAGGATCACCAGGATCACAGAGGAGAGCTGGAAGAGAGGAAAGAACAGTCAGTTTTGAGTCATCGCTGAAAGGGGAGGTGTGAATAGCCACTGGAGGCCAGAACCTAGCGGTCGGTGCCTGGACCAGAACCTGTCCACTGCTCTTAGCGCTTATGCTGCAAATTAGCATACAATAATTAATTTAAATTAGCCTGCTGGAGATGGAGATGGAGACGGAGACGGGCTAGTCAATGATATAACCGCAATCAAATCTAATTTATAGTCGCACGTAAAATATTCATGAGCACGTCTCTGCTCATGATTTTGGTAGGCGTCATCGAGCATGAACCGAGAACAAACCCAGCTGATCTCGAGGCGCCAGTTATGCCCATACCCATCTAACCGGATGCACTGGTACCGGACTACCCTCTAATTTATGCTGGCTACACCCAAAAAAATCTACAACCGATCATCTCCCAGCTAACACCAAAGGGTAATGTTGGCTTCTGCCACGACTTTCAATTAACTTTTTTATTTTGCAATTAATTTTAGAAAAATGGTATTTTTAGCCTTTATTGCGAATACCTTCAAGACTACATATTCCTGGAATCCGAAATGCCATTTATTTTCGACTATTCATTCCGAATTATGTAAAACCTTAACCGCAGACAGAAAACAAATTAATTTCAATCAGCAACATGGGCTGCTGAAAAGGAGAAGCTGATTGCGAGCTGTAACCGGTTGGGTTTTTGTGGTTCAGGGTTAACTGAAGCATCAAGGCTTCCAACAGGATTGCCCCAGACAACTACAGATCATCCAAAGATTATCCGAAGTGCCATAAAGCCGATCTTTTATGACACTTCCTTATGAAGATCACAAGATCACAAGATCTCGAGAGGTAGCAGTTTTTCGAATAGAAATAGAATAACTTGATTCGATAATGCGCTTGGCCTTGTCCGGCGGCGAAATAATCAGAGTACCCCCAGACCGTTTTGCAGCTTTAATTTGTGAATTTTCGTTAAAAATGTTAATCGCCGAAACACGTTTCTTTGTTTTGCTCATAAATTTTGAATCGATACCGATCTTGAGATGATATACTCACTTGCCAAGTGTATGCGAACATCTTTGATGCGGGTACCGTTTAATTGCTCTTTTGGATTTAATCGGCTAATGAATTATCCTTTTTTTGGTCACTAACGAGTTATCCTGTTCACTGGCCCAGCGATCGTATTATAAGTTCGCACTCGCGGTATGTCCGAATCGGAATGATGGATCGTGAATTGAAAATGTCTATATTATGACTGCGTGTTATCAGTGATTGATAATCAATGGCTTGACACCTTGTTGGCCCCCGGGGTTATTATGGCTTATTCTCGAGATGTTGTCGCCACTAAGCGTGCGCCTGAACTGTTCAGAATATTTGTCACAATTCACTTTTATACGGCCAGCACGATGTTTTGTGTACGGCGAACGGGTTTCGGTGCTTCGATTTTAGCCTGGCTTTCAGACGCTAACTGTTGCCGATATCGCGGCGTACCCCGTCTGGGGGTGGGGAGGGGGGAAGAATTGCACCCAAAGAAAAGGGTAGTAGCAAGAGCCTAGGATGCTCCACTCTCCAAACTAGAGTTAACCCTTCTCATCCAAATATATTGAAGTTTTAATAAAATTATTGTAATCTTTACCAGAAAATCTATTTTTATCCAAAAGTTTGCTAATTTTTTTTCTTTGTGGTTTTTTTTTTTTTGGGGTTTGCGAACTTGGCTCTGGCTCTTGGCCAGATTGCCAAATAGCTGGCAGTGCTGCATCCAAGATTTGGCCACTCCAGCTGGTCACGTAATTAACGCCTTCGATAATTCCCAGGGGGGGATCTGGGTTTCGTATCATGTATATGCGTCAGATACATATTTGTTTTCGTTTCGGATCGAATTAATTAAATTTTTTCCATGACGCACTTACTAATCAAAGACTCTAATCCGTTGAAATCGGAAATGTGGATGTGCTCCGTTCGATATCCCTGGAATACCAGAGCAGTCTCGGATCGGATAGCGGATATTTTGATGGTAATCCACAGCTCTAGACACGGAAGCCAAAGGGGAGTCGTAAAGCTCTCACACCTCACAGATCGTTATGGGCTTAAGTTATGCAAATTGTTTGGCGGCTTTGGTTATTTGGTGACGCATGTCGGAATGCTTGGAAAATTGTCAACCCACTTGAGCTTGGCTTTCATGCTTGAGGGGAATCCGAAGGTCGAGTGTTCTTGTCAATGGTAATGAGCCAGCCTCCACCACCACCACCGCCACCGCCATGCTCGACTGGCCAAAGATAAAGATATAAAGATACACATAGAAGTAGAAGTTAATGGAGATACATATATGCAGATACAGATAGGTAAGTCCCCCTGCCTGCCGCACGTGATCTGATCAGAAGTCGATCGATACGCGATTGGGTCCCCAAACGTCAAGAGCTAATGGCTTCAAGCATTTGAGCCATTAAGCATTAAAAGCTAGTGACGCTTGTCCCAAGACCTGTCTTTCGGCCGTGTCAATGGCCAACCGGTTAGTTTGGCTCCCTGCAGGCCTGGTCTGATTTATTCAATTGGCTAACATTTAGCCAAATTACCCGTCAACACCCCCGAAACCGAACAAGGGGCTTAGAACTTGCGTCTTTGTTTGTTTGTTTGTTCGTTTTTTTTATTTTTATTTATTCATTTTTTTTTTTTTGTTCATTTGATTTTTCATTGTTCTTTTCTATTTGATATTTTTAGCCAAATCTGCGGTATTTATTAAATAAATTTCGTTTAATTAGTTTTTTGGCCGAAAGCCGGTTTGAAACGCAATAAGACAAATGGCCCGGCGATAAGCGGGGCCATCTCGGGCCGACAAATGTCAGAGAGTGAAAAACAAAATAAAAATGCTTATCAGGGATCGGATGCTTGCGTGGGCATTTACCGAATCCGGCCCAGAAATCGGAATCGGAATTCTAAACCCCCTGACTCATCAAAGGTTTATTCACGATTTATTCGGAAATGCAGGCGTTCTAATTGGAAAAGTTATGCATAATGTACACAGATCGGATGTTGGGCGTTGACTTCCTCCGCGGAGGAGGTGCTAATTGGCCAAGATTGGATGCGCTTTCCGGCTGTATTGATTCACATTCATCGGCGCCAGTAAGGTGAGAAAGGGGCACGTTCCACCTGTCGTTCCGTGTACTGATGTTTTCATTTCACCTGGGCCTGGCCCATCCTTTGGCTTTATTTGTTTACATTTTCACTTCGGGCTATGGGGCGTACGTCATCTGCGGATTTGGTTGCCTGATACACCCTGGTCTATGGTCAATTAACACTTTCTGCGTCACACGCTTTCCACCGCCATAGCTCTAATTTGATTTGGCCTTTAATTTAATATTTTTTTGGCCAAAGATCATGGAAATTTTGCCAATAACTAATTATGGTAAATGGATTGGGTAAACGGAGAGTGTTAAATAGCATCGTCTTAATAAATTATGTTTCATAATAAGTTTTAAATTTTTGGCGCCATTCTGATGGTGCTTTTTCGAGTTCGAAACTCATCAGGCCGGCGTTGCCAGATGGGTTAACTTTTATTCAGTTTTGGTATTTTTTTAATCGGAATTTGAATTGCGGTGAATTTGCACGTTTTCCAACTCTGTTATAACGATGGAATAAAATTCACCTAACATAATGTTTATTTTGCGAAAAGTGAGTTTGCTAAAGTTTATTAATATAATTTAAATGAAAATACACAATAAAATTCAAAAAATTTGGTTTAAGTGCGAAAAATCCAAGATGTGGTAAATTGTTCTGCCAAAATGGTATCCAATGCCATTATATATGAGGCGAATCCATTTGCATCTTCTAGGGATTTAAAAGCGGAGCTGAAGTAGTAGATCAGGAACGTTACCATTTGCCGTCGATTAGTAAAGAAAACTTGTATATATGTACTTTTAATAATAATAATTAAAACTAATACTAAACTACATATACTATATTATTCTATACTATACAATACTAAGCCTAATTTAATTTTGATCTCTTCGCTGGCACAGCCGCCTCGTCTTCGTTGACCTCCTCCTCTTGAACCAGCAACATGCTTTCCACCAGTGCAATGCGCCTGGAAAAAAATTTTGTGTAAAATATAAGAATAAAATATAAATATATAAATACTTACCATTCCTTAAGATCCTCGTTTATTTTTTGAGTAAGGACAGTTGTTAATGTTGCCATAAAAGCAACTGCCTCCTTGGGATCGGCTAGAGCTGCTGGATATTTTTTAAAGCCATCCTCCGCCCCAACGTGGACATCGTTGGCCAGCATGGCACCCACATCTTCTAGGTGGTTGCAGTTCAACCACCCTAAGTTGAATTTCCTTAATGGAAATTTGTTGAATAGATTACCAAATAAAGCCTGAAGGCTAAGCAGCTAAAAGTAATGAAAATAATAAATAAAATGTATGTTTTATTAATTTTGCAAAACTTACCTCCATATTATATCGGTCGTATAACTCCGATGGTACATGCTTCTCCACCAACCGTTGAATACCCAAGATGATTTTAAGAAAATTTTGTTTTGTAAATGTTGGGATTGTGTGCAAACTTGTTATAAAGACGTCCAAATGACCCAATCTTGTTATTGTCTTGCGGAAATGCTTCAAATCGTACAGCACAGGTACACCATTCATTTGGAGGTATTTTATTGATTCCCAATTGGCGGCGAATTTATTAGCCACTGCACCTGCCAGTTTGGTGGTGAGCTCGGGGCTTTTTCTAATGCTGCTGATTACCATTTTCACCCCTTCCAAGATGGCCTCCGATCCCATCTTTGTGCCACTTGGAGCCTACAAAAGTTCAATTAATTTTATTTAAATAATAGTACGTAATTAGTGTACTTACAGTACGCAAATAAACAATTTGCAAACTTCCTTGGAAATTGGAAACTGCTATTGCTAATATTTTCCATTTCATCAAGTTGTTTGGAGCATTCTGCATAAAATATATTAATATAATATATATGTATATATAAATATATAAATTTTGTATACTTACATTGACATTTTTGATATGAAATACGTCAAAAATTAAGAAAAATGGTTCGTCCACCATTAGAAAATTCAGATTACCTTCAATAATCGTGAATCCATTTTCAAGAGAAGCTTTGCGTTTATTTAACCAATTCAGAATGTGTTCTGGAAGGTTTTTTTCAATAAACATGTCCAAAGATTTTACAAACTGCATTTTGATGCCAAAAATTTTCACTCCGCAATGTTTTGGTAAATGGGTAATAGTATTAGTATTACTAGTAGCGTGGGACGCCATGTGCATTAAAGGGTTGCCAATGTATGAATTAACCTCATTTATTATATTCCATCATTTTTTTATATATTATATTTTATTATTACATTATTTATTATATTCTATTATTACATTATTATATTATTAATTATTATTCTATTTTTATATATTTACATGCATATATTAAAGATAAATCATATGCTAACAGTACTAACAGTACTAACAGTGCTAACAGTGTTACTAACATGGATCGACAATTTAAACAATTCACAATCCCAAATTTATCCTTCGATTAAAAGAATTTATGATTTATCAATTATCAGTCATCACTAATTTTTAATTGTGAAAAAGTAAGCAAACTTTGAGCAATATTACTGTGGTACTGCAGGACGTGGCTAACCTTTTCGTTGGGCGGCCATTATTGGTGCGGCGGGTGCCAGTGTTGGACGTGGCGCGGCCATTGGACCCGGTTGCGCACAGTGGTGCCACTTTTTTCTGAGCAAAAAAAGCTGGATCAACGAAAAAAAAAAAGCTAAAAAAAGCGGAATACCAAGGAAAAAAAGTTAAGAAAAAAACTGACTGAGTGGAACCTCAGTTCCACTTAACATAAAATATATGGGTAATTCTCTAACGGATATCATTACAAAGAAACCAAAAAAAAAACAATAATGTACAAAAATTAAGATCTATATTATATTTAAGATGTCGTCAATATTATCATCATCATCAGTTGGATAAAATTTCTTGTCTTCAATTGTAGATAGGGTGTTATATTATAGTTAAAACAGCACATATTGTGTCGACGCAGCCCGTACCTTAAATTTTAAGTAAATTAATTTATAATTTTAAGATACAAATTAAAATATGGACCTTATACTCAGTATAGCGTTTAACGTTTCAACGCTCATGTTATTTCGAATTTTCGTTTTTATTAAATGTACTTGGCTGAACACCCGCTCGACGTCGGCATTCGACCAAGGCAGGACTGCATTTGCAGAGCAACTGAAGCCAATTCCTGAAAACGGCAGTTTCCGCCAGAATCCCGATATTTAAGAACTTCAGCCCAGAACTTAACAGTATCATCGACATTTTCCCACTCTACCATGGTTATGTCGTTGTACAGTCGTTAAATTTTATCTATATTAGGAGTACCAAAATACTCAAGGATTGGAGAGATTTGTTTCTTTTTGATTTTTAAAATATTTTCAACAGAGAATGCATCAAAAAGTTAACAAAAAAAAAAAAGCTGCGTAAATTTGCTCAAAAAGCCAGAATTCCCGCTGCCCGCTGTTTTCATATTTTTCCCGCAATCACGCTTCAAAAAAACCCAGATCTGACGGGAAAAAAGCGGAAATGACACCACTGGTTGCGCAGGAGATCGACGACGTGGCGCGGCCATTGGAGTCGGTTGCGCAGGAGATGGACGACGTGGCGCTTAAACTTATGCTAAATTTAAAAAAATTTAGCAAAAAAAAATATGGAAAAAAAAACGGCCACGGCCAGTAAAAAAATATGGACGACAAAGGGGCCACAATGCCCCTGTTGTTTTAAGTCATTTAAATCCTATAATAAATAAATTAATAAATTATTTTTCATAATTAGTTTTAAATTTTTGGCGCCATGCTGATGGTTTGAGTTCGAAACTCAGCAGTCCAGCGTTGCCAGATGGGTTCACTTTTATTCAGCAATATTTGAGTGATAACTTCTCAAATCTATCGATTAGTTTTGGTATTTTCCTAATCGGAATTTGAATCTCTCTTAGACTCTGGTCTAAAGATGGAATAAAATTCACTTAACAGAATTTTAATTTTCATTCGAATATTTTAACAGAGCTTTAAATTCTGTTGGTACAGGAAAAAATTTATTTTTATTTATAAAAAAATTATTTTATGCTTATTTTTATTTTTTTTAAATAAATTTATAGTATATTTTTAGGAAAAATCAGGAAGGAAAACATTTTCTGAGTAAAAAACGCTGTATAAAATAAACTGTTTTGGGTATTTTTTTGGACGTAAATTTGATTTTGCAATCAAACTGATTTCTCTAGTTGTATAATAAGTATTATAAGTTTTAATTATGCTCAAGACCTATAAGTCATTAATAATTTATTGAAATAGTGTTTTAAACTATTGAAATATTTCCCAACTATTGCCCAATTGATTACGTTTTGAAATTAACGGTCCAAATTATTACGTTAACAGAGCCTGTAAACTATTTTTAACAGCTCGCCCTAACAGTGGAACACTGTAGCGACGCGATCGTAATGTTGCCAGCAACATCCTATTGCCCGAACCGGTTGGAACTTGGCGAATCGGGCATCGCTGTTAGGCACTCTCTTCGTTCTGTTGAAGGTCTGTTAGGGCTAGCAGCGTAAATGATGATTATTTCCGAGTATATACCAAAACAACCTAGCCGATCGGTGTTTTACGAATATTGGTAAATTCGAAGATCGGTGTTTTAAAAACCAAATATTCCGCCGCCGGAAGGCACCTGTGTGCTTCTCGAATTCGTGTGCGCCTCTGATTGTGGGGCTTCTTGCTGGTTTATAGCCAAAACTTTGTCCAAAAATTTCGTCAAGCGCATTAAATTAATATACACGTGTGTCTGTGTATGTGACGATCGCTAAGCTATTGTGCGAGTGTGTGCGTCGGCGTGTGTGTGTGTGTGTGTGAGTCTTGGCAAATAAAAAACACATTTTTTAATATTTAACTAATATTTTTTGCAAAATAAAAAAAGCAACAAAATAAAAAAAGTTCCCCAAAAAATCACCATTGACATTCAAATACACTGAAAAAAATAAAACAGTCTTATCCGGCAAAGGCTAGTCGGCAGGGACAAGTGCGTGTTATCAGTAGAAAGAGGTTAGAAAGAGAGAGGGAGTAATCAGCAACTATTGCAACAATAACTATTTCCCCAGATTTAAACACTAATACTTTTTTCCGTGAAATGTAGCCACTCTCTTTGTTAGCTTGTTGCTGTTTTTTTTTTTTTTTCATTGTTTGTTTGTTGTTGTTTGTGTTGGCCCGCGATTAGAATTAATTGACAAACGGCAGCAACAAAATTCGGTTTCTATTTTTTTTTTGTGTTCTTACACTGAAAGAAACAGTCTGTTAAGCTCCAAGCCGTTACAAGGCCGGGGCTCATATCCCTGAAATGGCCTGTAAAAGGTAACAGGATGCCAGAAAGAAGCCGCAAAACGACACTCGAAAAAAAAAAACACGAACGGGGGGAGACAGAGACATGAATAAATCATAACTAGGGTTGCCGCGATCGGTTAGACATAAAAATAAAAGTAAAAATACACGAAATCATTAGCCAGGTTCAACGACCGCCCCTCATGATGTGGTGTGTGGTGTGGAGGAAACATCGTGCCAGACCAGAGCATATAGAAGACTCTTTTTTTTAGGCCCATTAACACCTGTCACACCAGTCTTTATCGCGAGTGTTGCCTTATCTCCTCGGGCAACAGGTCTCCCTCTCTCCCTCCCTCTCTCTCTCTCTTGCTTTCCTCTTCTCACCTGTTTTGGGGCTCCTTTGCTGGAAAAGGACATAGTCATGTGCACAGATCGATAACTCTGTCCCTTTACAGTGCTTTGTTATCGGCTCTCCACTGGCACACTGAAACCTATGACTAGTCCCAGTGGCTTTTGGATATACTGAACCTCCTCATCATCATCCTCCCGCCCCCCGCTCACGATGGAATCCATGAACTCGGCCCAAATGTCGGACTCGCCGCCGCAAATCAAACGGCAGAAAATGTCCAATCCAAAGGGATCCGGATGCGGGGATCCGTTCAGCTACGAGGAGCTCAACATCATTGGAACAGGTAAGCGGATTTTGTTGTTGGGATAGGTCGTGGATCGGTTTGGGGTTCGGGGTTTCTCATAGTTGAGTTCTGTTTGGGCATTTTTTTGTTTACAAACACAAGGTAATTGTATAACTAAGTAGTTTAAAAGACTTAATTAGAGTTTATTTAAAAAAATAAGACCTAAAAACGAAAAAAATCTAAATAATTATATTATAATCTTGACCTATTCTTCATATTTTAAGCTTAAATCCTTAAGAGGACCTTCTAAAAGGGATATAATCCCCTTAAACCTCGCATACTTCCTCCTCCAAGGCCTAGTTGCATTTTCCTTGCATACTTTTCCGGTTCCTCTCCAGGGGCCACGTGTTTCTTTGTCTTAATCCCCTTCGGATCGATGCTCTGACAAGTGTCTTCATCTTTTTTTTTATTTTTTTAGCAACACTTTCAAATCTTTATTTTTTATACAAAATTATAAATAAATCCAAAAAAAAACAAAACTAAAAACAATTACGTCATCGAGATAATCATACCATGATGGGTAACTGGTCATCCGCCCATGCAGCCCCCAAGGGGGTTGGGTTAACCATTCATGGGAGTCTCGGAGCGAGTCTCCCCCCTGGGATTTCATCTTTTATTCGAAATACTCTTACATTTTTCAAGTGTTTTTTTGTATTTCTGTATTCATTCAATTATTGCCCCTTGCCATTCGCTTTCGCTTCAAGCTTTTGTTGTTTTTGGTCTCTGAGCAATTTTTTTGCTTATTTTTTTTTTGTATTTTTTTGAGAAACAAATCGCTAGCCCAGTAGCCGAAGTCAAAACGAGTCAAAGTCGTGCTTACGGCCTTGTGCTTGACTCGAAAACGCCAAAAAAGCGGCACAGTTCACAGAAGCCAGGTGATCGCAGGGAGGGGGGGCGGTGGCAAGTAGCCCTCTGGCCGGTACTACCCCCCCTTTTCGGTATCATGTACGAGAGTCTGTCAATGTCGCCCGAAATAGTCGCCCCACGCATGTCTCTGTCCGTCCGGCTGGGCGATAAATTTCCGGTGACAACATTTAGTCTCTGGCATTTTATTCTGATTGCTACCCCCCCTCAAAAGAGAGGTGCAAAATATTATTCATACCAAATAGATATAGTGAATAAATGATTTTAATTTAATATTTTCAAGCCATATCATATGGTATATGTAAGTATTTTTGATTTATAGATACACCCCTGACTCAGTCTCTCTCTCTCTATATAGTATCTATATAGAAACTGGAATAGTTTGGCAATCAGCCGGCATTTTTTTCGAAAATCTTATCAGCACAGCTGACTTTTGGTTGCCTTCTATTTCGCACTTGCCACGCCCGCACCCCTTCCGCCCCCTTCCCCACCCCACCCCACATACATATGCGAATATTTTTTTTTTTCGGCAATTCTTATCTGGTCTAGCCTTGGCTTTGCTTTTCTCTCGGTTTCTCCTCTTTTCGCAGCTGATTAGCATTTTTTTGCTAAATGCGTTCTTTAATTTTCTGGAAACATTTCATTTCTTTGCTTTCAGGGGCCTATGGAACCGTTTATAAAGCTCGGGACGTCAAAACCGGAAATATAGTGGCCATAAAGAAAGTGCGGATCTCCTTGAACGAGAACGGAGTGCCCATGTCTACACTGCGAGAAATTTCCCTGCTCAAACAGCTGAATGCCAGCAATCACGAGAATATCGTCAAGTGGGTACTGCTTATTGGGGTTCTTGGAATTTAAATAAGATTTCTTTTATTTTTTTTTTACGGTTTTTGCCATAATTTCGGCATAACGGGGTGTCTACGGGTTGTTATCACTGTGTTATTGGGGGCGAGGTGGCGCCCCAACTATTTGCCCAGTCATTTGAAAAGAATAACGCCTAACTACAATGTCAGGCGCTTCTGTTTATCTTGCTCGAGGCAGTATATAGCTGCAGTATTTCGCCGATCCGCCGGTAGCCAGGGGTTGGAGGTGCACCCACTGCCCTCCCACCGCCCCCCCCAAGGCTGTCATATGCCAGTCAAACAACTCGAAACCGGCGCCGCTTTGCTTTGGCCTGATAACGCCGCTGATTTCGTATTGGCATTAAATAATATGCAGACAGGCAGCCGTTTAAAATTCAAATTAACAGAGCGCGCCTAACAGAGCCGATAACCGAATGTTGCTAAGAGCCGATAGGCAGAGAGAGAGCGATTGTATGTTTGCGATCGTGGATCAGACAAAAGAATGTTAAGTAGCAGATGGCGTTGCTACAGAAAAGTTTGAAGCTGTTGTGTACATAACATGTTTGGTTTGATGTTATGAATCTAAATTTTTTGATAATAATTCAAGAGGTCTACATTTTTATTATTTCTTAAAAAAAATAGGCTTTCATAAAAAGTTAATAAAGATTGAAGACAATTTTTCACTATAATGTTCAGGAAAAAAACACTTTACAGAGTTTTTCATTCAATGTTATGTTAACATTATGTTAAAGCTGTTTACTCTTAAAAAATTACTCTTTTCTGTTATCCTCTCTTTGATCTTTAGATCGTAAATGATCGCATAAGTTTCATTTGGTAGTTCCAAGACTTTACGCAGCATGGCCACTGGCGCTAATAAAGAAAGCAACATTTTATAACAGTCCCAGGGGAAATAGCATTTTCACCAAAGAATATCACCAATTCTATGTCTTGGCTGGATCACCCCTCCTCCATAGCTGACTATCCCCACTACATAGACGAATATTCTAGTAGATGTATCCCCTCTTTTCAGACTTTTCGAAGTATGCCAGTTTCTGGAGCGAGACGGCCATCTCATGGTTCTTCTGGTCTTCGAGCATCTGGAGCAGGATCTGTCGGATTTCATCGATAGTCTGCCCAAAACTGGCATGCCAGTCTCAACAGTGCAGGTAGGCTTCCATTTTGTTGTGCCAGTAATGGATTTTTCACCTCCTAATCCTCTACAGCGCCTCTCCCGCGAGCTGTTAACGGGCGTGGACTTCCTGCACATCCACCGCATCGTCCACCGGGACCTGAAGCCCCAGAACTTGCTAGTCTCTGCCCAGGGCCACCTCAAGATCGCCGACTTTGGTCTGGCCAAGACGTACGACGCAGAGATGAAGCTAACCTCGGTGGTGGTCACATTGTGGTACCGGGCTCCCGAAGTGCTCCTCTGCCAGCCCTACAGCAGCGCCGTGGACATCTGGAGCTGTGCCTGCATCATCTTCGAAATGTTCAATCGCCGAGCCATGTTTCCGGGCAACTCGGAGAAGAATCAACTGGATCGCATTTTCGAGTGAGTTTCAGAGAGAACTTTTATGGTTAACCCACTCATGATGTTCCTTTCCAGACTGACGGGACGACCCTCGGAAAAGGACTGGCCAGCCACCATCTCAGTGTCGAGGGAACAGTTCCCCCAAAGACTGCCCAAGAGGCCCAAGGATTTTTGTCCCAGTTTATGCGAGTACTCCGATGATTTGTTGCATGTAAGTGGGGCTATTCCTTCCTGATAAGGACATCTAATAATCGTCCTTTGTATTCCCCAGAAAATGCTCTCCTATGACATGCGAGTGCGTCCCCAGGCCCTGGCCTGCCTGCAACACGAGTTCTTCAAACAGGAGTACCTTTAGCCGCTCGGCGGCTAAAAGGCCAACCAATCCCAGAAAGAAATGGAAGTGACTGCCAATATGGGTCCAACGTCGCTTTGTTCTTGTTACAATGTTCCTTTAAGTGTAGTAATTTGTTTTTTTCCCCCAATTATTGTCCGGGTCCGGCCGGATCGATAAATACCTTAAAATGTTTGTAGTCGTAAGCTAAGTGTAAACTGTGTCGCGTCGTATACTTATTAACTGCCGATAAAACTGATACCATTTAAATGTGAAGCGATTCTCGAGGACGTTCGGTGATCCTCAAATCGAAATGTGATACACAAAGTTCAGGAATACCTTATACAATTTCAAAATTTTGTACAGCAGCAAAATCAATTTATACAATTTATATATGTAATTATATACACAAGTCAAATGAGAGGTTTTTTGTGTTTTATTGGTATATTTATAAAAATCTTCAAAGTTTAAATTCTTAACGTCCGTGACTAAGGCGCTTAAAAGTACCTTCTCTAGGGAAATGTTATTCCCTAACAGATATACGTTAACAGTACCTCGCCCAATGTTAACTTACAGAGTTCTCTGCTAACATTAAGAATATTTAATAATTAATTCTAACACAAAAATAAATAATCCAAGGAATGTGATAATCACAACTTATTTACACCCACAAGCACCGGTTCAGGCTAGGCCAACGATGATGTAGAATATCAGGGGTAGCACCAGGTTGTCCACCTGGTCGGTGAAGGCCTCCACCAAGGCAGAGTTCAAAGCGGCAAAGACCGAGGCGAACCACTTGGCCTGGGTCATCGCCACCAGGCCGAAGAAGTCCAGCAGCCAAATGGAGAGCAGGATGGAAGCCACAAATGCAACGGTGCCCTCCAAAGAACGGGAGGATCCTGCAAAGGAGAGATGATTAAAAAAAGGTCGCCCATTTCAATTCAAGCCACTTACTTCCCCACTTGTTGCGTCCAAACTTGGAACCCACCACACTGGCTGCCGTGTCCCCCACGCCAACGGCCAGGACTCCCGATAGCAGGGCCAGAGTATCGCCTCCGGAGCAGGGACAGGGTGTTAGCCAAATTGGCATTGAGCAGCCAAGGAGTAGGCAGAACGGAGTCAGTGCTAGTTGGCCCGCATCCTTTTCATCCTTAAAGGAACGGAAAGCTTCCGCTAATCGACCGGCGAAGGGGGGGATCTCTAGGAGTCGCACCACCTCCAGGACCACAAAAGCCGCCAGAGCAACGCCGGTGGCCAAGTAGAGCAAAGCGCATTCGTAGACCAGGCCAGGAACAAAGACGAGGACAATCAACAGGTGGAATATTTTGCGCACTCGCGTATTGGCTTTCGTGGAATTGCCAAGCTGCCAGGACACTGTCACGGCGGTCAAAGCTACCAGCAGCAAGTAGAAGCCGAGGATGGCAAGACGACTATAATCGCGGAGCAGAAACTGTAGCAGGACGATCAGAGGCAAGGGTCGTACCACCGGGAAGCAGGTGACAGCCAGGAGAAGCCCTCCCAGCAATGGGTAGAAGGCAACCGGCTTTCGCATCCTAGGGAACATCAGGAGGATGATGCAGAAGTTCAGCAACCAGAAGAGAGCATTCTGGAATGGTTTGGACAAGTTATTTGAAGTCAACCCAAGGATTAGTTGGAATAACTTACCACCATGATCTTGTTAAGGTTCTCGAAATCACTGGCATCGCAGGTCCCGTCCCGAAACAGCTCCCAAAAATGATGAAGAGCACTCAGGGCAAACAACACCAAGCCCTGGACGAACACAGAGGCCTCTCCATAGGTAAAGGACTTCTCAAATCCCCGCATGGTGCTGATATAAAGATGCTGGTACGAGACGGTCAGCACGAAACCCACAATTACGGCAAAAATTGGCGATGTCTGGGCCAGGAAGTAGAAGCAAAAGCTGGTGGCCGCTCCGGGTAGCAGGCTCACCAAACACTTGACCAGGATGCCCGTCTTCACAAAGGCATAGACATAAAAACAAAGACTTTCCAGGGCCATACCGGAAGCGGCAATGGTGAGGAACCACTGCATCCAGGCATGGCTCTGGCACTGGGCAGGGGAGTGAAGAAGGCGGACTCCCAGAGCCAAGGGTACCAGCAGGCAGAGCCAGCCGCCGGGGCCAGCGGAAGGTCTACGGAGGAGATAAGATTTTAGATTTCGGTTTAAAGATAAGCCCCGGAAGGGAACTTTGCCCCCGTCGTTGACTCACCTCGGCGCCATAGTTTTCAGTGTGTATGCATTCTCGGAGTTTCCTCTCTGATGACGTACTGCCCTCCGTCCCCCTTGCCAACTGGATTGGCTGGAGGCCATCGAGGAGTCAGTGTCCGAGGGTTCGGTTTCCGTTTCTGGGCGCCGCATTCTCAGCTGTTTATGTTTACAGTGTCTCAAAACATTGCTCCGACTCCAACAGGTCAAGGTTTCTGTTTGTGGGCTTGCGAAAGGTCAAGGTGGAAAGCGCTTTTCCTTTTCCTCGGGAAAGCGCTTTTCCTGCTTTTCCCCCAATTAGTTTTTGTTATTTCTAGTGAAAGCATATCCAAATACAAATATATCGATATATCGATTTGCATATGGGGCTTTTAACGTTTTCATACGTCAAAATTGGCTCTGTGCCGACCATAAAATTGGAAAACACCTGAAAAACAAGAAATAGACACGTTAATCTTAAATAAAACTAAGTTTGGCTCGGAATAACGTGAGGGACGTAAATTAAATCAAGTAACATTTTCCATCGATGTGGCAACACATCAGAGGGGTCTGCCAGCTGGCCCTTTCCAGCACTGTTTATTTTGGCGGAAAAATTTTAAATAAATTATTTAATAAGTAAATAAATAAATAAATGTAACACATATATTTTAAGTTCAAACATATTTTCTGTAAATATAATATTATTTTGACTTTCAATATAAGAGAAAACATCGCATTAAAGTTTTCTTGTATTTATTTTAAAACCAAACCTCGTACAAATTGCATTTAGCATAAATAACATTGGAGAATGCAGAGCTACTTAGAATAATAAAATATTCGCCGCCTTAAATCAGTCCAAACAGATAATAGAGAACTGGCAGGATGAGAGCCGCCTTGGCGCCGGAAACTCCCGTAATACACACGATCAGTTTAAAGATTCCGTACCAGAAGGAGAGCTGCAGGGCCACATGAAGACCCAGGAGACTGTTGGATAAAAAATGATACACCATGATTTAGTAGCTAAATAGATCTAGATCTTATATCCACTTACATTTTGTCCTTGCGACGAGCCTTCTCCAGGTTCTTGGGAGACTCCTTGCTGAGGTATTGGCGGACGCCCATGATCGTGTTGGCAAAGTACTCGTCCCACGTCAGCTCCCCAATGTCGATGAAGAACTTCTTCTTGTCCGCAGCGGTCGTGGTCTTGGAGAGGGCCAGGAGGCGTTGGCTGTCAAAGTGCCACTCCGTAAAGATGAACCGCTCCAGGGTGTTCAGCGAGTTCCACACGTTCTTGTGCAGGCGGATGAGGCTAAAATTATGGATTTTGGATAAAAATCTAGTCTCGAATCTAAATTATACAGAATAGCTACTCACATGGGCCTGCCACCTCCAATCTTTGTAACCAGATCCAGGAAAAAGCCGGGAATAAAGTGGAATAGGATAGCGCTCAGCCGGAAGAGCCACAAGCTCTTGACCAGGCGGAGATTGGGGTACCAAACGGCACTGTTCAGGGGATAGTCGTGCAGGTAGCCATTGATCTTGTCCGCCATCAGTTCGAAGCGGAAGGGCTTGTAGGTGCTGGAGGTCAGGTGGAAGATCTGCAGTTCAGCCGGCCGACCGCCATTCTTGGCCTGCAGTGAGTTCACGTAGTAGCCGGTGGTTATGATTCCATTCACCACCACGTCGATGGGAATGTAGTCCATGATGATGGAGGGATCGAGGGGCAGACGACGCAAGATACCCTTGGAGGCGCCCATGAAGAAGCCCTGAGGACCGTTCTTGGAGATGGTCCAGCCGGGAATGGGTTCCTTCCAGGCAGCAGTGACTAGATTAGATTATCCAAAGATTTTATAAAGTTTACCAACTGATAAGTTTGAAACTCACTCATGCTGGGACGAACAATGCCGCATGGGAACTTGCTGGAGACATTGGCTACCTCGTGCTCGGCCAGATGCTTGGTGAAGGTGTAGGTATTGGGGTGATCCTTCAGGAGTCTGCAATATATCCTTCTTTTTAGTAAGAAGCCTGGAACATCCAGAATATACGTACTTTGGTTCCAGTTCCTTGAGAGCTTCGTCATTCAAGGTCTCGGCCAACTGAATGATCTTCTCTGGATCGTCGGGAGAGGGGTAGAGCTTCTCCTCGACCTTGGTGATATAGGCATTCACGTAGGCACTGGACACATGGACGAGGGCATCTAGCTTGGTCAGCTGCTGGCAGAGCTCTACCACCCGCCTGGTGCCCCTCAGGTTGATGTTGGTGGTCTCTTTCAGGGACTGGAAGAAGTCCAGGGTGGCGGCCGAGTGGAAGACCACATTCACGTTCTCAATCAGAGTCTGACGATCCTTCGGCGAGATGCCCAGATTCTCCAGGCCGACGTCTCCCTCGATCGGTACGATCTTGGACAGGCGCGACTCCAGCTGCAGTTCCTTGAACTTGTCGAAGACAGAGTTCTTCTTCAGCTCCTCGAGGCGCTCCTGGACGTTCTTGCCCTTCTTGGCCCGCATCAGGAGGTAGAGAGTGCCCACGTTGGGAACCTCACGCAGCAGTTTCTCCACAATGGTGACGCCCACGAAGCCGGTGGCGCCCGTGATGAACACATTGCGTCCCGCATAGAAGTCTGTGATGGGTGAACTGGAGGCGGAAAGAGCGGAGGAGTTTTTCTATTAGCTTCTCTGTTTATATAACCGCTGCGACGACTCCGTCTATATTTACAGACGCCATAAAAGATGAACCAAACTTTCTCTCATCGCCCATTCAAATGGGTGATCGGCGGGCCCAGCTTACGACACTCGTTCACCCATAAAGCTCACCCGGGGTGTTCCGGGGAAGTGCGGCTGCCGAAACCTGTTTCCCTTCGCTGGCTTGGGGCTGGGTTCTAAGTGCCCATTGACGAACCCCCAATATTGATCTAACTAATGATTTGTTAGCAGGTGTCTGGCAGGTCAATGTTGGAATTCAAATCCACCTCGTGGGAGTTGAGTCGCCACTCGACTGGAAACTTGTCTTGGGATTCAGTAAGCCGCAAATTAACTGGAGGTACTAACTAAGCTGGTTAGTAATTAATGATTTTCCATCTTGTGAACTTGTGCTGAAGTGTGATTTTTATTAGATTTGTTCATTAGGGATAGTAGGAGAGACTACTTCAGTACTATTAGTTGGAATTCAGTTGAAATTCAGGCAGGCATTCAATTAGGTAACCTCCAATCCTCTTACAATGTAATGGAAAATTGTAGCCCGCACTCCGCCATTTCTCGGTACTGGCAGACAATTTCCCAACTTTCCGATCGACTTACCAAACATATAGTGGGCCCGAACACGCAACATGATCATTCAATTAGCCAACCCTAACGCATTTCTCTTTTAATGACCTCCATCGCATCTCGTCGTCTCCACTGTTATGCCAAATGATTTTATAATGGCGATCATTGAGGATGATTTGTTTATTTTTTCTTTAGGATTCCCCCCCGTCGCCAGTGCGTGATATAATTTTCTGCATAAATAATGGCGTTCGGATGGGAGCGAGTGCAACATTTCCTATATTTGCATATGTTCAGTAAAAAGCGAATGCAAATTTTCCACTTTTTAGCAATTAAAGGAGGCCCTCGAGGCGGCAAACACCAGAGACAGAGAGGTAGACAGAGGGCCGTTGAAGGCTTTGCAGGTGCTTGTGTTTACTCACAAGAAAGGCCAAGTCATCGTCTGGGCCAGGCTCGGAGCTCAAGAGCTTGCTGGTGAGCTTTCACTTTGCGGCCAAGACGCAAGGGTCAGGGGACCCAATCAAGACAAATGGCCAATAACTCACTGAACAGATTTGCTTAATTTGCCAAGCTTTGTCTTTGGGTTTCCGCCTTGCCATTTCTTTTGGCTCTAACTTCTGGCTAACATGGCTACTGTAAATTGGCTTTCTTATCAGCCTGCCATCAACGCTTCTGAGATTAGATTTTCCAGTTGGCCTGGCCAATGTGGGTCATATCTGGGCTAATTAAGTGAGGCGATTTATGGTGGCACTGCCACTTGAAATTTCTATGAAATTAAGTTTTGGTTTACCTTGAAATTAGCAATGCTTAGTTACAGTTTAAAAACTATACAATTATAAATAATACATAAAGCTTAACTGAATATTTAGAGGCGGCTTCAAGAACCCCCATATCATTACTGTGCACATAAACTTAATGGCTGCCCCACCTCAACACTTAAGGGCCTTTGGCTTGTTTTGGGTAACTGACCCTACCAACTACTGCCAACCTTGTGGCTGCCCATAAATCTCCGCACTTATGGTTATTAATGAACGGTCCCAAAATGTTTTGCAACCCGCCAGGACACTGGGGCTATAATATGTAATGATCTTGTTTCCCTTCGGCTCCTGCCAATTGGCAACCTGTAATTTTCCGCTTGATTTCCGGCCAAAACATTTGAGCCACTGGGAACTGGTCGCTGAATTGACGTCATTAATCAGCCAAGAGGTTGACCACTATTCGAGAAAGGGGATTTCAGCCAGGTCAAAGTTGGTGCTCACTGGAAACTGGAATCGTGACAATGTATCTGCATCTCATTTTCACACAAGCCCAGCGGCTGTTAATGAAACTTTCCATTGTTTGCGAATGCAGGTGGCTCTCAGGTGATAGATTCTCGTTCGGGAAGAAAGTGTCTGACTTAATGACCTACTGGCAGGTTGTAATGAAATAGAATTAGTCGCCAACACGTCTGTTAATTAATATACAGTCGGACTTTCTCGCCAAATTTGAAAATATAATAAAGACCATAAAAAAGAAAATTTGGCATCTCAATCTATAGGTTTTGAAGCTCAATAGATAAGGTTTTAAGAGCTTGAAACTTTCGGACCTTGTTCCGAGCCAAGATCTGACACGGTCGTAAGTTCAAATTGATTTTTGAGATACGCTTAGCATATGTATCTCCTGGCGCTGGTATCTTTTGGATTTCGAACTTTGCACCGCATTTCTAACCTCACAAAAAGAGAGCTCGAAAGCGGTAAGAAGAAAAATACAAAAAAATGAGAAAAAAGCCAGGCCGAAAGTTGTCAAACGGGCTAGCCAAAAACCGTTGTTTTCGGCCACATTGAGTAACACTTACCTGGCCATGGCTGCTCAGCAGGTGTGGTTGTTATAGCCAATAAACAATAGCCCAAAATATAATCCCAGTTGCACTTCCAGATGTCCAGATACAATCTTCTTGGCTTAGAACGGTGAAATTTCTCTTTTTTTCGCGTAATTCTCTTGATTTGCCTCGTCTTCTGCTGTTGCTTCTTTCTATATCTTTTACTTCACCGATATTGTTGTTGGTTTTATTATTGTTGTTGTTGCTGTGATGCGACTGTAAACAAATTACAAACACCAAGGCACCTGCACGAGTGTGAGTGCCAGCTACGGTATCTGTGTGTGCGAGAAACTGTGAGATCCGATCTCCGATTTTCGAACCTATGCCGGTCAACTGGTAAACTCCAACTGAAATTCCTCACCCGTGGATGGCTGTGGAAATGTGCTCGGTCCTCAGATACATTACTCCGACTCTCAGATACAATTTCTCTGCTGCTTCCTTATCTTGTAGCTCACAGTACTCTCTCCGCTCTCCCAGAAAATAAGAGAGTTTAAGATACAGTGAGAGCGTACAGGTAAATCAGTCGCCCGTGGCTGGAGAGCCGCATGACCCGAATGTTCATCATTATCATCCATGTGGGACAAACCAGTTATCCAGGGGCGTCTCAGGCAAGGGGATCTAACATAATTTATTGCCTGTTGATGGTTTCACACTATCTATCTCTCAGATACAGTTTCTCTGCGACTTTATCTATGGCACACTGTACTCTCACAGATATCAGTAAGGAGAGGTTTTAATTAACTGGGAGAGTTCGATATCTAAAGATCTTCCCTTCCCCTGCTTCCCCATAATATATTTACTTTTTCAATAAATGTAAAAAAGAAACAACATTTTAGATATTTAAGCCTGTTTTACTAAAATTAGCTTATAGTTGTCTGAAAATCTATTATTTCTGACTTTAATTTATCTTTTGTTAATCCAAAGGAAGTTTCACTGTATAGCTTGTATAAAGTAACGATAGAGGTCGCCACTAAGTCTACACCAAAGAGGTCGCTTCTGATCTAAAAGAATCATTAAACAATACCATTTGCAAAGGTATAATATCTTCTTTTAAAAGATATAGAAGACTCTGTTCTTTTAAAGCTGTATTCCAAAGAACACATTAATTCACATTTAAATTTTAATTAGAAAAAAAAACGAATATCACGCTATTTTGTTCCTGTTTTATATGCTGTTTTGCCTTCTACAGACAAATTAAATTATATGCCCTACTTATGAATGCATTTAAATTCAAAACCTTGCATATCAATTGGAATTCAAAAGTCGCAACGATCCAGAATTTGCAATATGCTGTTTTAGTTTAGTTTTGGCTGACTTTGCGACAACGCCGACTGTCCGGATAAATGGTATTCCCCCAGGTATAAACACACCAGTATTTCTTAATATAAAACTCATATTTATTTGCGTAATAGTTACATAGTTATACATTTAGTTTTTGTATTCTTTGACTATTTTACTAAAAACCGGCTGATTATTAGAAGAATCTACAATCGTTTGCTATGTTTACGATTACCTTTAGTTAATGTGACTAAGTTTTGGGCTACTTTTGCATTGCTGTGTGAATAGATTCGTCGTGTCTAGTTTTGTTTTGATCGTTTTCATTATTATGATACAATTTTCTGACTTGTACTTGGCTTGTGTAAGAGGACTTAAAAGTAAAATACATGATACCCTACTAAGAACAAACTACGGATGGAATCGAACAACCTTGTGTGGGATAGGACCGAGGATAGGGGTCGGAATTTTGAGCGGAAGTATTGCACAATCCAGGGGGTTCCGTTGCATATAGTACAGAAAGCGCGCTACAACCAGACCAGGAAGCCCCAGATCAGAACCGTCAGCGTGAGTCCTATCTGCAGTCCCAGGAAGGGAGTCAGGGCGAAGAACAAGACGGCGAAGATGACAGCATAGCCGGCATAGTACAGGAAGTTAAATCTAAAAGATACGAGAATTAGAGGCTATAAGGTTACTATCTTTGGCGGGTATACTTACACCTTCCAGTAGTTACGGTGCCATTCAGTGGTCACCGCCGACTCCTTGAAGTAGAAGCGCCGGATGCCAATCAGGCAGCGATCAATGAACTCCGACCAGTCGCACTGACTAGCATCGAAGTTGTATCGCTTCCGATCACTCTCGTGAATTATGGATGAGATTCTCAGCGCATTCTTCAGAGAATAGCGGAAGTCCTTGTCCAAGAAGTAGTCAAAGGCCTTGGTGCCCTTTTGGAAGACACGCATGTACTCGTAGGCCCTGTAAGATAGGGATAAGGGATTAGCACAGTTGGGAAACCATCAGTCTAGAGTCTAGAAGCTACTTACGTATGCTGGGGCATTCCGATGCCAAAAAGCTTCTCTGGAATTATAAACAGCATTGCCGGGAGCAAATGGAAGAGATAGAAGAATAGATTGTACCGCCAGCCGTTGCGCAACTTGGTGACTGGTTTCCACACGAAACTATTGGGCGGATGGCGCTCCACGCTGTCGTTGATGATGGTGCAGAACTCGGAGAGGGTCAGCGGATTGACCTCCCCGGAGGTGCAGTGAATAATCTCCGGCTGTTCCACCTGGCGGGTGCCCACGTACCAGCCCATAACCAGCGACGAGTTGATCACATAGTCGCATGGAATAATATCAATCACAGCGTTTGCACTTCCGCACATGGTTCGGAAAATACCCTTCACGAATCCGGCCAGGAATCCTAGATGTCCGGAGTTGGCGTTGCCCACCCAACCCTTCATTGGGTGCTCCAGAGTGCCGTAAACTAGAAATGTTATATTAGAAGTTAATTAAGTCTGAGGAAACCATAGTCTTTCTTCGGAAAGCCTTACCAATTGATGGCCTGACTATGGCTGCCGGCAATCCGGACATCTCGGCCATCAGCAGGTTCTCCGAGAGGTTCTTGGTAAACGTATACGTGTTGGGATGATCCCGGATGTATCCCTTGCACTTTTGATCCGTAAAGTCCTCCCAGGCCGAATCGTCCTCGGCCATCTTCATCATGTCGTAGGGATCGAACTGCGACTTGTACACCTCCTCGGAGATCAGGCCGCGGTTGTTGCTGTTGCAGAAGGCCGTGGAGCAGTAGATGTAGGCGGCCAGGTGCTTCAGCTGCTTGGCCAGCTCGATGGTGCGCATGGTACCCGTGAGATTTGTGCGGATGGCGGTGCGCAGCGGGGAGCTGAACTTGATGGTGGCGGCACTGTGGTAGATCACGTTCACATTGTCGATCAGCTCCTGGAGCAGCTCGGGTCCGAATCCAAAGTTGGGCTCACTCAGTTCCCCCACCACGGGCACAACCTTCGCCAGCGTCTTCTCGGAGTACTTTGCAAAAATCTATATTTGGTCGAAAATTAAAAATAAATTTTAATGCCATATCTCTGCGATAGAAATCTCAATCGTAATTTAAACACACATTTCCATGATTTAATTGTTTAAATTTGAATATAAATGAGTGGGGAAGAGCAATTTGTCCGATGTCTGGAGGCCAGTTCGACGGCAATATACGCCTACATAATGCCAGCCAAATTATGGTTGTTAATCTTGAGTACTTTCGTCTGGCTTTTTAGGTTTTTGGGAAAGACTCGTATGTAAGCAATTTCTAAAGCAAACAGCATTTGCTGTTAGCGGCTTTTGTTACGCCATTAAAAAATGTGTTTAAAAATATAATTAACAATATGCGAAGAGTCCGGTAAGATAATAAAGTAAAAAGAGCAAACATAATAAGGAAGATGGAAAGGAAAAGGTCGAATGGGTAATACTCTGGAAACTAGTCTTTGAAAATAAAGAAAAGAGTCCCTTAGTTCCATTAAATACTCTAACATCCCATCACTGTCGCACCAATAGTATTATTTAACTTTTTCTTTAAATTGAAAAGTAAGAGGAAATCCCCATACAGTCTTGAAAACACGGCGGAAGAGGTCGCTGGGGTTACGACTTTGACAAATTAACGCTCCATAAAGTGGCTTGTAATTGGCTCTAATGCTATGCCGTGTAGACGGCGCCTCTGGGGGCAGATTCGTGTCAGGAGGCGTGGCCCGGCGACATGCCCCCTGGTTTAGCTAGATAGGCTGGCAAACAATAAAAAAAGAAAATTATAATGAAACCAGACTTACCGGCTTCTGGAGGAGTCGACGAATTCGTTCGCTGGCATCGAATTTACGCTTTCCCCGGACCAGGACATAGATAGTGCCAATATTGGGATGTGTGTCCAGAAGGGCTTCGATCAGGACAGTGCCCAGAAATCCAGTGCCGCCGGTTACGAAAATGTTTTTGTGGGCAAAGAACTCCGGTATGGTGAGGGCCGTGCTCAACTGTTGCCTGGTGGTGTTGTTGGCGAGCCGTGGCTTGCCGTTACCAACGATGCTGTTGTTGTTTTCCGGGGGAGAGGTGGTGCCGCCATGTTCCGTGATGACAGCCATGGTGTAGGGCTCGAGATTCGTCGGCGGCGCCAATTTGCTGCTGAGCGTTGCAATCGGTTGGGCAAGCTGAAAGAGAGGAGAAGGAAACGAGCCGTGACATCGGTTGGTTCAAGTTCATTAGCCCATTAGTCCAAGTGGACAAGCTAGAGCGGTGTGATGAATGCAATAAGCACAGTAAGCCTGGCCAAGCGATCGAGGGCAGAGCTGGCCGAAACCCGCTCCGCTCCGCAGTGTGTCAAGTTGATCTTGCCGGAAGATACGGCGGAAGTGCAGTCTTCTCAGCAGACGGCTCTAATCATCATATAAATCTCTTATCAAAATTAGATGGAAGTGGAGTGCATGATTTTAGAGCTCTTTGGCTAGCGGTTAGTTGACGACCTGGATTAGATAACTTCAAGAGTCTAGACAAGGGCTTTCCGACTTTCTTTTGGGCTGCAAAGGTGAATGTAAATGCTACTATAGATTTTATGGAAAACCAAGTAGGCTTTAGGCCCTTGTGGAGGCTTGATACTGAATATAGTTACCATTGCCTTTTGTTTCCTATCGAACAGACAAACCTTTAGCTTAGAAACCCACATAATACTCCCAGTTTGCGAAGCAGTCAGTCACTAAATTTTGGTTACTTTTTCGGGAACCCAAATTTAAAAACCTTAAATTCAAGTCTCTAATTTCGTTAAAAAATTTTCATTTTGGAGAAAACATTTGGAGAGCAAACGTATCAAAATTTATTGTGCTGCACAAAAAGTTTTTCGAAAAGTGAATTAACGTTTTTAGAGCAGGATGAATACGACGTTTAAGGTGGCCCGACCGCTGAGCCACTTCTGGTGGCTTGGTAGTCGAAGGACGATTCAATTGGTTCTGGGTTCCACCAGGGCCTTTAGCTTCCGGGGGTTGCCCCTGGGGGTGAGCGAGCAGAGGCGGCGGTATGGCAATCGTATGACCATTGACGATGCCACCCAAGCCCACATAAATCGCTATGGGAAACAGCTGAGCCGGAACCAGGCCCCGGAGGATCCTTGGAAAGACAACAACGAGTACTCGGAGAACTTTAAGGATCGCCTCGACGAAATGGGCTTCGAGGCCCATTGCAACGATCGCCTATACATCGCCAAGAACAAGAAGAGGGAGGCCCAACGCGTGTACGAAGAAGAGCGGGCGGAACGACGTGAAAAGGCGCAGAAGCGGTTCCACGATCACTTCGTGAGCCAGGAGCCAGAGCTACGCAGGCGTAGCATCCACCAGGATCCCATTGAGCACCAGAAACGCCAGCTAGAAATCATCGAGAACAATCGCCGCCGGTGGTTGTCCCGGACAGAGGCCCAGCGGGAGGCTCACAAACCGGGCATCACCTACCACATGGATTCCAGAACGCTAGAGGAGATGGAGCAGGAGAGTTTGGACAAGACACGGGGCCAGGTGGAGACACAGAATTCGTTTCAGCCTCCATCGAGCAGTCCCGAGTGGCGGAAAAAGCAGCAGGAAAACGATGAAGATCAGTATTGGCACACCTGGAACAGCTGCCCCGCCTCCCGGGAGCCAGAGACCGACGAACAGGTGAGACCGCATCTTCGCCGCAAGAAGGTGGCGGTCCACCCCCCCGCCTACCCCCGGGACAACCTACGCCGCGGATTCCATTCGCTGCCCTCTTTAAGCCTCAAGCCCCGGACCATTCATATGCTACGCAAGCGCCGACCCTCTTCTCTGGAGAAGCAGTTCCACAAGTACGCGCGCAAGTATCGGGACGCATGGGCTCCGGAGCTGGGTGCCCAGAACCCTGTGCCTGTACCCAATGCCCCAATGGTGCCCAAAAAGAAGAAAGAGAATGAGGAGAAGAAGCCCAAGCGTAAGGTACAGCGTCGCACCGTCCAGCCACCAGTGTTCCGGATGACAGTCAAGAGTCGCCAACCCGTGGCGCGTCCTGCAGCGCCCGTGAGCAGCTACTCGGGCAGAATTCGCCAGTGATTAGGAAGAAGGACTTCGTCGTTCGATTAGTGAGGCTTGGCGCATTCGCCCGCATTCAAGCTCATTAACGAGGGCGGACTACATAAGACGGCAAAATTCTTGTTTTGAAAAGCTAATCTAAATATAGATGACTCCGGCTCCGCAAGGGGCGTTAGTATTATCGTATTATGCTCGTGGTATCAGTCACTGTTTTTGGGGGATTCACTTTGGGGCAACGAGGAAGTTAAGAAAAATCTGAGGCCACTTCAGACGAAGTTTGCTATGCGAATGTTTATATTTTACCATTGGTCGATCAACTTGAGGGGAAGTAGGTGCAGAGCTATGGAAAGTATAAATCCAAAGTTAAATACCTTATTCCGTCACTTTAATCACCTCGCTAATTAGAGTGGCTAAGCTTTAGGTAATTAAATGGCCTCCCAAAAAAACTTTCGTCTTGCCACACTTTCAATGAAACCCATGGCCGTTGCCCAACACTGTTAACTGTACTTTCCCGTCCGACAGCCATTCACAAGACCGCCTTTTGTTCGCCGCCATCCGCAAGACCCTCAATAGCTCGACTAATTAATGGCAAATGACGCGTATATCCGAAAAAAAAGAAATCGAAAAACCACGTATAAAATAAAAAAATATAAAATGAGAAAATTGAAGAAATCAAACCAAGGTATAACCGATGTATGTATGGTATGTACAGAGTTAGATCTCACACGGCGTGTTGCCCAAACCTTGCCCGAGTACAGGTGAAAAAGATAATTAACCAAATGCGTAACAATTTGTTGGAGGAGAGATTAATTTTGAACATTTTTTGTGTGTGATTCGTTCGGCGCTTCCAAATTTGTGTCAAGGCCGCCCGGACAGAGATCTCAAGTGGAGTTGTCCGATTTTTCAGCCAGTGATCTATTGGTCCCCCCACCAACTATCATGGGTGTTTGGAGTTTGGTCGAAAACATATAGAAACACAAAGCAGCCCAATCAAAATGCACGGTCACGGTCAGAGTCAGATCGCTGTTGATCTCTTGAGATCTTTGGGTTGCGTATTGTCTTCGTATGCAGATGAATCGAACATCTGACAGTCCTCTTGACAAGTTCAGAGATGTTAATGTTATAGTTTGGCGGCATTTTGTTAGTTTCGGAGGCTAACACCCAGGCGCTAATTGATTCGCTTGTAATTGACCAACTGACAGATCGGACAACCCAAGAAACCTTCGCTGGCTTTTCCGAAGCCCAATCGCTGACTCAACACATTTTCGAGTCAGCAAGTCTCAAGTCAAGGTGTTTCGCTTTCATACGACGGCCCATAAATACTGCCATGTGGCCTGGGCCAAAACCGAAATCCAGAATTATGCAAATAAGCATGAGAAGTGGCTTCTCGGATTCTCGGGATCTGAGACGGAATGCCGCCGAATCGGCCAACTATGAACCAATCGATCGGAGTTAACTGGTTTCGGTTGCTCTTGGCCTGGCCCCTATTCAAATGATTTGCATTTCATTTCCTCGATCTTGGACTCTCGCAGACCCATCGCCATTTTAGCCTGGCCCAGCAACATTTTTGTCATATTTCCATGTCGTATTTGTAATACATTTGTCGAGCTTCGTAACGTTCTTCGCTGGAGTGGGCCAACTGGTTTCGGCCTCAAAGATTAGGGATTGACACTTTGATTTATGGATAGCTCGGATTGAGGGCTGGCAGATCGTTGAACTTGACGGTTTTTTGTTGTGTTCTTAATTGGGACAGAGACCTTGTGATATTTAAGACCAATTTAAGGTGATGTATGGTGGACTGAGAGGATCTTTCTAGCCACTAAAGTCAAGGAAGTTATATAATCTTTTTATGCAGCTGCTTGAATATGCAAAAGCAGAAAGCTATATTTCTAATCGTGTCTGTTCAAAATGGAAATTCAATATCCGCATCATTATGATAAACACTTTTAGAATATCTACGCAAAATGTGGGACATCTCAGAAGGCAATCAATGGTTTTTTGTTTGCCTTTTCAATCATTTCAATTATGAAAATATATTTGCCGAGTGGAATGCAATGAGACGTTTAGAAGAGGCTCCATCTCATCTCGCAGCCAAGCACATGAAATATAATATAGTAGATTTATAGAGATATTTACAGATGTGGCTTGGGATGTTGTATATAAGCCCTAAGATTTGCATAATTTTGCTACGTCTGCGTTTTGCTTTGTTCGTAATTTTGTTTAGACAAATGACAGGGCCCAGAGACCCCAGTTCCGCCTGGGTATCTGACTGAGTATTTTCGTACATCTGTGTGTGCGTCGGAGTATCTGTGTGAAGCAGAAACTGTTTGCCGCATATTAAATATTTGGAAATTTCTTTTGCAGCCTCTAAATGCCAGATATCGAATTTAAGCCTTAGGCGAATTTTGTGGCAAAAAAAAATCCACAGAGAGAAGTGGATGGCCTAATGAAGAAATGACGAAAAATTAACAAAGGCAAGCTGAGTGACTTCACGTGGCGGTTAGGGTATCCTCCATGTGTGACGAATTTTTGGGCTTTGTTTATGACTAAAGATCCATTTTGGTCACTTTCTATTTTACGATGAACAGATCTCTCTCCTCCCGGTCCAAGCATTGATTTCTCTTCATGTGTTATGATTTCAATGCGATCCCATTTGATTTGACAGTTTTTTTTTGCTTTATTTATTTCCGCCTTGGCAACCAAATGTGTAACAATAATTTTGTTTTGTTTATGCTAGGCATGAACACCTTAACGTGCCCGGGGGAGGGGTATCGAAGTCGACTCAATGCGCCATAAAAACAACAGACAAAAAACAACGAACAATTCGCACTTGGGCTGGGCATTATCATTAAATAGTGGCTGTGGACCTTAACATTGAAATCCCCCAGAAAGTAAAAAGAGAAAAAAGTAAGCTAATTGTACAGCGTTTTTAAAACCAAAATTCTGTTCGATGGCAATCAAAAGACTCAAGAAACGAACTTGAGAGGAGCTCTAGGCGTGCATCGCACTTTGCTTTTAGTTTTTGGCCAATTGAATGTTTTTTCCCATTTCAGTTGTTATGATACACAAAAAAGAGTATTTATATATTATTTTTTGGGCCATTTAGCAAACCGGTTGGCGGCATAAACTTCGATGTCAGCCAAAGAATGAAATAAAAGTGTAATAAATTATGGCCAAAATTGGCCACGCGTCAGCACTTGAGAATTTTTAAGATATTACCAGTAAGAGGCAACAATTCTTATGAATTTTTTTGCCAAAGCAAAAACAGATATATGTAATAGTTTGTTTTGCTGCCCATGAAATTTCCAGCAAGTGGTGGAAAAACCACATGGAAAACTACTCACTCAGATCGGTGTCGCGAAAAACTAAACCAACTCAAAAACGCGCACACAATCACAAAATTTTCCGCAAAGAGAGCGACGGCGAGAGCGGAAAACTTGAAAAGCTGTAAAAACAAACATTTAAGTGAAAATCGAAGAGCTAAGCCAACAGCTTTTCCGCAAAATATCAATAGAAAAACAATGAATTTTATGTTTTATGTGCACTTTTCTAACCAAACAAAATTCTTTCGTCACTTCCGCTTCAATTGTTTGGCAATTGATTTAAAATCTCGAATGCTGCAATCACTTGGCCGATTATTATTGGATTTTCTTCTTTTGATTTTTGTTGCAACACTGCCCCGAAGAGTTTCACTTGGCACTTGATTTAATATTTTGGAGCACGATGTTATATAGGTGTTAAGATAAAGTGCAAACTAACCAAAAATATCGATCGGTCGAGAACTATAGAGATCGGGGACGGTGGTGGGTGGGAGACAGGTGGCAGGTGGCACTGGTCACTAAGAAGGAGTCGTGCTGTGTTTTTTAGCCAACTTGCTGCCAATGCCGACGCACGCTCGCTGAAGACTGAGCGCTCAGGAAATAATGTTGTACGATCGCAGCTAATGCTGAAAAATCACTCACTCGTCAGTCTCTGAGCTCAGCTCTCGAAGACCTCAAGGCACGTAATGAAAATCGGAACAGAAAATAATCAAGAGCCAGCCAGCTCGAGAAACAAAACCCGCAAACTCAGCAGCCGAGCGAAAAAATATCACAGAAAAAAAAATATATATAAAAAATAAGTGAATATCGCACGAGAGAGCTTTGAGTGGCCAACCAAGCAGCGACAGCGGCTGGGTTTTTGGTAACTGAGAAAGCTGGCTCTCCATTTGGCCAGCTCCCCATCCCTCCCCCCACCTAACGACTTCTATCGGTGGATCTATTGCCGAGTGCGTGGTATATCTTTTGAGTGGATCTGGCAATGCCTATCCGACCTGGCTTCCGACTCAAAGTAGCGGCTTGGGCCAGGCCTCTGATTTGAGAACAAAGTAAATGCGTTGTTAAGTTGTAAGGCCTGCTAACCTTTAAATTCTAGTTTTCCAAATTATTATATTTAAAAATAATTACAAAATAACTCTCTAGAGGATTTCTTGTTCTCATTTCCGAGGTTGTTCTGCTTTGATTCATTTTGTTTTGTTCCATATAATATAGTTTGCTGAGAACTGCATTTAATTACGGTCAAGTACGCAGAGCTTATATATATTTTGCTGATTCTGGGCATTCGAGTTTATAGCCATTGAGGCCATAATATGAGAAAGGGAAAACTCCCATATATGCCAAGTGTGGGGCGTCACCGATCACGCCTTGATTGTCTAATTATGCAAAACGCTTTGTCAGTAACTTGAGTGATAGGTGACCTATCGATAGCCCCCATTCAATAATGCAAATACCATGATGGAATATTTCAAAATACTCAACTTAAAGGTGATCCCCACCCGATCAACTCTCTTTCCGCGGAGACAAGCTGTGTGCCGAGCTCTTTTCCCTCGGGCGGGTTCAATTGCAGTTGACCTAGATGCGGGTAAAAATAAACAAAATAAAATGGAAAACACTGAGACCAAATTTGTAGGCCTAGGCAGCCGAAACCGCCTCGGCAAAGGCACCTCAAGTGTGTACCAAACTGAGCGGTAATTACAAATGTGTGCTTGAGTCTGAGTGGGGAGGGTAAAACTATCTTCTTAACCGAAAAAAAGAAATGTCAAAATTGGCAATAATTTCTGTGACACGCAAAGGAAAGTGGCCAGGAAGCCATAGGGAAACTGTGACCACAAAATAAACACTTTGGAAATTAACATCTTGAGAATATAGTAAGCGGTTTTAGAGAAAACAGCATTCATAATTCATTTAATGCCTTTATAGTTGACTTTTTCAATAAGACTGTAATTGCTGTAAATAAATTGATAAAAACCCCATTAAATATATTTAAAATTATTTATAAATACAATATATTAAATAAACGAGCATTTGTGGTTGTTTTTTTTAATGGGTTCGTATTAGCATAACTATTTTTGTGGCTAATTTAAAACCTGTATGAATAACGGCACTCATGTTACCCATTTTCAGTGTGGCTATCTCAATCAAAACCACAAGCAAATCGATACAGTCCATTAGCAATGAAATTTTCAATCATCTTAAGCTTAAGTACCAGGTAACGTGTCTTCAATTGAGTTCCCTCAAAATAACAATAACAACACTGGTTGCAGGAAAACCGCAAAAAGGCTCTTGTTAGTTAATCGCATTTCCACTTAGTCAGCGCCACTTGGTGGACTTATGGGAATTTTCAACGCTCGCTCAAATTTTTTTGTGCCCCGTCATCTTGGCTGAGATGCAGTGGAGCAGGTTGAACGCAGAGGGCTGGGTAGAGGAAGTGGCATCTTGAAGAGCTATCACACATCTGGGCTTGGCCAAAGCCCCCTTTTGGGCCACGAACGACGTCACCCAGTGCGCATGAGTAATGAGTTTGGCTTTTGTTTGTTTGTCGATGTTTCATCTGTTTGTTATCGCGTTGAAGTCACCAGGCCACGTTGGGGGAAGTGACTTTAAACTGGATTTGGATTAACTGGAAATAAGTCTTAAAATATTTTTTAGAAATTATATATTATTCTCATAATTTAATTACCCTTTTCATCAAGTTCTTCATGTCTTAAGCCAGCAATTATTTTCAATTTAAGAGCATCAAGTAAGTCCACTTCAGTCTACCCATATCATTTATCTTTATGCGTTTGCAATGGCCAACTAAAAGTTGATTAATATGCAAAGTGTTAAGCAGTCGGCTCTCCGCCCCCCTGGCTTATGGATTTGACATTTTAAGGCCCCCCCACACTGCCTATATGACAATGCATTTTTGGTTTGTTTTTTCGTCTTTCTGTTTGGATTTTCATATTATGTTTTTGGGGGGAGCACTGCAATCGGCCGGCGAACGACCTTGCCGGAGTTATTGTCCAAATATTTGGTTCGCTCAAGGTTGCAGATTTATTTTAGGGTTTTTCGTTTTTCAATTTAATATACTTTTAACAATGAGGAATGGATGGATAGCAACACCCTTTTGAATTTGAATTCCCCGCCAAGTGGCAGCCTTATTCGCCGGATGGCCCGGCAACTCTGGCGACTTTTTAAAAAGCAAGCGGCGACTTTATGATTTATAGTGGTGGCTGTTCTCATGTTGTTTGTGTTACTTGATTGTTGGTAATTGCAGTGCAAAAATCTCAGTTTTGTTTGGTGTGCGACGTCTCTCTAGTTCCGAAACGCAGGCGCGTAAGGAAGAGAAGCCGGAAGTCGAGGAGGTGGAGGAGCAGGAAAGGAAGAAGAACTAGACCAAAGTGGATTTCATTCAATAGCAAAAAACGGAAGGTGGTGGGTAAAATCATAGCAATCAGCCCCCAGAATACGCCAACCCGTGAGTGTCAACTCACCACCGAAAAAAGAATAACGATTCCGGGGGAAAGGTGAGAGCGCTGCTGCTGCAGGAGAGAGTGCCGCAGAGAGTGCGCGAGGGTGGAGGGTGGTCTGTTAATGGTGAGAATTGCAGGCGGCCCGGTTCGCCACAAGCTTCTTCTTCTTCGCACCTCAGTCACAATTCGCATTTCGAGCAGTACTGCTCTCTTCTCAGCGCCGATAACAACGGTCAATTTCCGGAAAAGCCTTTCACAAATAAAATATATATTCAAAAAAAAAAAAATACCCAGGAAATAGAAACCGAACGCGTCGCGAAATGTCTTCTAAAGTGAGTGTGTGAGTGTGCAAAAGGATACAAATCATAGCAGAGTCAGGAATACCAAACCCCCCAATAATCCCGTGAAGCTTCCGAACTCAAGCCGCAGCATCCCAGCCACACACTGTTCTAACCTCACTTTCTTCACTGGAGCCGGTACGTACACGCCCTAGAAAAATATGTGGGGGCCCCTTCGGTCTCGTTATACGCCCCTTTGGCATCCCATATTCCTACATTTATTTCCGAAATATTTTTAGAACATTTTTCGCCTAGTTTGAGCATATTTTTTGTATGCTGTTTGTGGTTTTTTTTCTCATTTTTTTTTTTGGCTCGCCATTTATTTTTAGCCCCCTTCCTGCAGCAGCCCCTGTTTATGTATAGTCCCCACCCCGCCCTCACAGCACTTTATTCAGTTCCCTACTAAAAATGTATGTCGCTGGGTTTATTATCTCATCCGGAGAATGTCGCTGCTTTTTGGCGTCGACGGTTGTAAAAAATTTACCAGAAAATCTGACATTTCCGTTTCGTGTTTCCGCTAAGAGAAGTCGAGCTTTAAGGGAAACCGAGAGACAGGAGAAAGCTAAGCCAGAGAGAATGTCAGTGTTGCTGAGGTTCCGTGAGCCGAAAAAAAGCGCAGCCTAAAATTATGCTTCTTTATTACAATAATCTGTATTTCCCCAGAGAAGATATAAAACCGCTTGATAAATGAATTTAACAGATAAATAGTGCACTGATAGACTCGATCCGATAAAGGGTTATCTTATCTAAATGTCATAGAGCTGCTGAGTCAGCTGGTTGAGAATTATATAAGCAGTCATAGCTATAGCAACCACCCGGAAAAGCCGGCAGATACCCAGGAAAATAGTAGTAGCAGAAAATGGTAGCGAACCAAGGAGCGTTATTCTCTTTTCGCACTCTCTCGCGGGGGACTTTCTCTTCAGAATTCCGAGCAGGAATTCTCTCCCCGAACGAGAGCAGGCGCGTGAAATAATCTTGGGGAGCTTAGGAGGAAAAAATGAAACAGCATTTTCCAATTGATTTTCAAGGCGGTAGACGCGAGCTCTTTCCTGCCACCCAAAAAAAAAAAAAATTTCCCTAAATAGCTTAAAGAAAAATTTTGAATAATTCGGTCTCGCTAATTGTTTCCTGTGAGCTGTGAAAATGTTTCCGAAAATGCGTGAAAAGTGCAGGAGAAGTTCCTCGAATAAGCGCTGATTGCATAAAATAAATGATGTGTGAGTAGTATTAGCCCGCCCGGGAAGCTCCAGGAAAACTCAGATGGGTGGGGGTGGTGGTGGTTCCGCCCGAAAGTATGCTCCAAGCTGAATGGAGCTGCTGACAGCCTTGCTATTAACTCGGCTCATAAATAATTTCGATTTAATCGGCCGATTTTTCGTCTTTCCCTGTGTGTGACCCCCCCAGATCCTGTGTGTGAGTGACTGTGTGTGTGTGTGTGTTGCTGCACTCGTGGGCAAGGCGATAACATTTCAAGTGCATTATGTCATTTTCCCCGTTTTGTTGTCTACCTTCCCTGTCCACCATCCCCTGCCCCCCTGCCAGTGCCAGCGAAACCATGTGTGTGAGTGTTTGCCATTTGACAGCCGAGAATAAAAAAATAGAGGACGAGGACGAGGACGTCCTGTCAACAGGGCGCCATCTAATGCCGTAACTTTGTGTAATTAAAAAAATAAGAATGTACAAGGATGCGGGAGGTGTTCGAGGGTGTGTGTGTCTGTGTGTGTGTACCAAGCCACTTATGTGTGAAGCTCGAATGACAATGTACGTGAATGATAAGATAGTCCATCAGCATTAGCCTGACTTTTGGACTCTTCAATATTAATAAAAATATAATTAATAATACATACATGTGATGGAAATCTTTCAGTGGACAAAAAACGTGCTTTATAAATCGATACGAATGTATTCCTCTTTCCCTTTAATCCCAGTATTGCCTTCTATTCAGGAAAGAACTTTTATTTTATGCTGGGCCATTTCCGGTTAGATTGGGATTTATTTGCTCAGCCCGAAAGTAGGCAAATGGGTCTCTCAGCTTCCGCTACTCCCGCGCTCTCGGCCATCTTCCTCGACAGCCACTGAATAAATTCTATGGCCTGGCAAGAAACTTTTTTGCTTGTATGATGTCTCTTTTTGTTGTTGTTGTTGCACTGTGAGAAACGGGGGGCGATGGGGTGGCATGTACAGTGTACAACAATGGCACACAGTCGCCACGCTTGGCTAGCTCTTCGATCTGGCCAGCAAGCCTATTTCGGGAGGCAGCTTCGGATACTGAATGTGAGAAGTGGCTTATGCAAAATCAATTAAAAACTCAAATATTGACCAGAGCAATTGTCAGGATTTAGGGGGCACGTGGCAGTCGTATCAATGAAACACACCCACTAGCATAAACTAAAATAGAGCTGTACCAAGTTCCCTTAGTAGTACACAGAGAGAATTAACCAAAAAAAGTGTCGAAAGCTTTGTTTAAAATATAGTTTTTTGGGTGGATTATTTGTCAGTGTATTCAATTAGTTCTTCCAGTTAGTGGCTTTAATTAATCACCTCCTCCTTCAACATCTCCAACCCCTGCTATAAACCGCAAGTGTGACTTGACTTCCAATTAGAGACAAAATTCTCGTGTTGGGCGATTCGGGACTGAGGGTTTTTTTTTTTTTTTGGTAAGACCTTACCTGGTGGCAAGTGCAAGATTATGCATTCACACGCACGCACGCGAGGAAATCAAAAAGAGATACCTGATACTGTTGAAGCTTACCCACATGTGTGTGTACTTTGACCTCTTTCACCGCTGCTGCCACCGCCACAGCCACAGCCGGCGTCTCTGTCAACGTCATCGTGAGTGGTCAATGTCAGTGCCTGGCCAGTGGCCACATATCGAATTTCTTTCTCTCTTGGCCTTTTCCATCTTATTCTCCACCATTACCATTACCATTTCCATCTCTATCCATACCACACCACAATTCCCTCGTTTTCCACGACTTGTTTTTCCACGCACCGTTCTTTTGCGGCTTTTTCAATTAAAGCTTGTTGCATGCTGCCGCCGCTGCCGTTGACGCTGCAGCTGGCGTCGCTGCCTGCCCGGCTGGCTGTCTCTCTCTGCAGGTGGATCTCAAATCAGAGCTCGGCTTGGTTTACGTGTCCACCACCGCTCTCCACACTGCTTTCTTTTGTGCGCCTTTCTTGGCAGCGCAGCTTTGAAGCTGGCTTCATACAGTGGATCTATATGAATTTATGATTCTTAAAAAAAATATGAGGATGTTTTCGATAAGGTCTTGTTTTTTAATTAATTATTTTTAAAGAATTTAAAACTCTTCTTAAAGAAGTCCTTATTAATTAACTTTTAAGAAAGTCAAATAGTCTACTTTTATGATATTTTTGATTTAATTAATCAAGCTCTTGTACCATAATCTGTATCTCAGCTAGCAAGCCACTGTGCTTTGGCAGCGGCGGCGGCGGCTGCATAAATCTTTCACTTCTTCGGCAGCCACGTTTAGTTCAGTTCCAGCCGGCCGATGAAGCGCACGCGTCGAAAGAAAGCCCCCCGATAAAAGATAACAGCGAAGAGCCATAAAAAGCCAGTAGAAAAGCAGCAAGAAAGCGACGAGCATAGAACCAAATGTGAACTCTCTCCGCGATAACTCTCTCCCAGAGCCGCTCTCGTCCGCCCGCTCTGTTTAAGCCGTCGTCGCAGCCGCAGCCGCAGTCGTTTAAGCCAAGTCGTTGTTCGCATTCGATTTCTTTGCGCATGCGCAACGGGCACCTCTCCGGTCATTTCGGTCTCCGACAGCTCTCTTCTCCTCTCTCCGTCGTCTGCAACGTCGCAAAAGTGAAAATATTTGGAGAAATTTCTTGGCGCAGAAGAAGAATTTCGGACCACTGGTGTGGAGTTACTTAGTGTGTCAGGAGGTATAATACACGTACTAACAATACTCGTATCTTGCCTTGCCTGTAGTGTCAACGGCAAACAAATAATCACTGCAGAATCAGTATCTCGTCTACGAAAATAGAGAATCCGAGAGTTTTCCGTTCAGTCGTATCTCAGTTTCAAGTTTTTTTCACGCCCAAGCCCCAATTAAACGATAAAACTCAAGTGCCAAAGTTCCGAATTCCAAATTTCGAATTTCGAATCAAAGTTACGAATTGCAAGCCAATGTCAATGACCTAAATTCGGTTAAATTCCCCGGAAAAACGAAGCGGGAAATCCAATCGAATCGAACCGTATCGAATCGAATCGAATCGAACGATCTGCGGCAGCATCATCATCTTCGATCATCGGCCATATGTTTGCCTGACAAGTAAGTGCTAGCCAGGCTTGGCCCACAAATATTTGAGCCGTTTCTTTTTTTCGTCGGATTATGCAACATCGTTTTTTAGCTAATATTTGACCCCCGGCTGAGGTCCGTCCGCAGTGAAGCTTCCCTAACATTTATTTCCAAACAATGTATCTTTATTTTTGTTAGTCCTGGTCTTGGATATACTTTTAGGCAATTTTCCGAATTGATTTTTTTGGTTAATTTGTAATTAGGGCTCGCACTCGATTGAGAAACCTTTTGGAGGTGATGGACTTATGGATGTTGGACTGTGGCCAATAACCATATCCAGACTGAGACACTGGGGCTGCGAGAAAGTTTTAAAAGGCAACAAATATTTTCGAAATTTTTGTTGCTGTATATTTGTAATATTAATCATTGCATATTTACAAATAAAATTTGCACACAGACGAGACAACAACTAGCGACAACGAAAACGAAAATGAAAACGATAACGACAGCGAAAAGACGACGGAGCATAATAAATAAACATGGATCATGGCCACACACACACATACACGTCTACAGATATAAAGATACAAAGATACTACATCTCACATTGCAAAAAAAAAAAATTATAAATAAATAAAAAAATAAAAAGAAAAACCAAAAGGCCAAAAAAACCCTAAAAATCAAAAAGGCCAAAAGAGTGTGACAGTGAAAGACTGACAGAGAGAGAGAGATAGAGAGTTGTAGAAAGAGATAGCACCTGATTGTTTATTTAATTTTTACATTTACAAATATCATTACAACGATTTCTGCTTTTGTGGGGTAAATATCTGTCTCTCGGACAATGTGTCATGATTGCGAACCCACATTGACTTGACCCACATTTCTGGCTGGGAGTGGAGTGGAGTGAAGTGCCATGGAATGGTGGCTGGCCAAGAGACGCATGCGCAAATGCATCGCTAAGCAAGCGCTGAGCTCAGCCATTTATTGCCTGATAATATGGCCAGATAGATGCCACATGAGACATTGTAGTAACAGTTGGGAGGGGGGTGGTCTGACATACCATACCACGACATATTTCTATTGATTACGTGCCTGGCTTACCTGAACGACACTCGAAATTTCTTTTTCACTTTCGCAAGTTGCCGCGTCTCTGGGCCAGATTCTACATTCTACTTGGCCACGGGGCTAATGGTCCTACCCGAAATGGGTTGCGGAGCCATTAAGCCAGCCACTTGGCATTCAGATCGATTGTTTATTGGGCACACACTTTCGCAGTCTGTGACGTAAAGCGAAAAAGTCGCTGTCGCGGTTTCTATAGCAGTGTATGTAGTATTTGGCGCTGGTAAATAAGGAGAGTCTTAAAATATCGACTTCCTCCAAAACTCGAGCTTGTGTTTACCTCCATATGAATGAATTCTGTGAAATTTCAAAGGGGAACATTTCATTGAGTAGTTCCCAAGAACCCGTCCACCCTATCTCCCCTTCATATAAATGGTATCAGCTTATCTAACCCTGAAAATTCTAACCCCATAAATATCCATACATGTGGAATTTTGCAAAGAAATGAGGTTTATCTTAAGGTCTAGTCGACCATAAATCTTCATCTTATAATTGCAAGACAAAATTGTTTTTGATTATTCAAATTACCCAAGAACAGCGACAGGGAATAATAGAATTTTTAATTGCCGGAGGACTAAAGACTTAAGACTAAAGACTAAAGAAATGCTTTAATTGGGCCCGTAGACTTAGCTCATGTGAGCGGCCTAAAAATAAGTGAAATTTATATTATAATTGTGAATTATTTAATATTTTCTAGAGAGCGCGTGAGACGACGGAGGCTTAACTCGACTCAGCTGAGCTTCTAAATTGGGTAGCTAATCTGGTGACTACCGGCAGATAGGGGATCGGGTCGGGTGGCGGTGGCGCTGGAGGAGCAGCCCCCATTATACACAGTTAAATTTAACTTTTATGCTGTAAACTGCGAAATCGCTTTTGTTTGTTAATCAAGGCACACAAATTATGGGCAGTGGGAGGGAGACTAGAGGGAGATCCGAGATCCATTCTATCCAACCCTCTACAGATTTATTCAATTACACACAAAGCATAGATAGATTACGATAACTGTAAGAGCAGACATAGTCAATGGACAGGGGACAACGGACAGCGGACAGCGGACAGGGGACAACGGACAACGGACAAGGGACAGCTGACAAGCGGCAGCCACCGACATCGACGACGACGAGGCAACATTTCCAGAGTCGCCACACTCAAAGGTTCAATAGAATAGAGGGCAGAGACCCATTATGCACACACACTCACAAATACACCACAGCATCCGCCGTAGCTCGGGGTCTACGGGTTTACATAATGAGAGGCCTCCCATTGTTGGAAAGTGAAAATGCATATTTGAACTTTCGTTTGCGTTATTATCGTTAAATTAAGTTCGATCCGGAGCTAAACGCCTCGAAATGAGACCACACTGAACCGAATGAACTTCAAAATTGGCAATAAAACCCTTAAAGCCCCACAGAATTCGATCCGTATCTTATAGATGTACTTACGTAGATGGCGAATGCGGAAGCATTCGATGCGGCTGCGGGCTTATGTGTGAGTGTTGAAGCCCTGGGTGCTAAAGACTCGTAATCCGAAAGCAACAAGCTCCAAATGAGGAAACAGCAGGGCTCAGATATATATACATATATATGTATGTATATGTATATATAGTCGATATATAGGTGAGAGCCGGAGAGAGGTGACAGTGTAGAAAAGCGCAAAGAAGAAACACGGTTAAAGACGGGTCTTCAGACATGGGCTACTAATAAGGAAACCAACATGACCGAAATTACTCATACTCTAGGTGGAATTCATTCAAAATTTATGAATAATTCGGTAATCGGTTATTTAGTTATAAAGATATATATATTTACCCTCAATATATAGTCCTTGATAGGTACCCTAATTGCTAATTGATTACCACATTAATTACTCTATAAAATAGTAGGGTATTTGATAGATTGGTAATTCCAGGGAAGGGTAGAGCGGTATTTTCCAAATGTCCGGCAAGGCAACTTGGCCAGTTTGTCGATGACGGTGACGAAGAATTTAATAACGATAATGACGATGACGATGAAGATGATGATGAGGATGGGTATGATAATGATAATGATGGTTGGGTCTTAATGATGATAATGCGGCACGATTATAGGAAATGGGTCAGACAATACACGGGCAGCAAGACTGGTGTGTAACTACCTTGTCAAGGCAGGTTGAATGTTGAATGTTTACCGTTTAACAGCACACACGCAGATACGACTACAGATACAGATACACAGATACATTTCGGTCTTCATGTTTGGTTAACACGCTCCAAGTGGCGGGTTGGCGGTCTGTCGGAGGGCGCTTTAAGAGGCGTGGCTCGGCCCGTTGTCCGCGCGAATTTTCGTTGCAGTTGGTAAGACCCAAGGAAGGCCAAAAGAGAGCAGAAGAAGAAAGAGCAGAGTGGAGAACCGGGCTCGGAGAGTGGGAAAAAGTTGATTTTCAAGAAATTTCACTTAAGAATGAAGAAGAACCAGTAAACGAAGTTGGCCAGGTCTCTTCTCGGAGGCTCTGTGGCTTCATTGATAAATTTACAGTTACGTGATGAAGCTGCTCTGATTGCCGCCGTCTCGAAAGATGTTTAAACTTTAATTATAGAGCTCCGAGCAGGCAGTCCCAACTAGTTCAGCGGATATAGCCCAAAGATTTGATAACATCTCCGCGCAGAGCCATGATGCCAAAAACTCGAAAAAGCGGCCAAAAAACAAACAACAAATGTGCCAATTTCTTAACACATTTCTTGGCTACATAGAGACACATAGCGATCGAAAGAAAGAAAGACGAAATTTTTTGCCAAGTCAGTAAAAGAAACCTTCAAATGCAAATTACCAAAACGAAATAGCGCCAGATTTTTGTACAAACTAAAAAATTGAAAACGAAAGTTTGACCAAAACACAACAACAACATCAACAAATTTAAATACAAGCAAAGGGAAAAATATTGCGGAATTTAGATATTTATAAAAAAAAAAAAAGAAGAAACAACCGAAAAGATCGACAAAAAATTCAAAAATAAAAAGTGAAAGTCATTGGCAGCGGTATGAACCTCCAAAAATTGGTTTTAGCGACGCCACGCATTTTATTTAGCTTGTTGGGCTTTAGGCCAACATCATCATCATCAGAGCTAGTACGGTCTGTGGTCCGTCATTTGGGCTTGACGTCACACCCCATAAGTACAAGTATCGTATCAATCTAGCCAGATATTCATATATATACACATTGCCCATATTTCCTGGTTACGATCAATATTTGGTCAACAATCAATTTGAATTTCAATTAGCAAGGCGCTCGGTGAATTACATGAGGAATGGCGGATGGTCTGATGCAAGGGTTCGAAGGTTAAACCCTTCCCTTAGACACCTATAACCAAATATTTTGTATCATGGGATGAACTTCGAGGAGGAACAAATACCCCCGAGGAGGGGTGTTGTTGTCCAACAGCTAGTTTCCCTTTTAGCCGTTTTGTGTTGTGTTTCACTTGTAAGCAAGCGTTTTGTTGACAAAATCATTTAGTTTTTGTTTTTTTTTTTACAACCCTAGAGAGTCAGGAACTGCGTCGATAGAACCTTTTGTTTGGACTAGCTAAACGCGCCACCCCGCCTCCTGCTCCGTCTCCTTCCTTCCGGCTCGGGGTTAACGATTTCCTCGACACTATAAAGCCGGTTTCCATGGGTTCGGAGGATCGATTAGTCTCGACATCAAGGCATAATTAGCCCTTTTATAATGGATTACGACAGGGCATCAGACGGGGCTAGATCTTGTCACCACGGGAGGAAACGTGAGGTGTGACACACTTAAGTGCCACTTGATCAGGCGGGTCGCCGGAGCAGCCGTAGCAGACGTAGCAGCCGCAGTCTCTCGGCTCAAGTGAAGCCGATGTAAAAATCGTTTAATATAGAATGAAGTGTTCCCAGCGGTAACGTGAGCATTCGGCAACTGTCACTGCTATCGACAGTATCGTCTCCCCGGGCTCGGTTCCGTTCAGTTCAAGTCGTAGAATTCCGTTCTCGGGTCTTTAATTCTCAGCAGTTGTCGCCTTGTAAGCCGATTTAGGCATTAAGCCGATTTTGCATATTTAGCTCTATTGTGCGTAAAATTCATTTGCTTGGGCCCCTGAGCCCTGAGTCCCACTACTTGCCAGAAAACTAGACACTTATTTTTACGTGAGCCGAGTGAGTGTATCCTTCGACGTCATTTGCATATCCCCCTTTGTGATGGCCGGTTGCCAATGATGGCCCAAAGACGTCATAGCTCAGATTTGGGTTGCCAGTCAGCTGGTGCCCAAGTGTTTGCTAATTTTAGCCAGGTCCAAAGGATAAATGACGTTTTGATAGATAGATAAATGGATGGATGCTGGTGAGACAAGCCGACATTGATTTGGGTTTCGGTGGAATAATATCCTCCGAATTGACATAATTTCCATGTCCTCGGCTAATTGAGTGTCAGTGGATGTGGATATGCACAACGAGGACACTAGCTAGGGGTTGGAGCATAATTTCTAATCAATAATTGTCCAAAGCAGGGATGAAAATGGCTTATTTATGAACATCAATGTACTAACCAGTTTTGTGTATTTTCTTTGCAGTTCAGCTGTTGTCGTAAATCTGTCTTTTTCACAACATCCCCCACCCAATCCACAGGACATCGTTTCTCCTGCTGAATTCTTTTTTGTTCGAAACTAACCCAAAGCAACCTCCAGGACAATTGACTAATGGAAACATGGACAAGCGCTCACCGGCGGCAGAACGAAATTCAGCAAGCTTTTCAACGGACTTGATTGCATAAATTCCCCCGCTCTCAAAAAATCATAGCAATAGTTAGCAAGGGCTATATGACAACAAAAACTATTAAGGCTTCCAACTAAAATAAACGGGAAAATCGGAAAAGTAACTTCCAAACCAAAAGTAAAATATAGGAATATAAGACAACTTCTAGGAGGAAGTAGAAGGGAAATCCCCCGGGAGAGTACAGAAAACGAGGGAAACTCGAGCGCACACTGTAAATGACAAAAAACTGCTTCCTAATTTAACTTAAGCGAAGGATACTCGAAGGATAATAGGCAGCAAGCAGCACACACACAACCCCAAACAAGCGAACATGTCAAACGCGGTCGCCAACAACAAAGCGGAAACGGAAGCAGCCACAAACAGCAGCCTCAAACAGTCATCCCCAAACAGCCAGCCCGCAAATAGCAGTCACGATGCCAAGCTTCTCAACGGCAGCTTGGCCAGAACCAACGGCTTGACCCACGCCGCCTCATCTGCCGTCTCAGCCGCCACCTCAGGTGTCACTTCATCCTCGACGGCATCGGCAGCAGCGGCGGCGGTTGCCGCCTCAAACCTCCTGTCCGCGGTGGCGCCCTCCAACGCCCTGCCCTTGCCGCCCAGCAGCAATGGCCTCCAGATGCCGTACGAGCGCTATCGGGCGGACGACACCAGCTACGTGCCCATTGGACAGTTTTACGCGGGACGCAGTGTCTTCATTACGGGAGGAACTGGCTTCATGGGAAAGGTGAGTGTTTCTTTTTTTGCCAAATTCTTATTCCTGTATCATTTATGTATGCTTTAAACGTTCAAACCACACTATTTTAAAGAGCTAATAATCAATTTTGGCCAATAACTCCGATGGCCTTAATTTTGAATCGTGTGGCGCCTTTTCAACATTTGTTGCATACTTTTGCGGGCCACGCGACCAGTTTCCTGCATTCACGTCACGCATACGCCGCGTGTTTATTGGCTTTGAATTGAACTATTGAACCCGCTGGCCTGGTTGGGCTCGATTGAAAACTCCAAGTGCTCTCGGTCATAAAATATGCACAAATATTTGTGTGTGTGCCGATAAACAAAACAAAAACGTCAGGCAATAAAGTGGCGGGTGGGTGGTTGGCTCCACTATGGTGGTGTGGTGGTTGGTAGTGAAGTGGAGATGGAGTGTTTGCCCCGCAGCCAGACTGAATTTTAGATGCACTTCGTGCTGGCTGTTTATGGCCGATATGCGTGTGTGCTTGACTCGGTTTGGTTTGGTTAAGTTGTAGTTTTTTGTTTTTTATCCGAAACGCTTGAGCTGAACTTAGCTGGCTGCAGCCAGACGTTGTTGACTCATCGTCGCCTGCCATGCGAATGCCCCATAATGCTGCAGCTGCGTCTACGGCAGAGCTTCCTACTCCAGGGTTCACCTAACTGCCGCTCAAGGAGCAACCGAAGACTAATCCTTTGCCCTTCCGCAAATATTCTTTGCACTCTTTTCGTGTCTAATAGTAAGCACATGCAAGGAACTTAAGAAAAAAAGTAATATTTATTTATTAAATAGTCAGCTCTTTTTTCTCTCTGTGCATATTGCATGTCGGTAGCCTTAGACTGCGTCATTATGACATGAAATCGCAACGGCGCCGCCCAGACTCTGAGCTCACAGTGCTGTGTGTTGTTCATCGATTTTGTGCTCCTGGCACGCCCACCACCCACTTGCGCCACCCACACAGCCAACCACCCACTCGAAACAATCCACGGAAGCCACCTACCCTTTTTTTTTGTCTGCCGTGAGCCGTTTTCGCTTAATTCCGATACAATTCTCACATCGTTTCTGGGGCGTGTCCCAGCCCATGGGAAGTAGTTTCCCAAAAGAGTCAAGTCAAGCCAAGCCGCAGACATTACCGAAGTGGGTCAAGAGTGTCCTGGCGAGGGCGTAGTATTAATCGTTTACTGTTGTTTACTGGCTCTGTGCAATGAATAGTTGACTAATTACATTTCTCCTTGATATCACCTCTTCAGGTACTGGTGGAGAAGTTGTTGCGCTCATGTCCGGACATAAGGAATATATATCTTCTGATACGACCGAAACGCGGTCAAGAAGTGTCTGCACGTCTCACGGAACTGTTAAATGCACCGGTAAGTACAAATTAATATGATAATTAAGTAAATATTATTAAAAATTATATTATTTTGTAGCTTTTCGAATCACTGCGTCGCGAAAAGCCCAAGGAACTCAGCAAAGTCATACCCATTTCGGGCGATATTACATCTGAGGAACTGGGCATTTCAGAAAAGGATCAGGTAGGTCTATGACTAATATTTTTAAATATGGTTAATTAATAATTTGTATATTTTTAGAATCTACTGTGTCGCAATGTTTCCGTGGTCTTTCATTCGGCTGCTACTGTGAAATTCGATGAGAAGCTCAAACTGTCTGTCACAATAAATATGTTGGGGACGAAACGTCTTGTAGAGCTCTGCCATCGTATGCTGTCACTGGACGTGAGTCTAAATAATTAGGCATATTCTTAAAATAAATTATAAGTTTTTATTGGGAATATTCTAGGCACTAATCCATGTCTCCACTGCCTATTGCAATTGCGATAGAACCGATGTGTCTGAGGTTATCTATGCGCCGCCGTACAATCCCGACGATATCATCTCACTAATCAACTGGCTTCCGGAGGATATACTCGATCAGGTTGATACTGTTACTTGTAATTTAATGATTTATTTTAATATATATTATATATATTTAAAGCTGACACCGCGTCTGATTGGCAAGCGTCCCAATACGTACACATTTACAAAAGCCTTAGCGGAGCATATGTTACTTAAGGAGGCTGGTAATCTGCCCGTTGCCATTGTAAGGCCATCGATTGGTGAGTGTTTTTTTTTTAACTAAAATTAATAGTTAAAAAAATGATAAATTATATTGTATTCTTTAGTGACTGCCAGTCTAAATGAGCCTTTCGCCGGCTGGGTGGACAACTTCAATGGGCCAACTGGCTTGGTCTCGGCGCTGGCCAAGGGCATGTTCCGCACGATGATGTGCGAGAAGAACTATGTGGCCGATATGGTACCTGTCGATATTGTGATTAACCTGATGATTGCCGCCGCCTGGCGCACTGCTACCCGCAAGTCCAACAACCTTCTCATCTACAATTGTTGCACCGGCCAGCGCAATCCCATCGTCTGGTCGGAGTTCGTCAAACACGCCATGACCAGTGTGCGCAAGCATCCCCTGGGTAAGATTCCCCGAAATGAGCCACCTTAACTATAATTATCATTATAATATTATTTTCTGTAGAGGGCTGCCTGTGGTATCCGACTGGTGACCTGCGCATGAACCGCCCCATGAACACGCTGAATTGTATAGTCAAACACTTCCTACCGGCCTACATTCTGGACGGAGTGGCTCGAATCATGGGCAAAAAGCCCTTGTGAGTATACCCCATTGCTCCCTTAAGAACTATGTTTTATTAACTATTGTTTTCTGTTCATTTGTAGCGTTGTCAGCGTACAAAATAAAATTGCCAAAGCTGTGGAATGCTTAGAGTACTTTGCCACACGCCAATGGCGCTTCAAAGACGACAATGTCCACGCCCTGCTGAACACGCTGAGTCCCAAGGATCGGGAGGTATTCGTTTTCGATGTCCGTCACATCAACTGGGACAAGTATGTGGAGCGCTATGTGCTCGGATTCAGGGAGTTTCTGTTCAAGCAGCGACCCGAATCCTTGCCCGCCAGCAGAAAGCGTATGCTAAGGTAGGCAATCATATTTTTTGTCCTGTGAAAATGTATTTTAATCTTAAATTTCATTTTAGGCTCTACTATCTGCATCAGCTGACCAAACTGGTGGCGGTGCTGCTCACGTGGCGCTTCCTGATGTCGCGCTCCAAGCGCCTGAACGACTTGTGGAGCGCCTTTCTGGACAATGCGCTGAAATTGGCGCGCTTGATACCCTTTTTGTAATTAATTAGAAGGTGACCGAGGACCGATGAGGATTCTAAAGTTTGGAGACAGCAACAGCGGTTGGCATATGTATATGTATGTGTTGGGATCTGGTAGGATCTGCGATGTTCTTCTACTTTGCGATTTCTAAATGCTTCAAAATGGCGTAAATCTTAGAGGTTTTTAGCAAATAATTATATTCATATTTTTTATATATGTTACAAATGAGTAAACACCAGAACCCACAAACATCCAAACAAAAAGCGGAAAAAAGGAAAAGATATACAAAAAAAAAAGAAAAGAAAAGAAAAACCATGTTAGACAACAAGAACATCAGCAAAATAACAGATTACAGATTAAATATTTAATAACTGAACGGGGTAATTAAATGGCATTGGTATGCACAACACCGCCCACATTTATTCAGGTGTTATAATAGATCAGGTGTGCGAGGGCCAGGTGATGGGTGTCGGTTGTTGTCTCCGCTTGTTTCTCTCCTTCTGCGAGATTGTAATATTTTGTGAAATACTGTAGACGCGAAAGGAGAAACCCAAAGTAGGAGCGAATTCCACCAATTTTTGCATAACGAGATGAGGGAATCGAGTGAATTTATGGTCGGGATTCATCGATAATGAAGCAATTTGCATGAATTAGTACATCCAAAACTATATAAAAGACACAAACAAAAAGCTAAACGAGAAATGAGAAAAGCGATTTACAACAATGATTAGTGAAGAGAATAAATTAAATTAACAAAAAAAAAATGAGATGGCTTGTTATTGCTTTAAAAATTACATAAACGTAACGTAAACTATGCTAATTAATTAATATTAATTATAAATATTATTACGTAACGAGCGAACATTGCATATAAATAATACGACAAAGAAAAACCAACATTATTTATAATTGAATGTAGTTTTAAAATTTTTACATTTAAAATTAAGTTTTCAATTTATATAAATGAAAGCAGAAGGAGCGGCTGGCGACAAAATTCAGATATACAAAATTCAATTTATGTATATGTATATGACAAAAAAGGCAAAAAAACTAAAACAAAACAGCAAAAAAAAAAACAAACTATAATAATAATAATAAATTTATGAAAACAAAAATTATATTTATATATATGAAAATCTGAAAAAATAATTTCTTAGCATTTGCAGCCTAAAACCTAAATCTAAGCGTAGCCGAAAAAAAAGAGTTTCCAAAAAGATAAACTATGAAAAATGTTTTTTGAGACAAACGCAATTAGAGACATGATTATGAAATTTATATTAAAAGAACACGAGACACAAATACACACCATACACATACAGAATGAAACCAAGACACATATAGTAAGAACATTCCATCCAGTCAGTAGAAAATCGGGCATCCAATCAACTCTTCCTCCACTTTGGACTTTTGCTTCCCGCCTCGTTTGATCGATATGGGCCAGGTATATGGGCCATTATAATGGTTACGACCAGGATAGTTCGTTCTCGGGTTCGTTTTCGTGCAATTATTAAATGTCTTATGTTATGCCTAGAATTTATTATGTTTTATTTTTAAATCGATTTGTAAATTGCAGTACATCAATAAAAATACACTTCCAAAATAATAATATAAATATACCTACGCGTTCTTTTTATTTTCCTTACAAAAATTAGCCTCTAGATAAAGTCAAAGCTATCTAATAATATTTCCAAAAACGAAACCAACTAAACTATATTCAAAAATTGTAAGCTACAGCCACATTTTAGTTTGTATTGGTCATGACAAGAAACTAACTTAAGTGAGGAGATCGATGAAAACAGGAGACCAGAAAATAATTCAATCTAAAAAAAACGTCAATAAAACAAATTATAAAGAAACTGGAGTACTTTTTCCTTTCGGAGGGAGTGCCATTTTTGAAATAAGAACACAGATTAATATTGTTTTTGTACACATGAATTTCATTTTATTATTTTTCTCAGTTTTTCGGTTGTGTTTCTTTGTCATTTCGCATTTCCAGCGCGGTTACACGCCACCGACTTTAAAATACTTCTCCCCTTCACATGCCCAAAATATATATGTTGTTAAGATATATTTATACTTTTTTCGATTTTGCTTCTTAAGATGTGCTTATGTTCAAAGATAATTTAAAACTCGTCCTCGACTCACGGGGGGAGGAAAAGCATAAAAGAGGTGAAATTCGGAACTGACGGGGGAAAGTTCTAGATAGGTGGACTGTGAAGGAAGTACGAGCATGGGTAAGTGTCAGTAATACATTTCTTAGCTGGTATTTGCTATAGCTTAGATCGATCGAATTTGAAATTATACAGTGTGAGCTCCATTTTCAAGTTCTGGTTCGTTTTCATCCATTAGTTTTTTTTGGTTTTTGGTTTTTCAGCAAGTTATGACGAAGATATATCGATCTTATCTCTTGGAAGTGTGGTATCATCGTTAAATGGACTTTTGTTGCTGTTCTTAACTGATTTGCTTAGTTGCTTATTTTGTATTATATATAACTTGCCACCAATCCATCATCCATCACTCTATCAATCCAGCTTACAAAATGTTGTTCTAGTCTTTGCGTTTCTGTTACTTGTTTATTATTTTCACTTTTTTTTTTCATTTACCGCGTTACCCTTTAAATGTAACAAAATAATTTACGATTTTAAATGAAAACCATTAATTGTTTTAATTAATATTTTTATATCTATAACTAAGTTTAAGCCTGTTTCGCATGCACTAAACTTGCATTCAAAGTTACCTCGTTTTTTGCCTTTTTTTTTGGGATTTTTTTTCTAGTATATAAAAATACTATTTATTTATTGTGTGATTTTTTGTAATACTTATTTAATGTCTTAAATTGTTTTTTAAATATTTGTATATATAATTTTTCTTTTTTATCTTTTCTAAACTTCGTTGCGAATTTTTATTGTTGAGAAATGAAGTGCCAAACTACTGATATCGGCCTGAAGAATGTTTCAACCAAAAATCGTTTATCCTTCCTGGAGTAAATGCCTTGACCTGGTTCTGCCTACAACATTGCAAGGGAACTGATCTGAAGAACTTAACATAGCTTTAACTCTTGAAATTTATGTAAAAATCCAATCTCAAAACTGAACCAGGATCAACAATCAACCGACAACGATCTGTGAATATATATGCATATGTAACTCTTCTTTTTCAGGTTCTGGGCTTTAGGTACACAAGGTATTTATTTCTTTATTTTCAGGGTACAAAAATGTCTGCTAATCCCTTATGCTTATAGAGGTGTTTGTGTGTGTGTGTGTTTTATACATATGCATGTATACGGACAAGTCCTCCATTTTGCTGAAAAGGATATCTCCGATTTCCGATTTCCGGATTCCGCTCTCCGATTTCCGGTAGATGATCTTAGAGTCTTCTGTGTGTAATGCATTTGAGTAAGATTATTTCCCTTACTTGAGATGCCTCGGCACAACCATAATAGATACACATACAACAAAAAAATAATGTTAGTTATCAATTCGATTAAGTACTAAGTATTAGCTGTGGATGCAGAGATATATTCGAATATTTTCATACTTAAGTTGAGCATTCGATTGTGAGCGTACACTTGGTAGGGTTTTATTTCTATTTTCGTTCAATTTATTGGTAATAAATTTAATTTATTTTTTTTGTACAGGTTTTGGATTCGTTTTACGGGTTTTCGTAAGGAGAGTTTTTACTTTTCACTTGCGGAAGTGATGTCGGAAGTACTGCTGTTTAGACCTACGTATGTAATTTTAAATTTAATTTACATGGTTTTGGGTTTCCGCGTGTTCAGCATTTAATTTACGGTTCACTTTAGTCGTACATACATATTGGATATATTAGTTGATTATAAATATGTGTATATACGAGAATATGTTTGCGTGTATATAGATGTATGCGCACATAACAGTAGACTTTTACATAAAGCAAAACATAGACGTAACTGTATCCCTCCTAGGTATATATATATTTGTATGTTCGGTATCATTATCTAATATATGTATATAATTCTTATTTTCGTTTTGTTGTTTTAAACACACACTCAATTTTCTTAGGTCTAGGTATACCCACATATGGGACTGCATATGCGCGTACAAAATCAAATGTTTCACTTTCTCCCCAACGCTTGTATATTTTATTTATTTTCTGCCTTGGTTAATATATAATGTTGTCGCCTCACTTGTATATCGTTAATATATCTTTATAAAAATTATATAATTTAAAGCTTGTTTGTTACGTTCCAACTAAATGTACAAAATTTCGAATTTCCGATCAACGCCTGAAAAAAGATCGCTAATGATGATGAACAAATACAGGGCTGTGCTGAAAGAATATTTTACAACCAACTCATAACTGAGCTGAATGTTGTTATTTTCAACCGTATTTAAATTTCTTTTCGTTTCGTCTGCTAATTCTAATTTCTGTTTTTTAAACATACAACTGAATTTTCATAAAAATCACCCTGTAAATTGTAGTTTTCTTCTATCGCTTTAAGTGCTACTGGTTTTTATTTCTTCTTAATATTATTTAAATACATACAATATACGTAATTCGCTACGACGGAAGCTTGGTATTTACACTATGTTTCATTTCAATTCGGAGTAAACCATAAAACAACTGAGAACCCTAACTTAAAATATCCTATTTTAAAAACATACGAGTGTGTTGGCATTTTTCACTGACTACATCTGTGGTGTTATTGCGAAATTCAAAGGAGCAGTTGTTGCGGCGCTTTAGACTACTTTAAGTTTGAATCTTGGTTCCCGGTTCTGGACTGTGTATTAAAAATAAGCTAACTCTTCGTCTCTTCTTTTTAAATTTCTCTTTAATTTATTTTCTTTTCTTTAGGAATATTGTTTGGCATTTCAGTCATCAGCTTAAAACCTTAAATAAAATAAACAAAAATTATAAAACACAATAACTTAACTGACGAAAAAGTAAATGTAAAACTTCGATCAATTAATATATACAACCTCTTGCAAAAATCTTTTTTCATTTCCGAGTCGAAACTAATTTTTATCGTAAAAAACTAAACTATATCTTCCAACTAATATTAATCCTCGTTTGGTTTTCAAATTCGATTACTACATAAATCGCGCAATACAAATGTATGTTTAAATTACAATACAATTTTATTTTTGGTGAAGTTCTCACTCGGTTTTGTTATACCATGTTCTTGGTTATATCTCGTTAAGACTCTTTTTTAATCAAGAATTAATATTTTAATGCGCTGGTGGGCGCAAACAAATTGTGATTGGCCCAAAAAACTAGACAAGCTCTAGACACTAGACAGGCAAGAAGTTTTGCCTTCAGGAATATCAACACAATCCTGAATACAAGATTTTGTAAATCTTTTCATCAAAATCAAGGTGTTTCTCAGCATTCCTGATTGTAGGCTCTACGATGACCCGCCTTCTTAACAACTGATTTCGGAATGATTGTTGTTGTCCTTGTACCGGTCCGCATATCCTTGAATTGTAAAAGGTGAATCCGCTCCACTGGCTCCGGTCGTCAGGTCGCCGTTCATCACGGATCCGTTGCCCACAAGGGCATTCCCGTTGGGCACCTTGGCGTCCGTCTCGCCCTTCACCTGGACATTTGCATAGGACTGCTTGGCACTTCCGTTGGGCAAACTCTTCGACAAGGTGGAGGGATCCAGGGTGATGCCGTCTAGCTGCGAGGCAAAGGACAGCGGTGGCTGGATGGTGGTTGGCGTGGCCTGCGGTGTGTCCAGGCTGATAAGCTTGGCATCCTCGTTGGAGGCCAGGGGGAGTTCCTTGCTACAGCTACTGCCTCCGGCAGCTCCATTCGGCTGTTCGCTCTTCGAGTTTGGCAAAATAAAGGACGTCTCCCAGCAGTCGCCGCTGCCGGGATTGGCGCTCTCCAGCGTCCGCGGCGGATGGGGTGCCGCTGGAGAGGTGATCGCCGGCGGGGTGCAGGAGCTCATCTGCTGTCGTTGCGACTCAGCACCGTAGCTGGAGCCACTAGCCATCTGTGGGGTGCCAAGGGCACTGCCACCACCCGGAGGCAGGGGCACCAGGTAGTCCGGCACCGCCAGACAGAACTCCTCGCCGTTGGGAGGCCGAATAACGGTGTCATCCCTCTCGGATGCCGTCGGTCCCAGGATGTTCGGCAGCGGCGCATTCATAATGCTCGGATCCTGGGTGCAGGCTGTCAGGTGCTCCAGCAGGCTGATAAATGTGGGCCGGTCTTCGGGCGTGGGATTCCAGCAGTCGGCCATGACCTTGTAAATGGACACGGGACACTCGGTGGGGGATCCCAGCCTGCCACCGCGCACCACAAGCTCCATTACCTGGGTATTGTGCTGGCCGGGATACGGGGAGCGACCCAAGCTGAACACTTCCCACAGCAGAATGCCGAAGGACCACACATCCGTCTTGGAGGTGAATATGCCATCGAGGAATGCCTCCGGCGGCATCCATTTTATGGGAAGCATGGCCTTACCGCCTTTTCGGTAGTAATCAGATCGGTATATATCCCGGGACATACCGAAGTCGGCGATCTTGACCACCCGACCGGGTCCCTTGCTGCTCAGCAGACAGTTCCTGGCAGCGATATCGCGGTGGATGAATCGCTTGCTCTCCATGTAGCGGCATCCCTTGGCCACGTCCAGGGCGCAGAAGAGCAGGTCCTTCATGGTCAGCAGAGAGGGTCTTTCGGGTGTATTTCGGTTCTCTCGGAGGAACTTTTGCAGATCCCCACCGGCCAGCAGTTCCAGGACTATGTAGTACGGCTGGCGGTCGAAACAGACTCCGATGAGGTGCACCATGTTCGGGTGATTGAACTTGGCCATTATGGCCGCCTCCTTAAGGAAGTCCTCTTCCTTTTCTCGCTTCGGATCTTCCCTCAGTGTTTTCACTGCCACGCCCATTTCGACAGCATCGCCGTCTCGGTGGCGATAGAGAGCCATGTAAACCTCACCAAAGGCTCCTTTGCCCAGGGCACTGAAATTGAAAAAGGTCTGAGTAAAAAGATATCAAAGGATATATGTAAAGAGCACTCACTTCACTAACTGCAAGCTGTCACGTGCCACTTGGGGCAAGCTGTTGACATCAATGTGTCCATTGAGAATGCCATCACATCCATAGTTGGGATTAAAGTTGTTCAGATTAGAGTCGTCAATGTTGTTCCGCAGGCGAGTTAACTGCAGATCCTGCTCCACCAGCATCTTGTGGCGCTTCTTGGACTGCTTCTTGCGTTGATAGCGGTTATCTAAAGAAATTAATTTAAAGATTAATATCGATTAGATCCTTGAGAGTGTAATCCTTCAATAAAACTTACACAACATAAAGATGAGCATCGCTATACAGAAGAAGAGCACGGCCAGCGATACCATCAGAGTGACGACGAGATACTGGAAGGATGACTTGCCCGCCTCCTCGCGAATCTCGCAGGCGGTATTGTTGTCCCTCTTGAGGCTCCAGCCATCCGGACAGATGCAGCGCACCGTCGAGCGAAACTCATCCAGGGCCACGCACCTGTAGTCACAGCCACAGCCTTCGATGGCTGGAATTATGATGATGGCTCCCGCTCCACTGCTGGCTCCTCCCTGAATATCAACGGTCCCCCGGAGACTGCGAGTGGGACTAATGTAGGAGCTACCGCCTTCGCCGTTGGATTCCGTGAGAAAAACATCTCCACCGGCATAGCCGCCTCCGCCGCCTCCTGTGTTGCAGCCTCCACCGCCGCCTCCGAATCCTCCCTGGCCATGGCGGTGGACGGAAGTTCCGTTGTCCGCTAGTTCCACATAGCAGGAGTGACCGCCGCGACCGCCCTGCAACAGGGCAGCTCCATACGTTGGACTTAAGGCCTGATCCTCCTTGGCTCGCCACCCACCACCGGGACCCGCGGTCTTTTTGTTCAGAGGTTCACCATTAATCTGGCCACTTTCAGGGGCCTGGTTCGGTTTGGCTCTTTGGCCATGTTGGAAGTCTTCGTCGATGTACTGGCCAATGCCCAGGCCACCTCCACCACCGGCTATCAAGAGGGGAACTGCTTCGTTTTTGGCCTGATTGAGGAGGAAGACATAGGAGCCACCGCCTCCACCACCGGCTCCATTCTCGATGTAGATTTTCTTCACCATGTCCTGCTTGGAACGGAAGCTATACTGGCCCAGGTCTAGGTCGTGATCCGTGCCACATCCAGGCTCTTTGATCAGACCCATCGACTTAATGCAGGCGTTCTCGCCCTGCTGGCCCACGAGGAAGTACAGCTCCTCGTGCTTGTGGAGTTCCAAAACAGCCACAACAACCGATCCCCGGGAGCTTCCAACTCCTCCGGAGCCCAGACCACCACTGGCACCTTTGGCAATAATCCTGGAGGATATTTATTTTATTAACTATAGTTCTGTGATCAATTTTATTTTAACTCACGTGTAATGACCCTCGTGGGGCACCTTCCACTTTTGCATGCCCTTGTAGGTGCTTTGATCCTCAACCACATGGACTTCCCGCAGGATATGCGTCTTATTTTGTTCCCTGTAGGATGACTCGCACTGTGCCTGAGTAGGTCCTATCATGCCCCTCGTGTCGCAACTGGTTAGCTCAAGATCTGAAAATATTTGAAAAGTTAAAGAAAGGATCTTCCGCATAATAACATTCACTTACAATTGGTATGCTCAAAGTCCTTGAATGTTGGGCTCTTCAGATTCTGCCGCACATCCCAGTAATTGTAGCCATTTAAGTGGTCCTCCGGAATGTTGAGGCCAAAACATTCCGGACTCAGTGAGAAATCGTCCACAGCCACATCTGAGTAGATTCTCATGCCCATGCGGGCTTCAAATTGGAGATAGTATCTAGAAGGAAATACACCTTATAAGGTTATCCTTCAAAAAAAGGATTCTTCACTTCACTCACTTGGACGTTATGTTGGGCAGGACATATTCTGCTCGCAGCCAATCGCTCCCTTGGTTCTTGGTGCTCCACCACAAGGTGGTGGTTATGTTCTCCTTCTCCTTCATTTCCACCACCGAGAGGTTAATGCTGCCCGGATTCTTACCAAACTGGTGGATGAAGAACCTGACCACGCAGGAGTTCCTGTACGGGGAGTCCGGATTCCCATGGACCGAAGGAGGCGGATTGAACGTCTTGCTAACCATAATGGCATTGCTGGCAAAGCCTATGATGGAGCTCTTCTCGGTGTTGTTCTGGTGCTGGTTCATATTGACGAGCATGTAGTAGCCGCTGGTGTTGTTTAACAAGTGCTGCATGGTGTGATCCCCATCAGGGCCAGTGTCGTGGGTGGGCGACGAGCCCGTATGGCGAGACCAGGTCAGAGTAGTCTTCCCTGAATCACGCCATCCGCACCAGTCCTCCTCGAAGTCACAGCGCCCGCCGTAGGGAATTTTGTCTGCAATATTAAGGTTTAGGTTCATGCAGGTCCTTAAGATCCTTAAAATCATGCTTACCGCAAGATTGTTGTTCATCTTCCGCCTCGTCACAGTCCCGGGTAATGTCGCAAATTCTGGGCAGATGAATGCAAACGGGGACCTTGTTGGTAGTGCACCTCACCTGGGAAGTGCTGCACTTTTCCGACTTGGTGCCCTCCGGGAAGCAGTTCACCATCCGCAGGTTGTCCAGAGCTACGTGACCCTTCTGGCCCACTCGCAGATCGGGAACGATTTCAAAGACGATGCGAAAGTCGCGGGAAACCCGGCCCAGGCGATACACCTTCCGGGTCCACTGGCGCACGTTGTCGCCCTGGATCTCCGCCGGAACCCAGCTGCTCTCCTGCGTGTGCAGAGGCTCCACCACGACACGGGACAGTCCGTGACTCATGTCGCTCTGGTGCATGTAGACCTCCAGGTAGCACTTCTCCATGGTGGTGCTGAACTCCGGAGAGGTGAGATTCAGTGGCCTGGAGTTGGGCTGGACGCGGGCGTAGAGGAAATGGCCGGTGGCATCATCTATGCTATCCGCTGCAGGTCCCGGATGCATGCCAGTTAGATTCTTCTTGGCCAGCTCCGCGCCGCTGATCACCTGGAAACCATCTGGATACTCCACCCAGGACCAGCTGCAACGCGACTCGAAGTTGCACTTGACGCCCAGTTCGTATTCGTACTCCGTTGAGGGCGTGGCGTCCGTATGAGGGGCATATGTGTTCTGAAAGTGAATTTTATTAAAATCAGTATATATCTCCTTCAGATCTAACTTACCGCAATGGGAGCTGTATCGCGGATGCGGTCCTTGATCTCCTGCAAGGGATCGCTGGAGGAACCCGGTGGGTCGCCTTCCAAGTTTCCATGGGTCACTCCGCCAGCAGGCTCGTCAGCCTGGTTCAGGCTCTTCTTGAGCTTGTACAGCTCGTTGATGGAGTTCTTCCGCGGCGGCATTCGCTTTGGCTGGTCATCAGCTCCCCCATAGGATGGGGGAAACCGAGTGGAGTAGGGTCCGGCGGTCATGGCGGCCATTCCGGTGGGCTGCCTTATCGGTTCGCCGTAGCGATCGATCGTTCCCATATGCCCCAGGCCATCGATTCGTCCGATAGTCGAGGTAGCCTGGTAGGAGGGATACCCGGCACTGTGGCCTGAGATGCCGCCCCCTGGTCCTCCCACTGAAGGATTCATCAGCTCCTTGCGCAGCGACTCGATGCCGCGTCGTCCGCCGCTTCCGGGGCGAGCGGCCAGCTGGGCCAGACTCTGACGGCGCTTGGAGTCCTGGCGTCGGGATCCTGGCGGGGCTGTCTCATAGTCCTCGTACTGTGTGGCCCCCGGCAAAGTAGGCTGCGGCAGGGGCATGGGTTGTTCGTGAAGCCGCCCGTTTCGCAGCTGCTTTCCGGAAGAACCTGGCCAGGTGTTGAAGCTCGGATGCTGGGACATGGGCAGCGAACTGAAGGTGTGGTTCAGGATAAACGGTCGCTGGGCCATTGATGGATCCACAGCTACCAGCAGCAACACCACCAGTAGCTGCACCACCATTTGCCTGAGCGGTGGCATTCTCAAATCTTATGTGTGTCACAGACCAAGAAATATTCTCGTCCAATGCTGTTAGTCTCTTGCCAAATTATAGTTCTTCAAATGCAATTTCAAAATAATATTCCGTTGGTGGAAATATCTTTAGCTCCTTGGTAAAATTTGCGACCACTTGGCGCGTTTAAAATTCTTCAAGTGAAGACAGCTCATCGCTAAACTTTTCACCCAGAGGTGAGTCCTTGTGTGGGCCCTAATTAATTGCAGCTTCCTGTTTCCGGGCTATTCAGTATTCTGCAAAGGGAAATATTGAAAAACAATGCGTTTTAATTATTGTGGGTTTGACGTTTGGCTTTTGAAAGATAAATTAAGGCCCACGTATTGACATTTTCCGATTAAGGGGCATAAATAGGTTTTAGGCCAGCCCACACACCCATATGTGTCAGAGCATTTCCCCCCTTTTCGTATTTGCTCATTTTTCCACATCGAGCCCGCAGGCGAACAATTGGCTTTTAAGGACCCCGAGGCCAGAAATTGCAATAAGGCAGCTTTTATTAGAAAACGTGTCCTTCTTTTTGGTGAAATCGAAACCGAAATCTTTCCTCCGGGTAGGGACAAAAATCGATGACGGCCTTAGGATTACCTGGCATTTGCCAAAAGGCAACATGGCGCTCCTGGCAACCTGCAGATGCCGATGCTGATAGAGATACAGATACAGAATGCAATTTTCAATTTGCGAAATTTAACTGAAATTGTAAGAGGCTTTTCCAAGAAGCTACATACAGTTTCCTTGAAAGTTTATGGTTGCTTTCATCTGATGATGTGTTTTTAGGTTAATTAATATTAGGAAACTTTGTTGCATTTCTCAGAAGTAAATGCTTAATTAGTTTCCAGGAACTTGTAATTATCTCTTGTAAAGACAATCAAACCGATTACTCAAAGGGAAATTGGCACATGTGAATGTTATTCTTGAATTTGTGGTTTCTGGCTACAAGTTTTCCCGAAAACTCAATTACATTTGAAAATTTTCTAATGGCTTTGCTGATTGATTAGGCGATTTAAAAGCTATTCATATTTTGGCTCGTCTACTTCAATAAAAATTCTATTACATGCACATGTCTAAATGGATTTCCTCATAATTATTTGGTCTTTCGGACGAATCTATTTTTTGTGTATAGACACGGGCAGCTTCTTGAGTTCGAGGGGCGTCGTACAATTTCACTTTTAACATTTCGCCTGGCCCCGAAAACACACAGACACAGAGATATATCCATTAGAGATATTATTACATATACTCTGTTATTTTCTGGCATTTTCTTTTCGGGATTTGTTTCGCCTGCCGAATGACAAGTGCATTTATTTTATTTGATTTTTCAGCAAACGATTTTCTTTTTTTTTCCACCTCAGGAACCTAGACACGCAAGTCGGAAAGAGACGGAAAGTTGGGGTTAGAAATGTACGATTCGTATTTTCTATTATGTTGGTGTACCCTCAACAAAAAAAAAAAGAAAAAGGGAAAACCAAGAAGAGCAGAGGAAAATATATTCCATGTTGGGATTCCAGCGAAAAAGTTGGGAAATTTTAAGCCAAAAGAAAAGTCTTATGTTCGTGTGAGAGAGGCTGTGTGTGTGTGTGTTAGTAACTTCATAGTACGCAAAGTATGCTGTTAACAACGGCCTCTCACTCCCCCACCCTCACAATTTTCCCCCACTTCGCCAGCAGAACTCCAGCGAGTGCAGAACGGAAACGCAACTGAAGCTGAAAGTCCTGCGAGTGAGCGGAAAAGCGCCAAGGAGTTCAGGGAAAAGGGCAAGAGCTAACTAACTGAAAACTACACACATGTGGGTAAAATGACAGCCAACGAACCACCCACCCGACCACTCAGGCTTCTGATATGTCCCTCCAGGATCATCGAGGAGCAGGAAGCGAGTTTGAGAGTTGAGGCAAGAGTTCAAGACACGGACAAGTGCCAGAAGTTGGAAGTGAAGCAGATTCCACTCGAGAACTTTATTTTGCGGGCACATCGAATTGGAGCATAATTACTGCGCAGCAAGGGACTAGGGGAAGGTTTATAGAAACAAACCGATTAGGAACTAAACTGGCTTAAAAATACTTCTTTAAATTCAAAAGATAGGTATACAAAATCATGTACTTTTATTCGGAACTTGATTTATAGCAAAAAAATACTAATAAATTATATTATTTTGTGGGGAAAGGTAACAAGGATTTGATTTAGAAGGTGAGGATAGAAGGAGTTTTGCTTCTTAAACCCAACTTTTTAAGCCTTTTAAGAATGGATGAACTGTAAGGAAGGCAAATATTATGTACGGAACAGAATAAGTCACAAATATTACAGTCTTTTTGTGTTTTTGAATATCTATAGAAATATTTGCTGTTAAATTTTTTGGCTTGGTTTCATTGGTTAGATATTTAACATAATCATCTCTATTAAGAGTGTACCCGGGAAAATTAATATTTGAAACACAAATGAAAGTACCTTATCAAGATAGGATAGGCCAGAACTCCATTAACGCTCTTAATAGCTCAGATGTATGTAAGAAATATATTTTTAATAATTCTTATTACCACTTATTATATTTTAGTCCAACGAATGTTTTCCACCTTGAAATTATAAATTTGAGTACTTGCAATTTAAAAAAATCGCCTCTAAATATTATTTTCTAAAAAAATGATTTTGCTAAATTTGCAAAACAAGCAACAAAACACACCAGCACATGCATAGAAGCCAGTATCTGTATTTTGCAGATACACACACAGAACGGTAGCAAAAACAACAAAAACCTTAGAGGGGCAGGCAGCAGCGAGTGGAGGCTGCGTCAACGTCGCAAATATTGCGCTGCTGCTGCTGTGGTCCACAGGACCCTTGGCTGGCTCCCAAGGATTTGCTAGGATGCGAAACGCAGCTTCAGTTTCGTTGACTGCGCAGGATACACACACACATGGCCAGCCACACAAACACACATACGGCACACATACACACAGATGGAACATGGAACTCTTCGCTACTAATGGCGCAGACAAATTGTTTTGCGTATCTCACAGATACATAGGAGCCGAGGCGCACAAAAGATACTACACACAAAAACACACACCACACACACACACTTATACCCAAATGGAGGGTAACGAATTTTTCATTCGATTTTTCAATATTTTTCACATCATTATTGAATCTTTGGCTTTTCTCGGTTTGAGATATAATATTTATTTTTGAACATTTAATCACATTTACCATAACGCACACATTTTCGTGGACCGAAAATTTTCAAAGCTGGTGCCTCTGCTGCCCCAAAATTATGTATAGTACTCGGCCGATATCTATATATTTTCTTTCTTTTTTTCCCCTCAACGAAAACTGTAATTCCTTGCAACTTTTTGGCAAATTTCCGCAAAGAAAATTTCACGTTTTTTCTTCTTTTTCATTTGCTGTTACTAATATTCAGTAATGGCTCCTGCCCGCAGTAACATTTTTCTCTAACACAGTTGTTATTGTACTGTACTGTCTCTTTTTTGTTGTTTTTTTTGCTTTGCTGTTTTTTTTTTTGGCTTGGATTGGATTGGAGGCCGTCTGTCCGCGTATCTGTGGGATACTTGCGCGCACGACGCTCGGCAAACGAAGACTGAAATGTGGGGAAATTCGCAATGCCCGGCCAGCATCATGACATCTCACAGCGGCGGCTAAACGAATATCCTGCGCTGAAATCGAGCTCCAGGATACACACACATCCACATAGCGATGCTCGAGGAAATTTCTCACTCGCCCGATTTTCTCGCTGACGGTCGGCGAAAGCTGTTGCTGTTTTTGCCTGCGATTTGATTGAATATGGAGCTCGGGGAAGGGAGGCTGACTAGGAGGCGGTGTCGTGGTGGGTGGGTTTTTGGGGCAGGCCGGAGAATAGGAAGAGTGGCGCACTCTGGCGGTCGGCGTAAGCTGGGAAATTAATGCAAACTGCTGGAAATTGAATTTAACTACAGCAGCCGCCGCTGCAGTGGCAAGGAGAAATGTCAGGGGGGCAAGTTGGAGGCCATCCTGCGTCAGTTTCAGCTCCGGCTGCGTTTCCTTTTTCAATTTTCAGTGCAATAAGACCGGAGACCTGGGCCTCCCCACATCCTGTCAGGGGCTCTTGCGTTTGTAATATCACCTAATCACCGCCGCGGATGCGTCACAAATGCATTTATCTTGGCACCCAACTCACAGATCTCAAGAAACTTGCTAACCCATCATCCATGCAGCTTTCTGCCCTTTTGGTTTATTAATTTTCCGGTTACCTTCACTTTCTATTGGACAAGTTGAAGCCGGATGTCTTGAAATCTGGCTCGAATCCAACAGGTGCAGTTACCAAAGGTGTTTGGCAATATTTGAAAACTCCTCACTATAGAAAAGCTAGCCCACCAATGTTAGGAACAGAATTTCAAAAAAATCTATCAAAAATGTTGATTCCAGGTTTTAATGCAGAATGATGGAGAAAAAATCGATCGAGTTATTCCACTTAAGGATCGGATGAAAATTGGCCAAGATATGGACATGGTTTGGGTCATAATTGGAAATCCTGGATTTTGGTAGGGGTACCCCCAAAAAAATTGGAAAAATATCGATCCAAAATTTTGTTGGCAGGTTTTGATGCAGAATAATGGAGAATTGATCCACAAATCGATCGAGGTATTCCGCTCATGGATCGGATGAAAATTGGCCAAGATATGGACATGGTTTGGGTCATAATTGGAAATCCTGGATTTTGGTAGGGGTCACCCATAAAAATTGGAAAAATATCGAAGAAAAAATAACAACGATAACTACATGTTAATTTTATAAAAAAAAAAAAATTTAAGAGTGTTGAAGGCCTTTACATCGAAATCTTATTAATGTAGGAAAATGTAGTTTTCTAAAATTATTAGTTTTGAAAACACATAGGTCATTTTTCCGAGAAAAAGCCATTTGAAAGCACAATATTCGCTTACAAAAATATACTGATATTCCTAATTTCACAAATGTTTTTGTTATTATAAATTAAAACGAAAACCAACAACGCCAACTAATGACGACAACAAACGGAAATGGGCGACATGGTCGGGGCGACAACTAAGCGAAAATTAATATAGAACCGCGAAGAAAGTACATGTGCAGATACATACGTACATAAATCCAATAATATATATATCTGTGGGTATATATATTTTAAAGTGCCGCCGGCAGCTGCAGAAAAAGCGCAGACAACAGAGAGAGAGAGACACAGGGGCAGAACGTCAAAGACCGATCTGAAGGAAACCTCGGAATCCACTTTATTTATAAAAATATAATTTTCATCCCGCTCTCTCTGGGAATATGAATTCTCTATTTTGCGACAGTAAACGCGGCCGTAAAATGTTTAGAGATACGAAAATTGACAGAACTGTTGCCGAAATGGAACATAAAAGCATCAAATCATAAGATGCGTTTCGCATCTAACAGATGCACTTCGCTGGCTGCAAGTCTGTATTTTTATGCAGATTTATTTTTAGGAAGGAACTCACACAACACAGTTCGGCGGAAAGCGTGCCCGGCACGTGGCGCGTTGGAAGAGAAAGAGTTTATCTCACTATTTATAACACTAGGGGTCTTTCAATTATATTCACTTAAATCCGCACAAGTATCTGATGGATACTGTTTTGTGTCGCGAATGCTGCAGTTTCTGAGATTCTTTGGCTGTGCGACATCCGTGAGATACGACGGCTCGGCGACAACTGACAAGAGACTCGCATTCGCCGCCAGCTGAGATCGGCCAGAAGCTATAGACGCCGGAGACTGCGGAGGCGTCTCTACGACGTAGTCTTCCTCCCCCCACCCCCGCCCAAAAGAAAATCTTTCCTCTGTCGTCTTCTTGGGTTTTTTTTCTCACGGCTGCCGCATCCTTGTGTTGTCGGTGGCTGGTATGTTTGTTTATTTGTTTTCGTCGCGACGTGTCAAGTGGGTAATGCAATTGAAATTGACTTGTGCGTTAACCGTTCACCATGCACAGCGGGGCGGTGGCGTCAGGACATTGTCCAGCCTTGCCTCTGACCCCTGACCTTTAGCTACCTGCCCCTGGTCGTTGCCAGCCGATCGGCAGGAAGATTTATGGCTGTGTCGTTGCAAAAGGGAGAGCTATTTTTGGATTCGTTCTCTGTCGCCTGTGGTGGAGCTGTGAATGTAATTAATGGTTTTCGACTTGGGGCAGGGTCCATGCAGAAGGGGTAGCTGCTATCTGAAGCAAAACGGAAGTTCACGATCTTTGCAGATTGCACTGGAGGCTGTGTTGTGATATATTAAGAGGAACGTCTTTTAGGAAAAGTATAAAATAGTATTTTAGTTTTAACATATTTATTTGTTCTTGCAGAGTAAAGACAAGCCCCTATTCCCAAGCCACTAATATTTCCTCATAATTAATTAAACCAAACTGCCTGTGAGGTCGTGAATATTTTTTCAAGTGCCTGCGAGGGTTGCCACCGCCAGGACGCCTGCCTTCGAGTGGCCAACGGGCGCCGGCAGAGCGCATGTCAAGTGGTCCGATTGTCCTGCCAACCGCCAACTGTCAATTGCTTGCTGTCAAAGGCTCGAGTCCCGGCTTTGTTTACGTTTGCTGGTGCTCGCAGGACCTGCGCACTGGGGGATAAACACGCGTCCTGATGCAAACAAGTGGCTGCGGGCCACGTTGTGCTTGGTGCTATGGCTGGAGGGGCCAGAGCAATCTGTTGCCACCACCAGCGGATCGATGGAGCCAGGACATGCGCAGCAGGTGCGAGCCAAGGCAGGACCCAACGCAGGGCGGGCTCCTCGGATGTAGACACAATTATTTCGGTCAGAACGCTCCCGTGCCTCGTGCAAAACGGTTCACAATCCACGTCCAGCAAACACGCTTTTGCTTTCACTGAGTGCGCTTCTATCTCTGTGTGTGTTTGTGTGTGTGCATTTGTATTGGTGTGGGTGTCTGTGTTGGCCAAAAAGCCCGAGTAGAGAAAAATCAAATTACAGGCCATTTGCTTTAGCACAGAAGCACCTTGTTTTTTGCTGGCCCCTGAATTAAATGCAAGTTTATAATTTGTAGTTGATGCATTTTGGGCGAGTGAAAGGACAGAAAGGAGTGAGTGTGTCTAGTGTCGCTTCTGTTGCCTTGATTGCCTCACACACTCACGCACACAACAGGACATAAACATACAGGACATACAGGACCACGTACCCACACGCTCGCACTGTCGCTGGTGAAAAAGTGAAAGTGAGACGCCCCAGCGACCCGGAAATCGGACAGCTCTGAAAATTTTCGCACTTGACGCACCACTTGGTTGGAAAAAAGTTAGTGGAAAACCCCCCCGTAGCGAAAGTTTTCGCGAAAAGCCATTTTCCACTCTCTAACCGAAATCGAATCAAATTTTTAAAATACCTTCCTGCTATCCCTCTCGACTTTCTCTTTTTCTCTTGACCCTATGATTTATGCGTGGCACATACACCATTTTCGTATATAACACATTTTTCCACCCGCCCCGTGCTCCCTGCCACCGACACGCACTTATACACAGCACAATTTTGGTATCACCCACCCACATTTTAACCTTCAAAATTTTTGGCATGCTGTAAATTGTAACATAAACTAAGAGCGACACTTTTTTGTAATATTTGATCCAACACCTTTGTACATAAATCATTTTTTTCGATTAACTTGGCAAGTGAATTTTTGTATAAATCCTTTTTTCCCCACTTTGCTCAATTTTTTTGGAATTGCAGTCGAAATGATTTAATATTAAGCTTGAAAACGGATATTCAAAATCCGTTTTAAATAAAACTTTATGTGTACAAATGACAAAAAAATACAATATATATGAACAATAATCTGTGGGAGAGGGACCAGAACCCGAATTCACATTGCAACAGGTAAGTAATTCAAGGGTGAGATTCTACATTTTTTCAACACATTTTATAAAATCGATTTTATATAATATATTGGGCCAACCTGCAGGTAAAATAATTAAACTTTCGCCATTCGTGTCTTGTGAGAAACTTTTCCAATTCCAATTTCCAATGCATGTTCCTTGCCATCTGCTCGTTTCAAAGAAACTTGTCTCAAAGTATGCAGTAATTTTCTGCATTGTCTTGAATTCTCCACACCAGTTAACCAACCACCCATTCACCCATCCACCCACTTTTTCCCCCCAACCACCTGACAAGGCCATCCTGATCTTTGTTGATGTTGTTTGTGCGTAGCCGATTGTGACAGGACCTTGTCTGTTGGCATTTGAGGTTGCCTTTTTACCTTTTGCCTTTTCCGTTTTTCCGTTTTGCCCGCCTTTATGGTAATTGTAATTTAGTTGCCAGTTAGCCCTGTTCAAGGGCATTCACGGAGGCTGTTTCGATGGGTTCGAAGGGTGGGTGGGACAGGATGGGTGATGGGCGGGTCGATGGAGAAGGGCTGGCGCAGACGCGTGTCTTGGGTGAGGCCAAAAGTGGAAGTGAATTACAATTTAATTACAACAAGGTCTCATGGGCGCTTTGCTGGCTTTTAGGGTTTAGACTAGGACCCTGGGATAATGAAGATATTATTTATAGACGTTTTTCATTTAAATTGATTTTAAGATTCAGAGAGAAACCGAGAAGCCAGTCATTCACCAAATCACCTTATTATCCTCCTTTGATTATGAAACTCAATTGCATGGTATATAGTCCCTTAAAGGTTTCGATTTTTACATTTTTTTTATAGTTAGAGCCCATTGTAACCATTTGACATTTGTAATTGCAGTAAACCCAGATGCCCGAGGCATTGATTCTACCCGGCATGGCTGACGCAGAGCCGGACCTCTCGACTTTCGAGAACAAGACGGGCCTGGCGGAGGACATGAAGTTCCTGGCGTCCATGCCCGAGCTGTGTGATGTAACCTTCCTGGTGGGCGATACCCGCGAGCCTGTCTGTGCCGTCAAGGTTTGTACATATTTTGTATTTCGCATTCAGCAGCCCTGTACTTTGCCCTGATCCTGTGTGGCCGAGCATTGAAATCAGGTCACTGCGTAATCGGCACTCTGCGTCCCGGCATACTATATCCTTTGAATGGCATTCCCTTTGAATAGCTTAGCCAACAATGCGTCCGCCCTTTGCATAATTTTAAGACTAGAAGATTGCCATACACTGTAAAAAATATCCTAGTTACTACCTATTTTCGAATCCGGATATCCTGTAATATTATTTTTCCGTTTGTAGGCCGTGCTGGCATCTCGTTCTCGGGTTTTTGCCAAGATGCTCTATGCTGCCCCCTCGCCCCAGAGGAAACGAGAGACCTCCACCAAGGAGAACAAGCTGCGCCTCTTCCTCAAGCGCTCCTCGGAGCCGCTGCTCAACCTTCAGAATGCCGCACAACAGGTTCGTATCCGCATCTCTGCCACTACATTATATATTTATCCTGGGGGATATGTATTCATCCATAATCAATAACCGCCCCAAATGGGGGAGACCCATCCCTCCCTACATTTGGTGTGCTCGTGTGTGTGTGCGAGAGTGACATTGTGTGATTTTGCATTTTGCCGTGGGTTCTGCATCATTGGGGCTATTTTTACATACGACTAACAACCTTTTGAGTTAAACCTTCATTCTTTATGTTCTGTATATGATGTGTATATCGAAAGCCATTTTAACTGATATCAATGTTCTCGTGCATTCTCTGTTGTGACAACCTCCATCTTCCTCATTCGTTACCGTTATCCCGCAACCGTAACCCGTAACCGTAACCATAACCGTAAACCGTATAATCATAGAGAACCGGTTTCACCCAACAATTAGCTCCGATACCCGAGGTAACCAAGCATCAAATACAGCCTCTGTGCGTGTATGTGTATCTGTAATTGTAAACGTGTGGGTGTCGTAATTAAATGAAGTCTTTCATTATCCTTGCAGAATATACAAAGGATTATCAAGAGTCCTTAATTTTAGCATTTTGGCTTGTTATTTAGTTAAAGTTGTAGTCCGAAAAAGGTTCAGTAACTGATGCTTCTTGCATTACCTTCCAGATCCTACATAAAAATTCGTTAAATGTTTTTAATAATTTATTTGCAAGGATATTTTATAATTCGGATACCCGAAGTTAGTTGCTTTAGCACAAAAAATAACCCAAATATAATTGGCTGTGTATAGATGTCTATTTAGAATGTACTTCTGGCCAAGTGTCTAATATTTGGCGTCAAGATGAGTTTGCCAACAATGTTTGTTAGACGATACTACCTATAACTAGTTATTGAATGCCTTGCCTCGGTTTAAATTTCTTACCCTTTTCCACACTTTCTAACTATCTTTTCAATCGAAATTAAAGAAACTACTTCTATAATTGAGTTAATTTTGGGTTTGCCTGAACTTCACCATTGGAATGCCTACAAAAATTAAACTTTTGCACCTGTCTCTGCCCGCCGAGCTGTTCTTGTTATGTTAGCTGATTTATTTTTTATTTTTATTATCGATTACTTTATTGTGGTTTGAATATTTAGCCTTCAGGTCAGCAGCATCAAACCTTGATTATTGAGGAGTTCGAGCCGGATGTCTTCCGACAACTAATTGAATACATTCACACGGGTTGTGTGACTCTTCAGCCTCGTACTTTATTGGGTAAATTCAATAACTACTGTGTGCTTAACTTTATTTAATGCGTTTTTCTGATTAACAGGTGTCATGAATGCTGCTGATTACTATGGCCTCGAGGAGCTACGTCGCGCCTGTGCTGGATTCGTGCAATGTTGCATCAACGTGGACACTGTCTGCGCCCTTCTGGCCTCCGCCGAGCGATATATCCAGTACAAGTGCACCAAGACCTTGGTGCAAAAGGTGCTGGAGTTCGTGGATGAGCATGGCAATGAGGTCCTCAATCTGGGTAGCTTTACTTTGCTGCCCCAGCACGTGGTCCGCTTGATTCTGGCTAGGGAGGAGTTAAGGGCTGATGAGTTCACCAAGTTCCAGGCAGCACTAATGTGGAGCAAGAAATACTACGATAACAATCCGGTAAGGTTGTGTTCTCCCATGAAGGTATCTATTTTCATTTAGGGATATTGCAGAACATTGACATCAAGGAGATCCTTGGAACCTTTGTGGAGTATATACAGTTCCATAAGATACCTGCCAACGTGCTGATGCGAGAGATACATCCCTTGAATCTGGTTCCATACACAATCATCATGAATGCTCTGGCCTATCAGGTGGGTTGCACTGTGCTTCTAGATTGCTTTGCGCTGCTTCCTTGGTGTTTAACTCAGTCACTCACGCCACCATCTCTTCATCTATCTGTGCATCTGTCTTTCTGTCCATCAACCCATCCGGCATCCAACATCCAACATCCGTCAACGTCCATGCACTCCATTCCGTCCATCCATCCTGTTGTCCCCTTTATGTCTGATTCTACACTTTGCAGGCAGACCCAGAAAGCATCGACCCCGGAAAGCTCTCTCCAAACTCTAGCCGAGTGAGGCGGGCCCGCCAGAACCAGGGCCGCTCGATGTCCGTGCAAAGTTCACTGGATCCGTACGGATCCAACACCACGCTGAGCTCCAGCGGCAGCAGCGACCCCACCAGCGGGATGCATCACAGCAACTAACATAAGTTGAACGGCCCCTCCTCCTCCTCCTCGTCCCAGCAGCAGCAGCCGCATTCCCAGCACCATCGCCACCGCCACCACCACCAGTCGCTGCCGAAGATCCGGAAGGCCAAGTCTCAGTCCTTCCGCACCCGTCGCAGTCCATCTGAGCGGCGAAGTCCTAACAATGCTCCGAATCTCACCTTCAACACTGCCCTGACAGCCGGAACTGGAGCCAATGGGGAGAAAAAGCGGAGTCCGTTGACGCCGAAAAGTCCGGTTCTGCCGGCACCGGAGTCCAAGAGTCCTGGCAGCAGCTCCCAGAAGACGCCTACCTCCCTGTCGCGCCAAGGAACTCTCCGAGCCTCCAACAGACGAAAAAACAGTGGCCAGCTCTCCATTTCTCTGGGTACGCAGGGTCGACGTAGCCCTGTCGGCCTCAACGATCGAAGTCCTCAAGGTCGCCGGAGTCCTCTTTTTCCCGGCAGCGGCCTTAGGTCACCCAACGACCCCTTGGCCAGTCCTACATTGAGAAGTCCTACGGGCGAGCCGCGTCGTAGCAGTCCTACGTTCAGTGTCCATACGCAGGAAAGGCGTTCGCCCTTGGGGGCAGTGGCTCCCACAGACTTTGGTTGCCAGTTTGGAGCACCTGGCTCCAGAAGAAGTCCCACTTCAACGGTTCATGTCCAAGATATGGGCACTGAGCCGGAAGAATTTGGCTTTGGCGGCATGAAGAGACCTTCCATCAGCCTGTTTACACCCATATACTTTGCCAGTGAGAAGCGCTCACCCATGGGTCCTATCCCTCCCATTACCGTCTCCAATCCTGCCGAGACCTACAAGAGTGCAGAGAGAGAAAGAGAAGCCGCGGAGGCGGCTGCTCGAGAACTGGAGAAGGAAAAGGAACGGGAGGCAGCCGCTCAGCCGCAGCAGGAGAAGAAGAGCGTGATGCGAGAGATCCTAGCCTTTGTGAGGAAGCCATCGAAGCACATCAGCACCAGGACGAACCGCTTTGCCAATGCCTTCACGAGAGCGGAATCGGGATCATCCAGTGGCCCACTAATCAGGCAGAGCACATTCTCGGCTAGTCCGGCGGCCTCCTCCACCGCCGCCAAGAGTGCGGTGCAGAAGCAAATGTCCGAGGTGGGATTCGAGCCGAAGATGTCCCTGAAGTTTGCCCACTACACCAAGATGTCCTTGAAACTGAGGCGGTCGGCCAAGCGCGAGGAGGAGGAAAAGGAAAAGGAGAAGCAGAAGCAGGGATCGGCAGCGGGATCCAAGAGGCCCAGTGCAGATCTGAGCCTGGGCCATCCCGAGCAACAGGTAGGTGGAGCAATTGCGGCTGAGGAAGAGTTGCCCTTCGAGCTGGCCAATGTCCACTTTGAGAAGGTAGGTGAGTCCTATATCAAGCATGAACGTCTCCGAGAACTGGAGGAGCCCTTCGAAGCGGAACCGCAACCCGACACCGAAGACAACAAAGAGTCGGAGGCAAAGAAAGAGGTGGAACCGGATGCTGCCATGGCCCAGTTCGTGGAAGAGGTTACCAACTCCCTGAAAGTGGTGGCCCTCAACGGGGATGGTGGTGCCGTCGCAGTTCATCACTTCACCAGGCGCTCCGAGAGCCGCGAACCCATCGAGCCGAGGATCAGCGAGGAACGGGAGTCGGACTCCAACGACCTGATGATACCCGACGAGATACGGGCCGAGCTGGTAGAGATCTTGAAAGCCTACCCGCCAGAACCAGTTTATGTGAATCTGCAGGCGCTGCGGCGGGAGACCGAAGAGCCGGACCCGGCCGCTGCCCAGGCTGAAAACGACTCGGCAGCTTTGTTGGCGGCCGAGGTGCCCGAGAAGAAGCCGCTGCAGTGTCCTACCATCGAGTTTGAGCCACCGTCGCGGCGCTCCTCCTTCGATCCACCGCGCTCCCCCTTCCTCGAGCAACTGCGTAGTCCCGGGGTGGACACCGAAACCGATCTGATCAATCTCCAGCGCCTGGACTCCGGCGGCGACAGCTTCGAAATGGTCGAGAGCAAGTGGAGCAAGTCGAGTCGCGGCGAGTCCAGCTTCGACTGCCCCTACTCCTCCCGGGACACCAGCTTCGATGTCTCGATTTCGAGATATCAGTCCACCAGCTACGAGGATCAGACCTCCAGCTTCGAGATCGTGGACACCGACGAGCGTACCCAGGGCAGGAGAGCAGTGGATCTTCGCAAGAGCTCCATAGAACTGGTGGATGCGGAGACCTTCCAGCGGTCTGGCTCCTCTTGCGGCGGACGCAAGTCCTCTCTGGAGACCCATTTTGATTACACGCCCACTGAAGGCGGTGGGCGGTCGCCCAGCCTTCCGTTCCCGGCTATGACAAAGAAACAGCGTACGGAGAACTTCCGCCAGCTGCACGTGTCTCCGTTCAGTGCCTTCTCCCGGGCACGTAGTCCCCTCTCCCAGCAGACCTCCTCCAACTACAGCTCGAGGGACAGCTACGACTCCAGCGGCTCCTATCCGCACGGCTACGGTTATCCGCCAGAGCCGCAAAAGAGTCCGTACGGCGATCCCAGCCGCAAGCATTTCCCACTGACTGTACGTCAAAAGGGCGACGAGGAGCGCGAGGTGCGCACCTTCCTCTGCACCGACCAGAGATGCGCCTCCATTTTCGAGCCTCGTCCCAGCTCAGTGCTCACCCAGCAACTGTCCACCGGCTCCATGTCCACCCCGTCGGGGTATACGAATGGCACGCCGCGAGTTCCGGGTGCTGTGCCTGCTGGGCCGGTGCCCTTGCCCCACCCCGGGCCGCTCTCCTCGTGCGGTTTCTCGAGTGGGAGCGAATTCGAGCCCCCGTCACCGAGGCGGGCGGCCAGTGCCTCGCCCAAGCACACCTTCACCTTCCGCATTGTGATGAAGAAGGTGGACAGCTCTCCGGAGGCCTTGTGTCCGGAGCGGCATCGCTCGAGGATAATTGATCGGTACAGGAGGCGCGATAGCCGCAGGAAACGCATCCATGATGCAGGAAAGAGTTTTTAGGATATCCAGGAATAAAGGTTTTAGGTGAAAATCAAAGTATTTGACTCAAATATGCGAAAAGTTGATTTTTTAATGATGATGATGATTAATTAATATTTGAAAAGATCTTAAAATGTAAAAAGTGCGTGTTTAAAAGCTTGTGAATGTTTTTGCCTCTAAGTGTCACCTGGCTAGGCGCTTTTTATAAGAATCTTGCAAAACATACTATTGAGAACTTTGAAATTAATTAAAAACAGAATCGAGTTAAAATCAAAAGAGAATCAATACCGAATGATGTTTTGCAAATACAGAGTAAAATTTAAATGTTATAGAAAGTTAGGAAAACAATAATCATCCCTCGCTGATGCCAATCAAGTTAAACCTCAAAAGCATTCACGTTTATTACTAAATATATTTTTGACAATCTCAATGTTGAATCTATATACAAAAATGCTCTCAAATCTTAGGATTAAGAATTACACCGAACTGGAGGCGTTCGGCAATCAAACTTTATAAAATGGTTCTGGTTTTTAGGCCGTTTCAAAAGCTCTACCAAAGTGAAAGCGACTTCGGCCCACCGAAGACAGTCAGTCGATCCATCCCCGCCTTATCGGGGGCCTGGTACTTATGATCTCTGCAGATTTGTCAAGCAACCCTCGTTAGATCCACGGATACAAACTGAACGATTGCCTAGGCATCTAGCCATTGTATAATTATAGCATATACACATCTTTTAATATAGGGATATTCGATGTATATTCTAAATCATCTACAAAAATATGCGCAACAATAATTCCTCCCACGATTTACCTGACTAATATAAAAAAAAAATACAGAGAAAAGATGAAAGTTTATATGTATTTAATGTGCATAAGAGTTCACACTATGATGTTGTAATTTGTAATTTGTGTGAAAAAATGTCGAAAACAAAAACAGAGAAGGTTTATGAAGATGTAATGAAGTGTAAGCTAAGTATTTGTGCATTTTTACGTGGTTCCTGTTATATAGCTGTAGATATATATATATATGCGCCTACCGGCGCGGGTATTACAAATTTTTGATGACATAATGTAATCCATATACATAATCTGATTCTTAAGAACCTAATGAAATTGAATTCTAAATGTAACCGAACTGCGCTGCTATTCACGCTAAAGGTCAGAGACGTTTTTTAGTTAAATCCTAAGACTAAAATTGTGCGCATGCGCGTGTAAATTAAAGCTGGACCTGGGGCCGTACTTAAATCTTAAAAAATCCAAAAACTGAATCCAAAAAAAAAAAGCATGAAGAAGATGTGAAAATTATCGTATTACCAGAAATTAATATTTAATGTTAAAGTTTGAGCAAGGTTTTTGTACTCTGTGTTTGTTAGTTAAACAAGACGGACGAACCCTTTAAAGACCGTATTAAGTATCATAATTTACAAAATATACACACTGTATGTAATAACTCCTTAGTGATTAAGATCGTTGGCTTTTTAGCGTATTGAGTACTTCAGATGAAGAATGATATCAGCATTTTACAGGTAATTACGCATCATGAGCATTTAATTCCAACTAAATGGTAACTAATCGTTAAGTACGTTAGCCACATTAACAAAATTTGCCACATCAACAGCCGACAACTCGGATCTGAATATAGATCAGTATCTAGACCTGGATCTGGATAACCATCGATTCAGATATATAGTATACACTCGTAACTAATCGGAATGCCAGTAGAAATGTTGCTATTTTTGATTTGTAGTTGCTTGTTTTGAAACTAACAAACTGATAAAATGATAAAACGAAAAGTCGCTGGTAACAACTCGCTTGATCAGTTAGAGATTTTTGATTTCCTCTGAATGCTTGCGAGAGGTGATCGCTAATATAAAATTATACCAGATTCATAGATATAACATATATTCAGCGATGCGATCTTGGCCAAGCAGCCAACTACAATTTCACGAATGCCAACTTCTTCTATTTGCAGAGCGATTTTACAGTGTGCCAGCTGGATCGGAGGTGGATGTAGATTCCCCCACATAACCCCACTACGATGTTATGATAGATATACCCCATAACCATAACCATAACCAGATATGTATTCAGGGATTGTCGTTGTGGTGGCACTGTTAGACTAAGTCCAGTTCCAGTTTGAATCGCGTTTAATGTCTTACTTTGTTACCGATCAGTCATATACACACATACTCGAATAGTTAGCTATAAAACCTCCATACATTATGTGCGTTCGTTTTTATTGTAATTTGAGACTTTTGAAATAAAGCCCAGTTTTCTGTGTTACCTAACTAAACCCTGGCGTCCACGTGCAGGGCCAGTACACCGTCAAAGTCATCGGATCCGATGTGGACATAGCCATAGCCGTTGTCGTCAACAGTCACGGACTTTCCGGTACAGGATCCATCGACCAGGCTGCCGGAGATCACGTCGCAGTAAACGCCGGCTGGTAGGCAGGTCTGCAGCTCCTGGGACAGGTCGTACAGGTTGTTGTTCACGGCCAGGAAACCCTTGTTGCCGCGGCAGAAGGAGATCTGGCTATCGCCGTTGTCCCACCAGTTCGACAGCTCCGTGTCCCTTACGGCATTCTTGAAGCCCACCATGGCGTAGATCTGTCTCCAGCGGTGTTCGCATATCCAGCCATTCACGCAGGCGCCCTCCTCGTCGAACTCCGGCGAAATTATCCTCTCCTGCTCGTCCTGGGGCGGAGCCGTGTCGTGGTCGTCGAAGGCAAAGGAGCTCATCACCCGACTGATGCCGTAGGGGTAGGCCAGGTGGAAGGCGGTGGCCATCTTGTACTGCTTGGGGGACTTGTAGTTCAGCACAGCGCCCATGTCTCGCTGGTTGTCGTGGTTGTCCACAAAGGTCAGGGCCTGTCCGGAGGGCAGGAAGCCCCAGCCGGTGCCCCAGCTCTGCAGCCACTTCAGGGCATTGTTTCCGCGGAAGGCATTGCCGATCTCCTCGGAGAAACGGAACTCGGTGACGGCGCCCAGTTGGTTGTATTCCTCCCGGGAGACGGTCTCGTGACCATGGTCGATCACCTCCTGGAAGATGAAGGGTCTTGCATTGTGGGGGAAGCCATGCTCAATGTTCAGATCACTCAGGCTGCTGTAAATAAACTGCAAAAAGAATTCAATTCATTGGCTCGATGGATAAGGTTAACTAACTTACCGACAAATCATCGGCGGCCATGTGCTTGGCGGCATCTACTCGGAATCCTGCCACTCCCAGCTCGATGAGATGGTCCAGGAATTCAATCAGTTTGCTCCTCACCCACTCGCTGCTCTGGTCCAGATCCTTGAGGCCAACCAGCTCGCACTGCTGCACCTGGAAGCGATCGTTCCAGTCGGTGATCTCGCAGCTGGGATGGAAATCCAGGGCAGAGTACGGAACACCGGGATAACTCTTCTTGGAGGGCTCTGCCTCGGATCCGGCAGTGCCCACGGCAATTCCATCAAAGTCCCCAGACATGTGATTGAGGAGAACGTCCACATAGATCCTGACTCCAACTTCGTTGCAACGACGAACCATATCAGCGAACTCCTTTTCATTTCCAGATCGGGTAATGAGCTTGTAGGAAATGGGTTGGTACCTCTCCCACCAGGGACGTCCAGCGGCAACTATGTTCTCATTCACAGGACTGACTTGCACGCCGGCAAAGCCTCGGGGACCCAAGAAGTTCTCACATTCCGCGGCTATGTCGGACCACTTCCACTCAAACAAGTGGACGATGGTGTTGCGATTGCCCCACCAGTGGGGGTTGTGCTGGGCCAGCGTAGAACTGGCCGCCACCAAGCAAAGAATCACGGCTGTGGCGAACTTGAACATGACCGTATACTGTAGGTAATCTCGGCGGACTTTTCCCCTTATATACCCCAGGGGTAATCTTATCGCGGATTACTCCGCTTGGGTCCAATTTACGACCAGCAGATGGACGCGTTTCGATTAAGAATATAATTTACAATGGCCATCATTGGTTGACCTATGGCAATAAGAGATATCTGCCACTGAAATTGGCTTTCCCAGAACATCATAAGACATTGTACATTCTATGATAAGATGCGTATATAGTATGCAGAGGCTTCAAATACCCTTTAATGTAGTTGCTAGTGAAGCCTTAACCTCCCCCGAAAGTGTATACAAAAGTTTTCACTTTTCTTTCTTCGACTTGATACGATAGTTTATTGCACTAATTTATGACATTTTTTGTTTTGTTTTGTATCTGCCAGCAAACTGATTACGATTTGTGAATTATGAAAACTGATTTCTCGTGTTTACTGTACGAGTCATTTGCTTTTGGCCAGGCGAACTTTGGCCCCTTATGAAGCATCTTTTTGCGAGCCTCGCACTCCAGCACATAGTTCTTGCGAAGAATCACGGAGAAATAGTAGATAATCTCCACCACAGACAGCATGCTCATTCCCACAAAGAGACTAAAGGCACTGCCCAAGTTAGCTAGATATTTAGATAATAATTAATTTTTAAAAGAGATAATATAAAAACTACTTACACACTAAGGTAACCATATTGGAGAGCAAATCATGACGCAAACGTCGGTAGCCAAATGAGTTTATAAAGACATGCAGTATGCCATCGTTTTTGGCTATCCCTGAGCTTTAAGGAGAATATTTAATGCATTGATGGGCTATCGATTTAATGATTAGTACTCACTAGAATTGGTCGGCCACAGGCATATTGAGTTTCAGAGGAAAATCTGAAATCTGCACATCATAATCCAAATGTTCGCAGGTCAGAGGGCAATAGCACTGAGTACTTCTCTTCCTGGTGATAATGTTAGCTGAAATTTGATTATAAAATACATAATAATATCTTCTATAAGCTGTACCCACCAAAGTTATCCACCAGGCAAGGTATATCCTTGAATGTACATATCCTGTCTGTAGTTCGGTTAAAGTCGAAGAAGTAGGTGTGGCAGTTGCAGAACTTTACCATATTGGTGACCCTACAGTTGAGCTCACAATTCGGATAAACATAATTCTTAAAGTACCGCATCGTGAACTCGTTTCGGAAAACACAGTTTCTGTCTTCAATGGAAAGGGCTTTGACGGCAGGCGAGCAAAAAGTTTCTTGAGGATGAAGTGCCGCAAAAACTTCAGAGTCGAAAGCTATAAACTTTGAAGAGGAGTGAGCACTGGGAAAGGCATCTGCTTCCTGGATAAGTAGTTTTACGCCAAAGGAATAGGATTGAACAGGATCATAGTTGTCATCTTTGTATCTTAAAATCACTGAGAGCCCATACTTCAGACCTCCAACAGCACGTTCGCCAGTAAAGTTGAGACTGAAATTTATGGAAACTAAAAGTAAAGTAAATATTAAGAGGGGGTGTCATGTAAACAAACCCCGTTTGCCTTAAATTGAAAGAACAGCAGTGCCCAAAAAATGTTTTGGACAATTGAAAAAGCTCTAAACAATCCCGTATCTGGCCATTAAACCTGCAACGATACAAAATCTCATCGCAATTCCAACGTAAGTGCTCCACCAGCTGCTGTAAGGTGAGATTGTTGAGGGACAACAAGGACTCCATGGGGTTGATATCCTGGTCGGAGTATTTTTCATCATCCAACATAAAACCATAGAAGATGTGCAGCTTTCGAAGAATGAAACTTTGATTGGTTCCCTGGGGCAGTTGCCTTTTAAAATATTTATTTAATAATAATACTATAATTTATCACATCCACTTACAGTGTCTTTAGAAAAGCCTCTGACTTTTGCATATTAAAGAGCACATCCGGGCAAATAGTGACTGGTGGAAAGTATAAATTGCTAACAGGAGTGTTGTCACTTTCCACATTCATCCGCGTAGGATTACTCCGAAAGTCAATGTAGAAGGTGCGCGCCATAACCACAGCACAAATGAACATCACCAATGAGATGAGTAGCCAAACAAAATGCACTATACGATTGGTGTCCTCATCGCGGGTGTATCTTAACCCATGGATACTGCTGGTGGCGCAGAAGTCATTCCAAGTTCGCTTCAGGGAGGCCACCAGTGGGGACACCTTCAGGTCCACCTGCTCCGGGCTGAGCTCCTCTTTGTGACCCATTTTCACTACAAACTGATGGCCATATCCTTGCTGCTGGTATTTACATACTCGGTAGGAAAGATGTAAGCTTTTGATATCCTGACAACTGCTTATTATTTACGAATTAGAGCGAAGGGTGGAGCTACCCCCAAGATAGCCATGAGGTAAACACTTCAAAGTATACTTAGGCTATAGTTTTTTTTATTGGTTTTCATACATTTGGTTGCTTTCTTTGCAATGGTCGCTTGAGCGGATCATTTCGTTTCAAAACACATCAGTGAGAAAACTAATTTCTGTCTCTATCACAATAAGATAAGAAAGCTACGCATTCAGAATGGTAGACCTCGATCCTCTTAACTAAGGCTTGACGATTTGTGCTCGATTTGGTTTGGGTTGTGTGTGGTTCTTTTGTGAGTTTACATTTCAGTTACAATTGGGAACTATGTGTCTTTTATTCTGCGGATCGCTACAGGCATAGGAATAGATCAATGGCTAACTATCGATACAACAACTTTTGGCTTAATATCTATAGGTAGGAAACTAAAACAATATCTAAACTAAACATTCATATTAAAGATAGTGCAATAACGGACGACTACAGCTAATACTACGGCCGGAGAGCTTAGGAGCTGGAGATGGCCCGTGGCGCCGAATTGCCGTTGCTCAGCCTTGGTGGGTTGGTAGCGCTGCTGGCCTCCAGGGCTGGCTTCTGCTCGTCCTCGGAGGGATTGTCCCAGTACTGGCGCTCGCCGGAGCCAAAGATGTTGTAGAACGTACCGCAGATGATATACACAAAGGCGGCGATAAAGAACACGATCTGCCACTGACCCATCACAGGCTATAAACATTAAACGGGAAGTTAGTAATGCAAAACGAGGCTTCTGCAACTGGAAACTCACCTTGCTGGGATCGGAGATCAGGTTGCCGGCCGCAATCGGCGCCAACAGACCCGCCAAGTTGGCCAAGCAATTCGTGATGGCCATCAGGAAGCCGGCGAAACGCGGGGTGAGGTCCAAGTGATTGATCTTGAAGCCGGAGTAGATGCCTCCGTTCAGGCCCACGCCGATGGTCAGGATGGCCAAAGTCAGAGCGCGGTCGCAGCCCGTGTAGGAGGCGGCGATCAGGGCCAGGCCGGGACCATACTGGCCGATACTGTTGATCAGTTTCCTGGTGGCCGTGTGGGAGAATCTCTTGGAGCTGATCATCCAGTCGGCAATCACCGAGATGAACATAGAGAAGAGCCACATGGCCAGGTAGGGCAGGGAGCTGAGCAGGCCATTGGATTTCAGGGAGAAGCGGAGCACCTGTTTCATGTAAGTGGGCAGCTCAGTCATCAGAGTCTCATAGCCGTAGTTGTGACCCATGTGGGCGAACAGAATGGCGTAGAAGGGCAGCGACTTGACAATGGACCTGAAGGGAATTGGAGGACTCTGCAAGGGGAAGATAATCACGTTTAGAAATTTGCAAACTTGAACTCTGTTAGCTTTGAACTCACCTTGACAACATCAGTGCCCCATAGAGAATCGTTGATGTACTTCTTCTCGCGCTCATCAATCTTGGGATGAGTTGTGGGATCCTCGTATACAAAGATAAGGAAGGCAATGGACCACACAGTTCCGACAATACCAAACACATAGAAGATCGAGGGCCAGCCTCCATCGAAACCGTATTCCGCCAGGAGACCGGAAAGAGGCATGGAGATAATGGTTCCAAACTGGGCTCCAGCGTAGACGGCGGCACCCATACGAGACCTCTCATTGGGCGGGATCCACTTGGCTAGCAGGGCGTGGGTGCAGGGCACAATAGGACCCTCGCCGAGACCCTGGATAAAACGCACGGCACACAGACCCCAGACTCCACCCTCGCGGGCAGCCACCGGCACCAGGAAGGCGAACACCGAGTTGATCAACATGCCGTAGCCCAGGAAGCGCAGGGAGCCGTACTTCTTGGCCAGAATACCGAAGGGAATCTGGGTGATGACGTAGCCGTAGAAGAAGGAGGACAGGATATAGCCCTGCAGAGCCGAGTTCCAGGCAAATTCGCCGTCCTGAGAATCGTCCTGAAATTTTATTGTTTAATTAGTAAGTATCATGTAAAAGTATTAAATGTCTCAACTTACAATTGGAATATCACGATCTCCGCACTCGTCGTCGTAGACTTCCTCACCAGTTTTGATGGCCGTGTGGTTCACCATCGCCACAATGGCCACGGACATGTTGGTCCTCATCACATAGGCATTGGCCATGCCCAGGAACAGCATGAACGTCACAAAGTACCGGGTGGCAAAGCATCCTACAAAAAAATTCAGAAATTAATTAACAAAAATTCAAACACCCCAGAGAGTATGCAAATAATTAATCTAGCTCTATCAGTGAACGCGTCAGTCACCAATAATTTAATTTGCCTAAGGCAAGCCGGAAGTCTTGTCAACGAAAATAAATGTTAGCAGCGGAATTACACCGCTTCGGAAATGCAAAAATAGCCCCAACGATCCGAGGCTGAAAGCGAGATAATATCACCGAGATATAACCATGTCTGGGGTTTGCTTAGCCCAAGGTTCGTTGCCTGCATAAGATAAGATTTTCTTTGAGTTTACTCATAAGACCAAAGTAGAACACAGACCCTAGAGCACTGAACAAAATTTAGGGTCTGAAAATGTTTTGCTGCGTGAAAATATGCCGTTTCATTGATATTTGCAGTCGTAATATCCACTCATTTATTTATTTGATTTTATGGCCAGAGGCTCGTGTTCCCAGATCGGATTTTGTTATTACCGATGAATGCCATTGTTTACTTTTGGTGTGTATATGAAGTTTTTTAAGTGCCGGCTTTGATGTGGCAGTGAATATTGCCGGCTTTTCGAGCAAATGGCACGGGCGTGAAACACGTGAGGTTAAAACTATTGCCAGTACAGTTGTGCTTGGCTTTCTAAAAATGGGTCTTTCTAAAAAATGGGTGACGTACGAAAAGTTCAAGGCTGCCAGCGCTGATTCATCAGATTTCCGACATAATTGAGCCAATTGCCTTTCAAAACTAATGTGTTTCAAAACTAATCGATGCAATTGGAAACTGTGAGATAAGCTATTCGTGTTCAATAACCTGCCAGCTTCTTAGGAATTTAGTTCACAAAAAAATTCGTCAGAAATCGTATGACATAAACAATAGCCCGAACTGGGGAAATGCTGAATCAAAATTAATTTCGAAAATTTTATTGCTGTTTATTTGTGCTCACCCAGCGATAAATCGCACGATTTGCCCGATTACCGCCCATGTCCGCCCCCTCCCAATTCCCCATAATTTCCGCCACTGTCTCGTGTTGCACAATAGTCGCGTTCGCTTTCGTTGAAAGCGTTGAGGAGAAGCACGTGTAAGTCGCGAGGAAAAAACCAGGTCTTTGGTGCGGAAATCGGCTTTCTAAAAGCCACCCTCCACCATATTACGTATACGCCGTGTGGTGAGTGAAAGACTTGGTTTGTCTGAAGTCTTACTTTTTGGCTCCTGATCCAGAGACTCTTGAAGATGCCTCTGATTCCAAACCAGAACGTGACCATCACGATGGCGATGCTTTAAACTGCTACGGCGAAAAGGCATTGTGGTTCTGTTTTTTGCACTACCCTTAGGGTTTCTTTTTTAAATTTATAACTAAACTATTAAATTCGATAATTTCTAGTTCGGACTTTTTTTTATTTCGAGCTCAAGTGGTCTTTTTGCGCACACGCTTGAACCATTTCATGGTTTATCTTTCGAATTGGAATATTTGGAACCGTAACATATCGCGGATTGGGGAAACTCTTGGACTTGAAATTCTAAACACTAGCGATAGTACGCCGGGTGGTTGGACGGTCTGCCTCGGACGATATTGGCCGCTCAACTGAGTCAGAACTTTTGTGCTCCCGCTTGTTGCTTTTAGCTTTTTCTACTGAGCGCCAACTGTTGCGTCGCCTTCATTTATAAACTGCCATGGCAGTGGGTATTGGGTAGAATGGGTACACATGGGCATGGGTATTGTGGATTGGGTGGCTCGAATATACCCTGAGCAGGCTGTGCGGCTCTGCGCCGGCGTTATTCTCTCTCCCAGTGGCAATTACATCAGTTTCGGTACTTAGATTTCCCTCTAATTAAATCTAGCAATGGAAAATTCTCAGTGCAAAATGCATCATTTTCGGTGCGCGATCCCCGATTGATGTCAATTGCCCGAATGAACTTTTTACTCTAGCCTCAAAGTCAAAGAAATCTTCCGCACCTCCATTCATACACTTATAGTATAAACGTCTAATTATATTCCGATGGACGTAAGCATTCGGGCCACATCCATATCTCGTGACTTGCGGCACATGGAGGCGGCGGTGTACACGCGCTGCCTAAAATATGCACAGCTAAGTGATTATGAGGGCATTTTTCGGAAGACTACTAAGTGGACAAGGGCTGTACTTGATGACTAAAAGACAAATTTAAATTTATTTAACCCAAAAAAGTATAAACTATGCAGTTGTAGAACCCTCTAGATTATCATCCCAAGCACCCTCATAAAGATGAAGTCATAGAAGTGCCCTGCTGCTAAATGGAGGCGCCTCCCCACAAGGTGCACTATTTTCTGTGTAATTACTGCTAATCATGCCAAAATATATACGCTACACAATTGCTTTGACAAGTTGTTGCTAATTTTGACATAGACCAAAAGGCAAAAACAAAAGCCAACCGCTCTGGGTTTATTCTATTTGTTGTATTTGTTCAGCAAACCGCAGAGCGGGACCAGAGTTGAAACTGTAAAAATATCTACAGTCACGCTTGACTCACACAAGTGTTTGTTTTTATTTTTTTTATATGTATGTTTATATATGTTCTGGTGTGGGCCGATGTCGGGGCTTGCTCTGAAAGTTGCCGCCCGGCTGAGACGGACACGTGTTTGTCGCCTGCTTCTGCTCGGAAGTTTATTTTTCAAATTCTTTTGGATCTTATAGACTTGCGAATGAGCTACAGATGAAATTTTAAATTTATTTATGAAAGCAATAAAAAAAAACCAACTTGAGATATTGTTAAATTATTCATATTTTTGCAATAATAAAAAGTGCTAAATGCTTTTTTTTATTATTGTTAGCTGACATTGAGGGTGTATTTCTCTTAAGCTCTCGTGACAAAGCAGGGAAGCCATTGCACTATAGGAAATATGACCACTTTTTCTGGCCAAAAATAATATCTCAAGAACGAAACAAGATATTTAAGTTCTGATTTTTGATTTGAGTTCACATGGTCAATAGATTCAATATTTTTAAAAAATGTGGGCGTGGCACCGCCCACTTTTTAAGAAACACATTCTAACTCAAAAACTAAGCAAGATATTTAAATTTTGATTTTTGATTTGAGTTTATATGGTCAAAAGAACTCATAAATGAAAAAATTGTGGGCGTGGCACCACCCCCTATTTAAAAATAACATTCTAACTGTTCGGTTTTGCACTAGTCTCACAGCTAACAGATTCACATTCAAGGTGTTGAGGTTGCCTCCTTAAATTATGAATTTCTTCGAAAGTGCATTTTTATGCATATTCATATTTCACTCATTTGAAGAAAATTAAACAATCTACAACATGGACTAAATTACATTGTCCGACTCCGCCAGACTTGGTTTAAATCTCTTTTTAAAAATGTGATTTATTTCTAAAAATTTCTTATGCTAGACTGCTTACATTTTCACTTTATTAAAAGGACAACACAAGTTTTTTGGACACTTCACATACACAAACACACAATACAAACCACTTAAAAAAGTATTCATTTCAAAACTTTTTATTTTGTCCATAAAATTTTAAGTATTCGTGTTTTTAAAATCGCACCAAAAAATCGTAAATTCTAAGCTCATGTAAATGTTAACATCAACAGCTGTTTTTAACAGCTGTTTTCTTCGCAGTGGCGCCATCTATGAAAATTTCTGGTATGCAACATTAAAAATTAATCTATTGTGAATGATATGCAGTTAAAATTATTTAAATCCTTTAACTTTCAAAAAATGGTTTTTGGCCAGAAAAAGTGGTCAAATTTCCTATAGTGCATTGCGAAAGTGCTACCACACACACACATGCAAATGGCCCATGAAATATTCGCCATATTTGTGTATTTTTTTGGCAGGCCCTCAAATGGAAAAGTTTTTGAACATGTCATGGTACAGTTGTGCGCGCTCAAAGCAATTAAGTGATTTTTCAAACTGTCTGCCAACCATTTGGGTGCTATTTCCGTACACCAACTACAATAAATATAAATATTTTAGTAATTATGGGCATCGGAAACAGGTAACTATTCTACAACTAATCTACATGAATTTTACACCAGCTAACGTTACGTTTTCATAGCATGCTTTCTGGGTGAGCTTTCCAGCAACGTAACGTAAGCATTCATCCGCGCCAAGTCGAATGGAATTCCATTGAAACTTTTGCTTTCATCTGTCATTAAATGATAATAAGAGAAAGAGTATCAAGTGTGTGAGAACATTCTGGGGAATTCTGGGATATAAAAGATCCCCCTTTATAGTCCCAATAATAAACCACAATGGAAGCTTGTTTGTATTTCGGCTCAATTGAAACATAAACAACATACACTCGTCGCTTTTATAAGGGTTCCTGGTATCGCGGATCTCGGTAGGTGCAAAACACTCGGTCAAATATTTACAGCCATTTAAAGAGCCAGCTTTGTGCCCCTTAGAAGGTTAGGCTGATGTCAGACGACGGGTATTCACGTCCCCCTATCAGATATATCAGTTAAATCCATTTCATTGAAGTACTACTGTGGAACCGGGTTAATTGCTAAATTATTTTGCCTTAATTTCTCTTCAGCAGGTAGACCGCTTGTGATATGCATTCTTTGAATGAATGCCTTTGCTATTTTCGGGCTAATGGTAATCTATAAAAATAGTAACAAGCGCACTCTTGACAAGATGAGTAATTCGCCTGCCACTTGCTAGCAAACAAAAAACAAAATTCAAATAAAATTCTACAAAAAAAATGTCACAAAAGTCACGATCTCGAGCAAAAAAGAAAAGGCATTTCCACTTTGCAATTGAGAGGTTTCTAAAAATTTCTCTGTCCCTCTTGCTCCCATAAAAACGCCAAGTTATGAGTCTGAGCTCTTTTGTGTAAAAGCAATTTTCTAATTTAGCAAGTCGGATTACGAGACGTCAGCAATACGAGTGCGCCATATAGTACCCATATAGTATTATGGTATAGAAATTTGGAACGGATATGGGGCTCAACTGAAGCGCAACGCTCAACAGGTCGCTGATTCTCTGGATGCCCTATTGTTAACTCACTGAGGGGGCTTTTTTAGTCACCCAGCCAACCACCACCCACAATATGCGAATTTGAAATTGGTGAGGCGTTGGCCGCGAAATTGAATAGATGTGAATATTTTCATCCAATTAACCGATGGCATGTCGAAAGATGATAAACGTTAGTGGGGCCGGACCGGACCGGGCCAGGCCGGGAATAATGGCCGGACATTCAAATGTCAATATCAGGGCCAAAAGCCAGCGACTTGCTGAAAATACTTGTCAAGCTGCCAGATCGAAAATTGTTTTTATTCGGCCCATGCTCATCACGCAAAGCCAACAGAGCTCTATAAATTGCAATGCAATCCGCTAATGAAAGTAAAAAGTGAAAAGTTCTCGTCGGAATCCCAAGGCGAAATATGCATTTCCACAACTGACCTTAGCCGCGAATCTCTAGAGAAAAAATAATAAACGAGTTTTGTCACCGCCTTGCAGAGTTCATTTGCACAGTTATAAACACGTACTGTATTTGGCATTTGCCACAATATACTGAGATTTATGGCAATGTTTTCATTTTTTTTGTTGTTGCCTGTTTTGGCTTTTGTATTTTGGGGCCTTTTAGCCGGTAACCGGTTGTGGCCAGTTGGATCTACGCAAAAAAGGTAAACCGGGAACTTACACAAACTGTGTCAAGTGTTCGCCAGACAGAAAAGATGACTTCTGTGTAAGATATATAGGAAAGGAAGACACTATAAACAAGCCAATTTGGCTCACTTCGCAAATGGTAAACTAATGATCCAAACAGGTAACAAAAGTTGGCACTGTAGGACCGTCAAAAACACCCACTACACAGTAAAAATTTCCATAGTTTCTCAGTTATTACTAGAAGAACTATAAGATATTTTATCAATCCAAACTGATAATTTTTTTCGCTGTGCAGTCTATGGCTATGTGTCACACGTTAATTGTGAATTTGGCTCACGCGTTGGCGACTCTGGTTAATAATGGATTTTATTTTTCTGCTCATTTTTATTGCATAACAAATAACTTCCGTTTGGCGGCAACCTTCCAATACATTTTCGGCCTCTTTTCGGCTTATTTAAGTCAAGTGAATTCCTGGAGAAGCCCGTCGAATCACTGAGAATCCCATTCAGTCGGCTTCAATTGTTACTTTTGAGTTTAACGATTGCAAAACCGTCAGGGAGTACGTGCCCTCACGATTTCTGTTCTGTTTGGGCAATTTGTTTAGTTAAGTTTAATGTAAGTTATACGCCCCAGCGGTAGTGAATCAAGTGCAATAAATGGGCCAATTACGCGCCGAGTGAAATCATAGGTTTTGCAACATTTGAATCGCAAGTCTAGTGCTTAATTATTTGAAGAAATGGAGGGTGTGCTCGAATGCCATTCAAATGTCTAAGCTTTCGAAATATCCAATTATTTCCTGTTTTGTTTTTATTTAATTATGCATATTTATTGAGTTGACTAACGAGAAAGCTCTATTTTAGGTTTATTGTCTTGAACTTGTTATTTACGAAGTTATTGTCAAAAGTCACCCTTAATAATAGTCAACAAAGTGTGCAATTTGAGAAATTTCTCAGCTAATTTTAACAAATATTGCCTCATATGGAGAAAATTCTATTTGTTACACAAACCTAACTAGCATAACTAGAATTATAAGGACTTACCTAATGCTGGCTTTTCCAGATCCTTTTCTGTACTCGCACAAATGGCCTCCTTTGACGCAGACATTTTCGTTTTTTTATTGGCTAAAGCTTACGATGGCTTTTGTTTTAGTTTAACACAAAGTGTTAAAACAAATTGATTACGACGCTGCAGGTGGTGCAGGCAGGCGTTGAAATATCACAATACTGCACACAATAATGCAGAAAATAAACTTTAACTGAGGTGCAATAAAGCGTTAAAGCGAAGTAAGTAGTGTTTACAAGGTGTCGACCATTTTCCACACCGGTATTTAATTTATTTATTGTCTCAGCTCGTTCGCTTCACGATAAGCTAAAGATGCTTTCTTCTTTCTGGTATAAGTATTTCACTCGCGATCTGCTGCCTCTGGCAGCTTGGATTGTTCTGATTGACAGACAGTGGGTAGCCGGCCTTTAAATAAGCCCCGAATCAGTCTCAGCCTCAGTCACAATCTGGGCTGTTTGCACGATTCATTTGTCGGTTCGTTTTGCAGTTTTGCCCCAGCTTGTGGCGGCTTGTTGACACTCGGGGTCTTCGGGGATACCGATAGCGAGATATATGTAGATGATTTCCAGACTAGGCAGACCAGGGAGATCGGCAGATCAAGTTGTTAATCTGAAAGCAGAGAGCCGTAAACAAATTAGTTTGATAAATTTAGCAGGCTGTCGTCTTCAATTGGTTGGGCAAACGCTAAATTTCCACCGTCATCCCGGCGTGATTGGCTTTTGATTTCACGAGTCTGTCGCCCTACGCACGTTTCCCCAGTTAACAGCGACCGGCGATCAAATATTTGAGGCCGTGATCCGGCCGATTTGAGCGGGATAAGCTACCAGCTCTATTGATCTATTTGGGGTACAGTTTGCCACCTGATTTCTTAGCCAGTTCTGCGAGGAGACCTTGGCAGTTGATTTCGATTCGTGGCAAGTCGATGCAAGGCAAGGCTAGTTCAACATTTGCATTGCGGACGAGTTTCGCACTCAATTCTCAATGTAATTAACCTTAAACAGCTCTACTTATCTCGTTCCAAGCTTATCCACTCACATATTGACAATTTTGGGCCCCCACCGCTCCCGATGATGTAATTTGTTTATCACTTAAATTTTTGTAATTTTATTTTTTGGCTTCCAACTAATGGTTCCCTTTTGAGAAAACGGGTTGTGAGTTCGGCAAACCCATTTCTAGGTAAATTGTGTATAACAGGGTTTTGATTCTACATTAATTTAAATACGCAAACTTTATATAAAAACAAAACCCACAGACGGCTGCGCACTTGAGTTATTTGTGTGAGCGGAATTTCAATTGTTATTGGAATTGTTTGCACGTCAGAGCTGGCCGAAAATACATTTTTGGAAAGTTTCATAAGTCGGCAAAAAGACTGTTGAACAACCTGCTCCCCCTGTTTCGTTGATTTGTTTGAGCAGATTTCTTAGAAATTAAGCCCACACAATGCCCTAATTGGTTTTTTTTTAAAGAAAGGCAAGGAAACAAACAAGTTTAATATTATATCAGAAACAGAAAATCTGAACAAATAATTGAATTTAAATATAATTAGTTCACTACTATTAATATATAACATTCAACTTGTTATTTCACATTTTGTGAAATAACTAGAACCTTTTCCATATCAATTTCTTATCTTAATCTATAATCAGATCTAAAATAGAAACGTGATCTCCAGTCAGTTATTTAATAGGATGATGATAAAGGTAGCGCAAACCCAGAGTTTCCTTTGCCGCAATTTTTGTCACAAATATTGATCAATTTAAACAATTAGCAAAAACGCTTTTGGGTAAACATAGGCCATCGATCGTAGACGAAATGATTTGCATTTTTTCAACTGCTAACCAACCGCAGATCGCTGAAAACCGTCAAGAGCGATGGATGCGATACTCCTGGAACGGATCTGGATGTTGCATAAGAGCCCACTTGTTTCAGTAAGCCCTCTTTAAATAAATAAAAAAATCCCCTATCTGGCTTATAAATAATGTAATAAATTTAAATGGCAAGTGATAATTGTTAATTGGCGATGGCGCAGTTAGTATCATCCCTCCCTTGGTTTATAACTTCATTTTCTAGGCATTAAAAGTGCATTAGTAAATAACCATAAAAGGAAACAATTTATGGGCCACCACAAAACCATATTTAATGCATAGGGCTAACAAAAAAATTTATGAATATAATCGCTATCACTAACGCCTTTTAATCGGCTCGAGAAGTGTGCTCGCTCAAGTGTCGGAAATTTCGGAAAGATAAGTGGCCAGAAAAAAAAAAGGCAGGAGAGAGAGGCTGCCAAAGTTCGTTCTGGGCCAAGAGAATGGCACACACGCTCTTAGCCAAATACCACGTAATTGTAAATTGTCAGCCAGACGGATTTATTGACGAATTGGCGGAGAAGAGTTCTTCGGAATCGGTTGCCAATGGGGGGCAGACTATGGCTATCGTGCGGAATAAAGCCGTAAATCAAATACCCTTATCTGTACGCCCTCGTTGAGTGGGGAACCTCTCCAGATTGCACGGCCGTACAAACTCCGGAATGACCCATGAAAGAAGATAGCCGTATATTATACGCATTTCCTTTTGGCCCCCATAACACGTGCTAACTGCTCTCCATTCACCCTTTTCTCGGCTGATTGCCAGCGGCGAGATGAAGTCGTTAGATGAAGTCTGATATCAGATTGCCTTAATTGTATCATAATTAGTTTTATCGCGGTCCATAAACCAGCCTTCGTCACAAATACAATGGATTCGTGACAAGGCAGTGGCAAATTTTCCACCCGTGCTTTGGTTTCTCCGGCCAGGCCGATTGGCATTTTAATGGAGATCCATCCTCTTAATTTATTTTAATGTTATTCACTTGGTGTTCCAATTGTTGGCAACATTTCTACATCGTTTCCAGTTTCATTTTCATTTCAATTTTCATTTTTATTTCCACCGGTTTAAACGTGTGTGTGTGTGTGTTAGCCAGTGTTTGCATTCAGCTTTTCAAGTTCAAGTTCAGACCCGGGCCCGGGCCTCAACCTCAACATCACATTCGCAGTCGATGCGCCCGAGTGCTTCTGCATTGGATTCTGTGCACTGAGGGAAAATTAATTTATGGATTCCCGAAAGCCATTTATGTATTTTAACGTCACTCCCAATACTTAATTGGAAAAGGAAATGAAACTTTAATTACTTCTCCGAAAGCTGAATAATAACCTAATACCTGATACTTGGAACTTGCTAATTAATTTTAAAGGGATATACAAATTGGCAACAAAAATTAAATAAATTAAAACTGCCTAAATGATATTTTTTTTGTTGAATGACTTTTTAAGCACATAATAATACGCTTGTTGCTTGAAGTGTAGCTCTCGAGACCCACGAGGGCTCACATTGTTTTTATTGCTCTCGAGGGGTGGGAAACTGTATAGCATGTCATACCTGGTAATGTTCAATTGGTTTCTTAGCTAAGCTTATCTTGGCGCATTTTTGCACTTGATATGAAGGAAAGTGGATTTGTAAACCCTATTGCAATCGCCACTTGATGGCTAGGAAGTTACGCAAAATAATTCATCATCTTTCGGTTGTAAATCATTCACCTTAATCGAGTTCGAGTTCCTTGACAATGGCTTTAGCACATATTTATTGTTCTGCTTACTTAACTGGTTTTAATAAGTCTTTGTATATTTTGCATATTGTATATAAGTATGGATTTTAATGCCTTAATTTTTTTTTTTTTTGCATATTTTTGTGTATTTAATTGGCAGGCTGTTGAATCAGAAACTCACTCACCTCACTTTGAGTACAAAGACACACAACTTTTTAAAATTACGAATCAGCTGTTTTGCCATTTCAGTCTTACTTAATTTACACTTTTTCCAAAGGGGGGGCTAATTAACTGGACCTCAGCGAATTTGCAGACAAAAACAAACGGATGGCAGCGAGTTGGGGCGACAGAAAAGTGAAAACGCAGCGAATTCTACATATTTGCTTAGATTGTACTAGGTGAGACTCACATGGCAGATCCGTCCTCCCACTGATGTCCCAATAATAGTTGGCCTTTGCTGAATTTTTCGCACAATTTCCCGTTCACACTCGCTGGAAAAACTTTCTTTATAAATATTATTTTGTAGCTTTTTTTTCGGAGTTGCTGTCGTTTTCGCAACGAGCGTTGAAACTGTAATGACTTACTACACCGGCTAATTGAACGTTTTTATAATTCTGTTTGTGTTTTACTCACATTGCTGGCGAAGCCGGCAGCGCTGGAACAGCGAGACAGCGCCGTCGACGTTAGGTGGAGCAGAGGAAACACGAAGCTCTCGATTCGATTCACCTGCCGAGCCCCATTCGCCCGGTGATAAAGCCTGAGTAGCCGACCATCCAGCAGGCGATAATGGTCAGTGCTATAAAAGCCTAAATGACGGGTTTACAAGCCCAAATGGGTGACAATTGAAGTGACTCCATCTAGTAGGGATACTCTTGACTGGTTACCTGGTTGGTGAGCCGAGTGCTCGCTCTCCACAGATCGTGTGCCCCTCACGTGAAGCGCCTCGCACCTTCTGGCAAACATCGAAACACGTTAACTCTCGGGCGTGAGAGACACATGATGAGAGCGAAAGGAGGCGACTTTTTACAATATTGACAAAGAAATTGACAAGCCAAATTAAAGATTTACAGGCCGAACGTTTTGGGCCTTGAATACTGACGTCAACAAACCAGAAGAACAGACCAGATGTAGTTATCCAACTTTAATGACTCTGATTTCGATTAAAACACACACACGAAAACTTAGTCATTATGGAATTTTTCGAACACAATCTCTAAGATTTTAATTAGTCTCTATTTTTGCGAATATTGCAAGGAAAACCCTCAACAATTTGTTGAATATTAAAGGAACCATAAACCGACTTTGACCAGCGATAACGCCTTAAGGCCAGTTTTATTTTCCGCAGGTAGCAGTTAGCCAATATCAACTGATTTTGGGTTTATAAAGAGTCATAAAACACAATCTTGACCAGCAGCACTTCGGGTTCAATACATATAGTATATGATACTAACTAATAGCGGCCCATGAATGGGAGATTGAAGGCCCTCGGATCGGCGGGAGGAAGAAGGTAAGGTAGTCACATGATTTGCGGTTTGTGGCTTACTGGATTAGCCTAACAACCGTCTTGGAATAACCTTTGGGAGATCTGTTATCGGCGGGCTATATGTATGACAGCCACGAGTGCCACTCAATTGCCTGTGCCAAATCATATTTGGCCAATACATTTCAGCGTTTACTGGCAGCAGCTTATTATCTCGTTATTAATTGTATTTTGAAATCCGTGATACGGATGGGAGAGCGATGTGGGAGTTCGATGATGATACTAGCGCCGATTCGCTATCATTATTTTTATTGAGGCCCGTCCTTTGACGCAATTAAAGCAGGTATTTGTGCGTTTGGGCCCTCATCTGTTTTTATTTCTGTTTGACCAAGATAACAAAACACTTTTTCGTGGGCTGTGAACAAGAGTGAAACGATTGCCATACATTCAGGTGCAAAACAAGGGTAAATGCATATATATTAAAGTATTATCAATTATCTTTGGTGAAATGTGAAAGTGAGTCACATAACAGGAGAACTTATAAACCTGGCTACAAATTGGTTTATAAAAAACTCTATCAAAGTATGATTTATTTGTCTAATACATAATCCAGATTAACAGCGCTGCTTTTTTTTAGAACTTGTATTTATTTTAAACACTTCAACTTCCAAACCTGGAAACATAAATTATTTCGAGTATTTTCTAACATAATCTTATGAGATTACCCTTGGGCAAATTAATCTTAAAGAATGATGGAATTTTTCGAAAATTCCGTTCTCTTTATTTGGCCAAAATCGAAACTTTTGATTCACATTTTAGTGAATATTTTAACTATTTTGCAAGCGATTCAAAAATGGAATGCCATTTATGAATCAGAGACCCAATGCGCTTCAATTTTCATCTAAAGATAAGAAAAACTAAGCAAAATAAAATTTCGAAAAATTGTTGCCATAAATTGTGATGTTACCCCTTTTAAAAAATGAAAAAATGGATAAAATTTTAAGTTGCCAGGTTTTGCTTGCTCTAAGACCGGGAATGTATAACATTTTAGGGTATGACTAGTATTAGCCAAGTTATAAGTATTTTTCTATCACAAAATGTAAGAAAAATGTAACTGTGGTTTTGATAATTTTTATTTGGGAAAATCGAATTTTTTTATTCACATTTTAGTGCATATTTTAACTATTGTGCAACCGATTCGAAAATGGAATAACATTTATGAATCCGAGCTTTAATTCCCTTGGATCTGCATCAAAACATTCGGAAAAAAAACCAAAAAAATTTGAACACATTTTTGGCTAAAATTATGATGTTACCCCTTTGAAAAATTTGAAAAAATGGATCAAAATTTTTGTTCCCAGATTTTAACAGGCAGTAATTCTACTACAAGATCTAAGATCGGGAAGGTATGACATTTCAAGATCTGACAAATATTAACCATGATATGAATATTTTTCCATCACAAAATGGAAGAAAATTGGAACAGTGATTTTGATAATTTTTATTTGGCCAAAATCAAAGTTTTTGTTTCACATTTTAGTGAATATTTTAAAAATTTATTTTAAATTGGAAAAAATTGGTCAAAATTTTTGTTTCCAAGTTTTTCAAGAAAATAATACTACCCGAAGATCTAAGATAGGGAAGGTATGACATTTCACGATCGGCTAAGTGTTAGCCAAGTTATTCGCATTTTCCCATTTCCAAAAATCCGAAAACTGGTAAAACGGTTATAATTGAATTAATTGAAACTATATACCATTTAATTGTTTTGTGTTTTATTTAAGGTTTAAGGTTGTTAAATAATAAATTTAAGGTTGGCGCTTGAAAGCGTAGTACTTAGTCCCCTTAATGAGGCGTTGCCAAGAGGAACTAACTAGATTAAATATTAAGTCACTGTATTTAAAAAGACTTAGTACTAAGATAATGTTGCTGCCAATCGGACTGCTTTTGGTGTTCCTCGAGTGGGCAACATCGTCCCGACCCGTGACTTTGCCGTATCCCAAAAATTTTCAGTGCCCTCCGAATGCCACTACATCCTTCTGCTCCTCCCGCTGCGAGGAGACCTGTTTATACAAGTCCCGCGGCTGTCCACCAAGGATATGTGGAGGTCCCTGTGTTTGCCGCATGGGCTACATCATCGACGAGCAGCGATCGGGCTGTGTCCTGCGCAAGGACTGCAGGGAGCAACAGGTGGAAGTGCCATCCTACGAGGTGACTAGTGTAGCCTATTTCGGTGCCAACTATGGGATAAAATTGTGAAATAAAATAGAGCAAACAGAGTAAAATAAATCACTGCCTAGCTGAACGTTGGATGGCTCGACTGATAGGCTCGATTAGAAGGCATGCCAGCCAGTTGGGAGGTAAATAGGACCATAAAACTTGAGGCTCGGCGACAATATCGCATATAGCCCCCATTGCAATCGAGTGCTAAGATAAGAAACGTGCCGCAAATCGGCCGAGCCGCCGGCTCACGTTCACGTGATGAGCACGCCGATCCAACAACCTCGGGTACACCAACAAACTGTATTTTTGCCCACCAGCGAGCGGCAGGAAAAGCAGGTAAATCAGCGATAATGAATACCAAGCGCAATTATGGCGATCAACGGCGGACAATGTGCTAAATGTTTATGGAAACGGCCTTATCTTGTCACCGATATTTGGCCCAGACAACCAAGAGATTCGCAAATGATGATGGGGCACACCCAAGCGGACGGAGACGAGACGAGCTGTGTCCGCTCTGTCTGTCCCAGCCGTCAAGATTCCCGACTCCCGAGTCACTCCGACTAAATAATAGATTACCGGGGTTACTCGTCAATGTGTGCAGGGGAAAAATATTAGTTCACATGGCGTATGAGTAACGAACGCCATGTTTAATCTGGCTTAAGGAATGCGTATACTTTTCAAGCTGCCCGAAAGTATGCAACGAAAATTTATTTTGACGTGTGGTGAGTTTGTGGTTTCGAAAGTTAGGCGGCGATGAAGTAACCTTAGAAATTAAATTATTTTTCACATACCTGACATTCAAAAATATCACTTAACACTCTTTTGAAAATTAATTGTTTTTGAAGATTGAAAAATGCCTTGCAGAATAAGTGACACGGATTCCAGTTCCGCTCGTTACCAGCCCAGTGTTAGAATTGGTAACTGGGTAGAGGAGAATTGTTTAGAAGAGGTATGAAATGAAAGAGTTCCTACAAATTATATATTCTAAACCCTCTTTTAAGGATAAACTGGTTACCTTCAAGAAGCAGCGCGATCGAGGAGAACTCTTGGTGGAAAAAGCACGTACTCTGTATGATAATTTTCACAAGGAGATCGTTTTGGCGGCCCCCAAAGAAAACATTCTGTTCGGGGCTGTGGTACAGCTCATGCCCATTGTTATGAATATTATGGACTTGGACAGCGATGACTTGAATGCCGCCTTGTCCGTGGTGATCAACGAAAAGGAGGTGCGGCGCACCCAAACCATCAGCGAAGATTGCGAGCTGTCGGTGGCGCCTTCCAGGCGGCCATGTGCCCGCAATTCCTTTCGGATTGTCAGTGGAGATGACCACGACCGGACTGGGGAAACGATCAAGTATGGACAAAAGTTTCGGATACAGTGCATGGCTTCGGAAAGTGATCCCATAATGGTATATAGTGGACCAAAGCGATGTGATCTGCAGCAGGGAGTCAATGCCACATACTTGTCGCGGAAGCACGGCGAAGAGAATCTCAACTTGGGTTTGGTTAACCTAAGTGTAAGATACTATTTGATAAATTTTGAAATTCGTTTTTTATGGATTCTGTATTGCAGAAATGCAGCTGTCCGGATAGTGATATACCCATAGCATACACCAATTGGTTTTGCAGACATGTTGATCCCAAGCAGCGTTTTGAAAGTGAAGGCGAAGATATACCTGTAAGTTAGACATAGAATAGGTCCTTGATTGCATATATCTTAACTCTATTTTCTTCCCAGAGTAACTCTCCTTTGGTGATTGTCCATTCAACTACCAATCGCAACCTGGCAGCTGAAAATATTTTAATTCAGACCCTCTTTGGTCCAGAATTTCTAGTTTCCGTTCAAAACTATCGCAATATCTTCAAGCATGAGATCTGGAAGAATGTGTGGATGATCAGTAATGGACATCAGCATAGTTCTACAAAGAAAACCGGAGGGGCTTCGTCCCACTAATCTTTAGGGGTTCTTGAACCAAAATAGTTGGATTTAAAAAGCAAAAATTTAAATTTCGCACAATAAATGGTGTCGGGCCGAGCCCCTGCTGCTTGGCCTAAATTGTTGCCAATCTGAACTCTAACTGGGTCGGTCTTTAAGATTAGAGGCTTTAGGAAGTATAGACTATTACGCTATCAATATCAATATTATATAATATATCTGACCTTCTAAGAGTGCGTTAAAACTAAGCAAATAAAGGTACACCACACTATTCTTCAACTTATCAGTTCTTTCTCCAGAAAAGTATGCCACTCAGTCGATAAAACCACTCGAATAGAACGGCTTCCAACACCTATAAATAGCCAAAAATCACAACATTCGACACATTCAACCCCAACCATGTCTTTGGTTAACAGTCTAGTGTTTCCTCTGATCCTGCTCCTTGCCTCGACTTCGGTTTTTGGCCAGAGTGAGGCGGCCGATGAGTCCCGGATCATAGGAGGTCAGTTTGCCTCTATGGGACAGTTTCCCCACCAGGTGTCCCTGCAGCTGAATGGCCGTCATCACTGTGGAGGATCCCTCATCTCGGAGACCATGATCGTGACTGCCGCCCACTGCACCATGGGTCAGAGTCCGGGCCAAATGAAGGCCGTTGTGGGAACCAACGACCTGAGCGGCGGAAATGGTCAAACCTTCAACATTGCCCAGTTCATCATCCATCCGCAGTACAATCCCCAGAGCCAGGATTTTGACATGTCCCTGATCAAACTAAGCACTCCGGTGCCCATGGGAGGGGCAGTGAAAACCATCCAATTGGCCGACTCGGACTCCAACTATGCCGCCGACACCATGGCCACGATTAGTGGCTTCGGAGCCATCAACCAGAACCTCCAGCTGCCAAACCGCCTAAAGTTCGCCCAGGTGCAACTGTGGAGCCGGGACTATTGCAATGCCCAGAACATCCCTGGACTCACGGATCGCATGGTGTGTGCCGGGCATCCCAGTGGACAGGTGAGCTCTTGCCAGGGTGATTCCGGTGGCCCGTTGACCGTCGACGGCAAGCTCTTCGGCGTGGTGTCTTGGGGATTCGGTTGCGGGGCCAAGGGACGTCCGGCCATGTACACCTATGTGGGTGCTCTGCGCTCCTGGATCAAACAGAATGCTAATGTTTAAATGGAAATTGTACTTACACCCCTAACTGATCACTGGCTTAATAAATAAATTAAATTTCAAAATTAAAACCAACCACAATGTATTCTACATCTTTTCTACTGTAACTTACATTCTCCCTTGACGTTCATCTGCCAGACCACAGGTGGCGCTAAAAAGAAGATGAAATCCACCCCAGTCGAAATAAAACCATTTAGTTTATAATTCACATTGTTTTATCTTTTATTTATAACTTTATCTGATTTTTGCACATATTTTCTTCCTTTCTACACATTTACTAAGCGCTTAGTCTGTTATTGTAAGTTCAGATTTAAAAAGTTTATCAACCACTTCCTATGGCTTTTGGTTTCGTACTTTAAATGTAAATGCCGCCTACAGTGAAGCTCGCTGTCTGGAATAAAAAATAGCAATTGAAGAAAAAAAAAATACAAAAGCTTTCGGCATCTGGCCTTGGCTATCATCTTGATATAATATGTACCTTTTAGTCTTGAATAAAACAGTATTTAATTTAATTGATAGTTATGTACAGTTTCTGCAGGATGCGATATGAAATCGTACAGTACAGTATATACACACTCGCTGTGATTGTGACCCTAGCCTAGATCTAGAAGAGTTCGATGAACATGGTTACATGGATGTGTGTCAGAATGCGTCCGTTATAAATAGAAGGCACTATGCACATTCGCGGTAAGGTCTAATAACTAGAAACTAACTACTAACTCTATATATATGTATGTATATACCTTCTGTGATATCGGTAGTTTGGAAACTGATATTTTTTAAGTACTAAAAGCTGGCATTGTCCAACAAATAGGATATGTTGTTGTCTTGAGAATCCAACGTAGAGAAATGCAAAGGACTTTCAAATAGAACACAAAGTTAAGCATCTAAACATAATTTGGCATAAGATTTTCAACACTCCGCTAGACTATAAAAATTAAAAAAACAAAACTCATGTCTCGCCCTACAACGGAATACACATAAACGTAATAAATAAATTTAGAAATTTTGGGTTTCAAGTTAGGAATGCGGAGGGTTAGACATAGGAGGCGAAACAAAGGCTATCACCAAATGCTTTCCAACTCAGACTTAGCCTAGGGCTTACTTGCTAAAACATATATTTGGAATGAGGCTTTCGCAGAGCCATTTGATGACGTTTGTAAAATTCATAAATCATAAATATTTCGGAAATCTTTCGCCTTTTCCGTTGGCCTGGAGAATAAGTCAAACACTCAGATCAGAGACAAGTTCCACACGTTCCATACAAATTGTGCTAAATGTTACAAATTTAAATGCAAAAATTGCGCTACGACTTAAAACTTTTGTTGGCCACCTCGTCCTTGGCCAGCCTGGCTCCATTAGCCTAATCCTAAGTGCTGTGTTTTGGGCCTACCAAAAACTTATCGACTTATAGATACTGTACAGCAGTCATTATCCTTCGAGTGTCTGTTCGTGTGTGTGTGGTTGTGTCGGTGTCTGTTGTGTTGTTGTCCTTAAAGCTATGTATCGGCTATTCTCTTGTTTGGAAACATATAAATTTTAATAATATTTATATAGCATGGCAAGTACTCTGCTGCTACATCGCTCCCTTCACTCCCTATTGCACATGCCGCCGCTGGGGGAATCCCAATCCATCTGTCTACTCGACCTCCTGCCTCCACTCCATGATTCCTACTCCTGTTTCGGGTTCTTCCCCATCCTCTTGCTGCTATGCCCGATGTGGCTGCTTTTGTTTCTGATGCTGCTGGTGTGGTCGCTGCGAAGTGGGCAACAGCAGGTTGCCCTTCGCGTAGAAGTATCCTCACAACTTGGAGCTGTCGTAGTTCTCCAACGACCACTGCTGGCGGGCCACCGACGCGTTGCACTCCTCCATCTGTAGCTTGTCCTTACTCTCGGTGACGGCCAAGCACTTCCCAGAGGTGCCATGGTGCAGTTGCTTTGTGTTCTCACGGTACGACCAGAACTGAAACGGAAGTGGATTAAAGAAATGTTCGTATTTGCAGAAATCAGATGGCCAGGAAACTCCCTTTTCAATCACATAAATTTGCAAAAATTAGTAATTGTTCTTCAATATATACGAATCAATAATGAAAATTTATGCGACTGTGCAGGTGTGTTCCCTGGTTCGCTTCAACTTTATATATCAGGCACACTCACCTGATTTCCTTTTCCACCGTGGCAGGGGTAGAGCGTCACATCCTTGCCGGCATAATCAAGGCAGGAGTCGTCTCGGCGTATTTCTCCCGTCTTGCTCAGCATCCAGTACTGCAGGAGGAGGATTGAGGATGAGGGAAAACACATTAATATAAATTGTAATGGCGGGGAATGTGTTTGCCAGTTGCCAAAAGTTTTGCCAGGGCTACAATCGCACACAACTTATTACACACTAATGTTTTATTCAATTAAATGCTGAAAAAGCAGCAGCTCAGTGTTGCGGGTGTACAAGTCTATGTGTGAGTTTTGGTCGTTTGTATGTATGTGTCTGTGTCTGGATTGTGTCTGAAACTCGCTGGCCTGGCCATGATTATTTATAATTTAAAACACGTTGCCAATGCCAGATGGCATGAGTTTTCGCCCAGCCTGAAACTGCCTTTGTTTGCTATGGCTCGTGGCCATAACCACGCCCTTTAGCCCTGTACAGCCCTATAGCCCTGTTGTCCTGCCCTTTCTGTCACCGAGTCGTGACCAGCCGCCATTTTGTGTTACCATTTCCGTTTCCGCACCGCCTGCCACCGGATAGCGGCCCTTTATATTGTTTATAATGATGCCGGGCTGGAATAATGATGAGATTGGTCACCGCCAGGACAAGCAGGTCTTTGTGTGTCCATGAATAATTATAGATATTGTCCGCCCAGTTCAATTAAGCCAATTGAAAAGGTCCTTAAAGCTAACTTTCACTCGTTGCCCGTAGACAGGATTTTTCCTTAAAATTCTAGCACTATTTAACTATTTAAAATTTTGATCAGGACTCGAGATTACTGTAAAGGCACGTACTATAAAGGATAATGCACACTTTCACCCGCCACCCCAAGGACGTAGCACTCTCTGTGCACCGTTTATACTCCGTGTTCATCCTCGCTTATTGTTTAGGCTTACAGCACCGGCCCTCCGCTCCACTGCCGCCCGTGTCCTCTGACTTTCGTCCTTCGTGTTCTCAATTTGCATTTCTTTTTATCCTTCAGTCGGCTGTGTTGCGTTTTCTGTGTGTGTGCGAGATGCGTTTTTAATTACGTTTTTTACGTTTCCTATGTTATTTTTTTTTCCAGCTCTTCTCCAGCTTTTATCTAGTGTTTTTCATATATTTTTTGTTTCCCGGCAGTGCCACAAATATTTTTCCTAGACGCGACGCGTTTTTTTTCCACATGAGAGAAATAGTTTCATTATGTGGACAGGCTAGTAGCAGTACACAGCCCCCGCTGCAGATACATCCTTTGACGCGCCAGTGGAAAGCGGTTCCGTTTTTTTCCCCCGACCGCCAGTTTGGTTCGCTGGCTAAAATTTTACGATGTGCGAAATTAAAATTTGCGTGCAAAAAAGCGGAGCCAAGTGGCACAGGCAGGGGAACGCAGCCCCCTTCTTCAGCGGCGTCCCCGTTGCAAATGTTGATTACTTTATCCAGCCGCATCCGCATTTCCGAGTGAAAACAAACATTTGGAAGAATCTTTTCCGTGATTCACTCCCTTTGGCCCGTGACTGTGCGGCTTGTAGTTTTCCGAGGGTGTGTGTTTAAGCGGGGCAGGCTTGGAGGCGTTGTCTAGGACGGTTTTAGAGTAAGCGGAACGAGGTCAGCACTTTTCCCCCCATTTAAAATGTTCAACATACAATATGCCCGCACCCCCACCTCTAGCCCCATTGTATCTGTGCGAGCGTGAAAGTATCTCAGGCTTTGCAGCGTGTATCTGTAAGCGGGACTATTGTGTGTTGCAGTTCATTTGCTTTGTTTGTTCCTTCATTGTTGCCTACAAAAGTATAATGTTTTTTATTTGTGACTAAAAACTAACTAATGCTAGAGCTGTAGCCAAAGCCAAAGCCATGTAAATGATTTATCATTTGGCATTTTATTTATGATTGCGTTTTAATTAATTTTGTGACTGGCATAAATCGACCAAAAATATGCAATTCGGTCGCAGTATCTGTGAGCTATTGTTTCGAGTATCTGTGTGTTTTTTCTGTCTATATGTCTGTGGGTGTGTGTGTGTGTTGGCGCTCTTGTATGCATCCTGTAAATCGTTAAAACTGTTAAATTGTCAATGCAATTTCTGTTGGCAACAGTTGCTCATAAATACTTTCACTTTTGCTTGGCAAATAAATTGAATATGAAACGTCCGCCAGGGAGCCAGAGCCATAAATTCATATTATTTATGTAGGACTCTACCAAAATTTGTTATTGCAGCCACAAACTCCGTCAAAATTAGTGCTCAAAACCGCAGGACTTTCACAAGGGTAGAAATAACAATCAAAAAATTATTATTGTTATTCATTGTTGTTTTTTCAATAAGGATCGAAATGGAAAAACACCTTTTAGAAGAATTAGAGGACTTCCCCACAGTCACCAAAAATCAAAAATAGATAACAGGGAACTCTTAAATTGGCAAATATTATTTAAAATTAATTAAATTAAGATTTAAAATAAAATAATACTCGTTTACAAATTCAAGGGAAATATCTGAGGGAAAGGAAGAGGTCTTTAATATTTCTACATTAAATTAGCATTTTTTTAAAACCAATTGGATTAAAAAATTATAATTGTCTACAAAGAAGCTCTTCAAAATCAAAATCCTTGCAAATAGGATCATTCAAGTTTCAAAGTAGTTATGAGGTAATGGGTGTTAGGAGTAGTGATTTGTTGAAGTATTTAATATGTACTGTTTAGTGTTAATTGGGTTGTTTTTGGGTTTAAGTAAAAGCAAGGCAAGTTGGAATAATAAAATTTTACCAAATTAAAAAAAATAGCACAAAGCATCAAATAAAAAAAGGATAATCAGAAACCAAAGCAAAACACCAATTGGAAAACCATTTTTCCACAAAGCATTTGAAAAACATGGAAAATGTTCTGAATCGCCGCCATAAGTTGTCTGAGTCTGAGTTCTGAGGATGTGGACATGGAGGTGGATACCTGATTTCCTCCTTGGCCATGGCATTCATAGATAGAAGCCGATACGTCCTCATCCGATCGATCTTTCTCATCCAGGCACATGCCCGTGGCCAGGTTGGCGATCTGCAAATTAAGTTCAAAATATAGGAGCGGATTCCATCTACAATAACTGAATGAGTTCTTAGAGGGGGTTAAACCCAATCGCCAGTAAGACAGTTTAGTGTTTTGGGAAGACTGTTTTTTTTTTAGTAGAAGCAAGAAAGTCGAAAGGGGGAAGAGTGTTTCTTTTATTTCGATCTGGGTCGGAGTTCCTATTACGGTTTCGCGGTCTATTTTGAACGGAGTTTGTGGCGGTCGCAGGTCTGCTGAGAGGCGGCGGTAACAAACCTGATTTCCACCCTGCCGATGGCAGGGATACGTGCCCACAGCCTTCTTCTGATGCTTCTTCCCAGAAGGTGCGTCCAAGCAGGTGCGACCGCCATAACCTAAGTTTCTTATCTGCGCATGGAATTAAAGTCACATTTAGTTTCGGAGGGTTTTCAGAGTTTGTTAAATATTTTAGTTCAGGTCAAGGATGGGGGCTGGATAAGACCATGGACCGAAACACCACCGAACACTTACCTCGCCGTGGGCCACAGAGTCGCCGGGAATGAAGAGCTCCGGATAGATGTTGTCCAGATACCACTTGAAGCTCTTGCACTTCAGATCGGAACTGAAATTATAGTACTGTGGGTTAATGGCTATTATTATTTGTATTTTCCACTGCTTACCGTAGCTTCTTGCGATCGGTGACATCCCCCCAGTCGCCCTTGTCGTTGCCAATGCGGTGGTAGTAGTACTGGGCGTAGTCATCCATCCAAACCTCGGCCAGGCGCACCGAGTTCTTCCTCAGCACATTCACGCCCGAACGCCACTGGAATTGAAGGAAAATGGAGTAGATGAGTCGAAGAGTGGGTGTGGCAGGCGGATAAGTGGCAAAGTGGACACTGGACAGTGGACGACGAACAGGCACAATCACTGGCCGGTTGCTGGCGGTGCCGGAGTCAATGGAAATATTTGGTTGGCAAACAGACCAGCAAGGCGGAGGGCAGAACAATGCCACACAGATGGAAACGTAGAACGGAACCGAGAAGAGGTGGCCACTAGACAGGCAGGCGGGGAGGCGGGCAGGCGACCAGAAGGGGCAAAGTGAACAACAAAGCCTAATTACCTGAATGAGTAGCTTTTGCTTAGTGCCATTACGTTGCTCCTGCCGTTGTGGCACTGGCAGCCTTTTGCGGTTAACCCGGACTATCAGTCCTTGCCAGAGATGGCCAGTTCAGAGGCAGGGTTTCGTTTCCAGTGCACTCCCATCTATGAATAACTGCACTCTATTTCAAGTCACTAAACAATTACACTCAATCGTCAAGACTTTTAAAAACACTTTCTTGTTCAGGACAATTTTAATAAATTGAAACTAAAATGATTACTCTTCTCTAGCTATTGCTATTGTCTCCGCCTTTGAATCCTTGCAGTACTATGCCCTGTTTTGTATTTATGAGTTTACTGTAACTGTGTTCTCTGGCATTCGTGCACTTGAAAGGAACCCGCCCAGTCCTGGCACCACAAAAGTACCTGGTAACGAGATGTGGGCCAAGTGTTTGCACCTGACATTTATTGAAATTGCCGACTGCAGCCGTATATTGTTCGAGTTTTCCCCAAAAATCGATGAACTTTTCTATTCTTTGTATCTATTGTTTAAATTTTTCGGATGCTGAACCCCTATGAAGCTCTTCTACAATTAAATTATTCATTTGTTATTCGGCATCAGTTATCTGGAAGTGTACGGCTAAAACTCTGTCTATTCTTATGTATCATACTGCAGCATAGCTTCGTTTTATTTTTTGTTAGCCTAGAGACAACAAACCCTCCTGGAATCTGGCAGGTGCCCGATTGGTTAGCTCCAGACTGGCTGGATTTAAGCTCTGTGTGTGCGCTATTGACATCCAAACAGTTGCCAAACTTTTGTCAAGCGTAAACCGTTGATAATTGAAGCTGCCCCAAAATGTGTGCGGCCATGGGCGGCGGAGGAGGTGGACCTCTTCGTTCACCAGCATGTTGCAAAGACAGCCGCAATGCATGTCCATGTCTGGGTATCCGTATCTGTATCTGCCCTCATGTCTGTGCCATGTGTGCCATGTTGCAGCTCTGCGGCTGCCAGTGGGCTGTTGGCTGAAGTGGGAGGGGGGCGTGGTCATTTTCGACCAAACACGAATCTCTGAGCTAGTAGCTGGCCCAGAGACAGGCCACAAAAAACGAGCCAGACCGTACACATGCTGGCCAAGAGTTTTAAATTCCTGAAGCTCGAAAGCAAACTCTGTCTCTTAATGAGCAGAAAGTCCATCGGTATGGCTTTGTCCTGGAATGTCCTTTCCAATATTAACGCCTATGACTTACCTTATAGGGGGAGCGTTTGCGGAAGATGTGGCCGACATGGGAGCAGGGTACAATCTCCAGGGTGCCACCGCACATCCAGGTCTTGAAGGACAGCTCCAGATTCTCGCCTCCCCAGATGTCGAATCCGGAGTCGTAGGTGCCCAGGCGATCGAAGAACTCCCGGTCGATGGAGAAGAGTCCTCCAGCCATGGTGGGTGAGTATACGGGCTCGGCCGTGTTCTGGAAAAGACAGAGAGAAGTGGAAATGGTTAGATGTAAGCAAAGGTAAGAGCTATTTCATTTTGCTAATTGATACTCGGCTGCGCTGAACCAGAGATAAACACTGAGGATGTGCCACAAGTGGCAAGCAGGTAAGCAGTAAGCAGTACCTGGGCAAACTTTTTCCTGCCACCCTGCCGCCCATCCAGTAGCCCAATCTTTTCATCTCTCTCGGTAGCAGAAAGTTTGCTGCCTCTCCCACTTTTTTTTTCCTTTTCTGATTTTTGTTTGTTTTTGGTTACTTTCAACAGCTTGCCACAAAATACTTGAGGCTACGTTTTATTTAGTACAACATTTTCATTGCTCCCCCGCCTGCCTGCCTTCATTCACACTTTATATCTGCTTTTCCAGCAGAATATTTTTGTTGTAATTGAATACTTCAGAGCTGTTCCCTTCGAGAGAGCCTGATTTTTTGCATTTAATTGGAGAATTTAATTTTAGTGGAATTAAATTCCTGGTATCTCAGTTTCTGGCTGTACTTGCGGGAGTTTTGTTGGTACTTTGTATTTATGCCACCAGCAGCATCCAGCAGCAGCTGCTAGTCGGTTTGTGTTGCATGTAAAATAATTAAAAATAAATAAAGTTTTCCATTTGTTTTTTATTGTGTTTTGGAAATTGTTGTGAAATGGAAAATAAGTTTAAAATGGGATGTGAATATGCAGCAAAAAATCACAGGAATAAAGTTCTGGCAGGAGAACGAAGATTTAACTACCTTGCCCCCATATTTGGATCAAAAAACTTTTCAAAAACCAACAAAATACTTAAATTGAATTAATGAAATTCATAAAATTCATTCAAATTTGAATTATATTTTAAAACTCAGTGAGTGTATAAAAAGTTCATAGCCTTTGGCTTAATGAATTAACTTGATTTCTGCAAATATACATATATTCGTGTGATATATTTATTGTGATTGCATTTTATTTAATGGATGGCTCGCTGGGGAGACATCATAATAATTTCCATAATTACGAAATTATGCAAGTCCGCCTGAGGTCATCAGTAGTAATTATTGCGCATACGCCACGTTGCCCGGTGGAACAAAATAAATAAATTTCTGTGCCCATTTCCGGGCTAAACCCAAGCAACACAATTTCCACCCAAGTAATTGGGTTTCATGAGGAAAATTTGCTGACAAACGTAAAACGGAAAATCTCAAAATAAATGAAATTGTCACTGTGAAAGCCCAAAGGCCAACCAGGGCAAGGATGCAGCAAAAAAAAAGGATACTCAGGATGAGTGTGGGAGAACTAAAAACGTGTAACTTAAAGTCAACAAGAAGTCGGACCAGAAAGCCCAAAAAAAATATCCGGCTACCGGACAACAAAGTGAAATCTCCAAACGCGACAAGTGCCATTGTGCTTTTCGGCAGCCGGCGGCGGATGGGTCTGAATATTCGTCCTCCCGGGAGGCTAGCCGGTGGAGGGGGGTTCCAGGTCTGTCGGCAAATTCGCAGTGTGACATTTAATAAACGCAACAGCTCAGCAAAAGCAGAACGGGGGCCCAAATAAAAGAGGCACAACAATGTGCACAAAAATGTGCGAAACGCGCAGAAGGTCTGGACATTGTCAGTTTGTCAGAACAGAGAACATTTTTCAAACAGAAATGTAGTTTGTTTCAAAAAAAAAAGATTTTTCACAAATTTTTTGAAATAATTTCTTTGCAAGACAAAATTTGTGAAAAATAGTGACTATTTTTGAATGAAAAACACTTGATATTTTTTTGTTCCGGTGTGGAATGCGGTCCGGCCATTTTTTGTCGTCACCGGAAGTGACAGAACAAATAGCAAGAGGGACAGGGCAGGAGGCTTCAAGGCGGTGTCGGGGGACAGGCGATGGCGGTTTTCTGCATGTGAGTTTAAAAAAAAGATTCTTTTATTGTTATAACCAACTTCCCCCTTCTGAAAGCCCCTTTTACCCACTAGCCTCATGTTCTCAGGACTCTGCTTCTGTTTTATTTTTTACGCTTTTCCTGTGTGTGTATCCGTTTTTGTTTTCCGCTTTCTCCGCTCAGGAAATGGAAGTAAAAGAGGCAAAAAAGCAGAAAAAAAGAAAAACTTTCGCTCTGGTGAAAAATAAACTGAAATGAAATGAAATAAAATGCAGAGCTGAATAAATAAATATACACGAAAATATGAGTGAAGCGTGTTGCAGTTGCTGTTTGTGCAAACAAGGCGGCAGAACTTTTCGCTTTTCCGATCCCCCGCCCGTCTTTGCCGTACTGGTCGGGCTTTATGTTGGCCCCCTTTTGCAGTATTTGCCATTGGCTACATATAATGCCGCTTAAATGATTTAAAAGCGGGCAAATAGACGCAGTTTTTATGGACACGTGATGTGGTATTTGTGGGTGTGGAAAACCAAAGGCAACCTGACGGAAATAAGAGTATTACGGAAAATGCAAATGGAAATTAAATAGCCACCGGCAGAGCAGAAATCGCTTTAAAGCTATAATGAAACTCCAATATTAGTTTGTAATAACAATATTTTCGTAATACATTCCATCATAAAATGTTAAAATTAATCAAAGGTGTAATATTTCAACAACAAAAGCCAAACAAGTATTTTTCAATCGGCCATTAAAGCCGCAAATACCACACAAAATAAAGAACCATTGTCGATAAATAAAAATAAAAGGCCAAAGGCATTTTCACATTGTTTTCTTTTGAGCAATTTATTCTCCCCTAATCCCAACTCAAGGCCCACTTGAGTTAACTTGGCCAACTTCTGTGAAAGGAAATACCTTTTTCAAACAAAGATTCATGGGCGAAAAGAATCAATTTTTGGGGGAAAAATGGTTTCGAAACTCGGGAAATAGAGCTTAAGATGACAAAACGTCAAAAGTAACTTAGGAACTTGGCATATTTGCAAATCAAAATAAATCACAAGGCATTCATAATGGTTAAAGTGTGTGACACATTTTATGATGAGAAATGGAGACTGGAAAGGGGCGGGGCTGGGTGGTTTCGCCCTCAACCGCGAATTAAGCAAGCGAAACCTCAGAATGCGGCTCGCTTTAAAGGCCGCTGCTTGTTGTGAGTAATGTGCCAACCTGCTGCGGCTTTCAAAGCGACTGGAGACGCCTCCGAAAAGCACCCTACATTCCTCGGCCCGTAAAACCTCTTGGCAGCCCAGCCAGCAGGAGTGGCATCAACATATCCACATTAACATCAAATAAAACAGTCACGTCGAGCGGCAGGAGGCTTCGCTCCGAAAAAAATATGCCCAGGAATATCGTAAATGTCAGGGAGCCGAGCAGGGCTTGGGTTCGGATGGGTGGATTCTCTCCAGACACGCTCCAAGTGCCGATGGGTCTCTTAGCTCACAGCAGGCAGCAGCTCCGGGGAGTAGTGGGTGATGATAATGTTTAAAAAAGTATCCTCCCAGGAAATCAGCAGAGGAATACCCTAAATATCAGGAACTTTTTCAATAAATTCTCATCTAAAGATTAAGATTTCATACTCATTCCTAGCTATTCTATTAGATGTTATACTCTTACATATTTACAACCTTTTCCCTCTAATATCTCCAAGCCTAATAATGTCCCTTGCTACCGTTGAAATGAAATAAAAGAAGTCGTTAAGGGGGAAGCCCAAGACACGCGCTTAAAAGGAGACCAGAACCGGAAAAAAAAATGAATATAACGCGGCTTGACATAATGTGAAGTTGACTTTGACAAGTGCTTGGGACGGAACACGAGCCAAAAAACGCAGGCGGCACCGAACACACTCGTCCGGGCCAACACACACACCCCGCCACTCACCAGATACACGAAACAGTATCTGTATCTGTGAGATGCTAAAGTGGCAACTTAGCGGGGCTAACTTGAGAGCTTCTCGTACGCTCCGCTTCGCCTGCTATTTGCATTTTGAGTCAAGCACCAAAAAGTCGCAATCTTCGCCAAAGTTAATAGTTGAGGAATGCTTCAGGTCAATGGGTGAGCCAGAGAGGGGGTACAGGGGATAGTAGGATATCCAGTCGGCTGAATAAGTACCGTTGCATCTGCGTGGGTGTATCTTTGAGCTACAATTTGGCTTATTGCTCAAGTGCTGCAAATCCAGTGCGCTCTCAACTTTTCCGAATCCCGCCTTAACCCACTCCAGGTCCTTTGGCAAAGGAATCAGCCTGCTTAAAAGCGTATTTAAATGTTTAATGTAGCGTACACACACATACACTCTCCAGGGGGGGGCGCTGAGGGGTAAAGGGTTAAGGTAGAAATTAGCATAAAAAAGTTGTTTCAGAGCTCTGCTGATTTTGCTTTGATTACCGGTTCACTGGACTGTTAGCAAATGCTTAACCACCCACGTCCTCCGGCTCCCTATAAAATGGGGAGATGGTCAGGTGCGTAGAATTTCGATGAGATTTTAAGAAGAACAAAAGGTTTAAAATATTTTCAAGTAGAACAAAAATACTCGTAATAATCCTCACCATACCTGAATCTCAAGTTCCACCAAGTAAATGCGAAATGTAAGTGTTCTTTCATTTCCATTTAAGTCTCATGGCTGCCTCCCCCATTTCCCTACGCCCATGCCGCTTACAAGGGGCTGTCGTAAAACGCAGCAGCGATTTTCTGGCGCGAAAGCGCGTGCACAAAACTTTGTACGTTTTTAGTACGCGGCGCATCCTTCAGCCTGCCGTCCTGCCATCCTGCTACCCTATCGTCCTGGCAGCAGCGGAATCCCTGGACCAAGTGCAATAAAAACCAAAGTGCAACTTTGCGTATTAAGCAGTAAAATCCGCCGTAGAGAAACGCACAAGAAGCGGCCACCAGGGCCCGCCAAAAGAGCGTAGCGGAGCCCGGCTTAACTGTTGGAAAATTAAAAGAAAATGGCAACTGCTCGCCGGCAGGCTTTTCTCCGCCATCTTTGCCAAGCCCTTCTCCCCTCAGGACATTACTAAATTACGTTGTCAAAATGGCAGCCTGTCCAAGAAGCACGTGCTTGACCCCCACCCCACCCAAGGACG